ACTACAACTACCACTACACTACACTACAACTACCACTACCACCACGGCTACAACTACAACTACAACCACAACTACACTACAACTACAACCACAATTACAACTACTTCCACTACACTAGACTACTCTAAACTGCAACTACAACTGCAACTGCCACTGCAACTGCCACTGCAACTACACTATAATTTTAACTACAACTACCACTATAACTACAAAATACACCACACCACACTACATTCAGCAGTTGTGGGTAAGGTGACCACTGCAATAACTCCAAAAAGCACCACTCCAACCACCATTCGGTCCATGAGTGGATTCGCTCTGTCATCCATACATCACAACAACGCACCTCTCCTGTAGTTGTCTATCTTTAAAACTTCCGCCACCGCCTTGTGCGGTAGGTACTACTGGTACAAATAATTAATTAACATTAGATTAATTATTTCAGAAAAATATCAATTATCATTTTTTTCACCTTTTACACAATTATATTAATTATTCATCAGATATTATATATAATATGATGTTAATTGTTTTAAGTATTAAACAAACAAATATATTATAAAATTATAATTAAATATATATATTAATAAAACAATAATCAATTTTAAATAATAAATATACTATATGTATCTTTATTATTAATATTTATTAATAATTGTTAGGAATTATCTAATTTCTCCCCATAATTTTAATTATTTCATAATAATAGACATTGTCCCTAAGAATATATGTTTTGTTTTGGGTTTGGGGAAGGATTTTTTTCTTCTCCTCTTGGGAATTAATATTTCCTAGGGATAATGATAATAATATTAATTATATATAATCATATATTGTATTCGCAAATAAAATGCATTGTAAATAGAATGATTCCTTTTTTGCCACCTCTATTGGGTTCGTTCTAAGTTTCGGATGCTTCCACCCAAGGGGCCCTGTACACAGAAGCTTGCCCCTTGGAATCAATCAGCGCCTGCAGATCTTTGTCCCAGCCCAGCAATTCTGCCAAAGCCGTGCAGCCAGCGTCGCAGTCGCCTTCATGGAACCTCGCGGAAAGGTCAAAGTGAAGCACCCAAGGCGGATTTGCACCCAGTGGGGTGTATGTGACAGAAGATGATAGAAGCGACCATCCCATGAAATCGATTGAAATCGTCTATTCTGCTCATGAAAATGACGATCATTTTGACCTATACCCATATGTCAACATTCACATCTCAAAAGTTACTGGAACCTTTACTTCACCAGCCTACTCCAATTCTAGGGTGATGTTCTGCACCCTAAATGCGGACATATCTGGACCACTGTTCCAGTACCAATGGAAAGACTTTGTGCATTGCCAACCCTTGCCTCAACACATCCAATTCTCAGTGGACTGACTCTTGCATGACCACACGTCCCGCAACCCACCACACTCAAACAACCTACACGTCATACATCCATGTGCGAGTCAATACGATATCTCTCCCAATGGCCAAAAATTGGATTCTACTGGGATAAAGCAACCTTACGATGATTTGAAAGGAAAAAGAGCCAGAAATGACAAGAAAAAGTGAACTCATCTGTCAAATCCAGAAACACATCCCGCCAATTGTCTTCACCTTCTAGATGGAAGCGGAAGCCAAACTTCAGGCTGTCACATGTGCCTGCTCGGTCTCGATTGATCAGCATTCGCGGGGCTGTTCTCGTTGCGTAGCCAACAAGTCCAGCAAAGGGTTGCACCACCAGCGATGTTCCCATCACGATCAACAAGTCACAAGTGGCCAAATCTTGCCGATGCAAACGTGCGAACCTCTCTGGCAATTCTTCACCAAAGAACACGATCTTGGGCTTCACCAAGCCACCCTTCGCATCTTTCAATGCTCTCCAGCCTTCTTCACCCTTGTCAAGAGCCGCCTTGAGCTCGTTGATGTCTACCTTGATCTCAGGCTCAGTGTCAATGACATGAGCTTCATCAAAGTTGCCATGGGCAGCTACCAGCTTCTCAGCTGGCAAGCCTGCGCGTCTCTCCAGGCTGTCAATGTTTTGTGAGTAGCATCGAAGCAGAATCCCCTTGTCGTTCAAGAGCCGCACAAAATAATGTGCTGGGGTTGGCTCGAAATTTCCTGGCCACATTTCGCGCGCCAGTTCATAGAAGGCTCCAGGATTCTTGCGGAAGAAGTTCAATTCAAAGATGGATTCGGCCTGTGGCAAGTTGAAGCGCTGCAAGTTGTCGTACAAGCCAGTGCCTGGGGTTCTGAAGTCTGGGATGCCGGCAGAGGTCGAAATCCCGGCACCACACATCACCACCACCTGCTTGCAACCCTTATCTGCGATATATCTAGCAATGCCCTCCATGTCGAAACTGGACAGGACTGGCGGCATCTTCTCCTCTTGGACAGGCTTTCTCATTGACTGAAATACCTGGCAGCCCCCCATGGCTGCGAGTCAAAACTTTAGACCCACACAGCGAATTTTCCGATCTCTGGTTCAGACTCCAGACCCATACCCACACATGTTCAATATCTGTTGAACATTCTTCATCAAAAGCAACATAGTGATAGGATCTCACACCTTCAACACTTCCAAATGGAATGAAACATGTTGATCTTCTGAGATGTTTCAAACGTCTTTGAGTGGTACTCCATAAAATAGCTGTCCAACTGTCCAATTCAATCCTTGAACCGAAACTCCCAGCCTCCAAAGGATGGACACCCTGTTTTGCCAATCTTGTGAGTTGCTCCAGCATACCCTCCTTGCCAACAAACATATTGCCTTCCTACAGGGAACTTGGTGACTCTGATTTCAACCGACTTGATCAACCATGTCACTCATCTGTTTGGCAAACTCCTACGAAAAACATGGAAAGAAGGCTCTGCTCTTGACGAACCTCCGTTCATCACCATGGGTGATACAGCAGCCCCTTGACAGTTCCAAACCCTGCCTTCAACATCTCTAGGTACTCCAGTGCCTCGGCTTGTGCAAAGGCATACTCTGCCTGGACAGAGTCTAGAGATATCTAGAGGATCATTGGTCGGAAGTGTTCAACTCAAAAGCCAAATAGGAATTGTACTTTGATAAGCATTGATAAGTCAAAAGATGTAGCCTTTTTCCAACACTCGCAACTACCAGTGAATGCCTCAGTTGTGTCAGACCAAGTAGAGCCCTCCAATGACCGATTGTCCTTTCCAGCCTCAAGCTGTCTCCCGACCAAGAGTCTTCCAGACACCATAAATTCAAGCAGGACCCAACTGGCAACATGGGCTGCTGCCCACATGAGGTATGTTGATAGGTCACCAAACCCACCTCCAAACATTGCCGTCGAAGCTACGGACTGCACTTCCTCGCTGTCTGGTGTCTCCTCCGACATATCTGCAGGTCACCCAGAAGCACCAGACGGTCTGGGAGCAAATAAGTGCTGGCGACCACGCTACACTTGATCCAACATGGCCGAGTCATGCCCAATCATTCACTAACGGCCAGGGTTGTGAAGTACCCTCTCTCGGACATTCGTCTCAAAGTCACGCGAACGTGTGAGACCGGTGCTAACGCCGACGAGTATTTCGTGAGCGCAAGGACCGTCAGAGGAACTAATTAAATGCAGGCACCCGCAGTGAAGACAGACGCGGGGCGTAAGCAAATTGGGCAGACAGATTCTGGAGGACCTGACTCTCAAACAGAACTCGCCCATTGAAACCTGGACAGTCGAAACGCGAGCCTAGAGCACGCGCCGATCTAACCCTGGCCATGCGCAGTGTCCACGGGACCGCAACACCTGACCTCAGGATGGAGTCAAAAGTTCGCTTCCAAGTATGGAACAAAGTCGCGAAGGATGGAATTGCGAACTCCAAAGTAGGGTCATCCTGAACCCAAACCCACTCATGATAGTACCAAAAGGCCGGGAGCGCCGACGTATCATGAATATATCCCCAAAAAAGTTCAAGCCAAGAAGTGTCTTGAAGAGAACCTAAACCGTCGACTGACACGGTTGAAGTCCAACGGATCTCCCTCATCCAATTAATAAGAGAACGTGCAAAGCCTTGGTGACAGACGACAGGATGAATGTCGTGCTCGAACCACAACGAGGAAAGCAAACCGACAGGGTGAACCCCTCCGATTCGAACCTGCTGGTTGACTTCCGGGGCATCTCCATCATTGGCGAAAATCAAAGCAACTCCTGCCTGGAAAGAGTAGAGGTCTTGAGCCAGTGACAACATACGTTTGTAATCTTCAACCATGTGCCTGAACAGCGGAGTGTCATGTCCTGCAAGGGCCTGCTTGGCCGCCAGGTCAGCCCAATGGTTGAACCAGGCATGAATTTTGTCCAAACCAACCGCAGTACGGTAGTTGACGTGACCTTTTAATCCAGGAGATATGGACCGAGTCCAGATTTGACAAAAAGAAGGCCCAAAGGTCTTTATTGTCCTGAGGCAAACCAGGAGGATTTCCGGCCTGAAGCTGTCGCAGTATGCGGTTTGCCGTACGGCAGACCGACTGGGAGTCCGTAAAGACAACGGGCTTGTTTGCCATACCAACAGCACATGCAACAGCTAAAAGTTCGGCACGGAAAATAGATTGACACGAGCCCGGGAGGGCACCGTGCCAGCACACCTGGAACGTGCCATCAACATTTGCACGCAGGACAGCACCTGAAGCAACGCGGATCACCGGGTGTCTCGGAAAGAGGCAAGCCCCATCAGTGTAAAAAACCGCCAAGTCACAGGAAAAAGATCGGGTAATGCCTGGCAGGGTGCGAGAATCAAGAACAGACTGCCATTCACGCCATCCTTCCGGCTCAGGGAAGAGCCCAAAAGCGGTAATGAACTCAGGGAGGCTGTCCCACTGCCTGAACAGTGAGGGGAAGAGGTTGTTGGCAAGCATGAAAGAAGGACATGTCAACGCGAGCCACTTGAGTCTGCTTGCGTGTCCTCCTTTTGGACTCATTTGGTACCTCGTCACCAGGTCCCGCTTTGTTGTACTTTGCCCATGGATCGTTGTCGAAAACAATGTCTTTTTTGGTTTCCTTGACAGGCCTGTGCTCAGTCGGGATGAGGACAATCCCTGCCGCAGAAGCATCATGTTTGAGGGTCGGCCAGACTGCCTTGCTCTCGAGGATCTGACGGCAACGTTTTTGACCAATTTTGTCAATAACATGGTTCGTCTGGGCTTTGACAGTACCTGAAGGGTGTCCATGTCCAATCAATAGGCTTTGTAGCTGTTCTGAAATGGCCGCCAAGGGCACCGGGTGCACCACCAGGGAGACAGAAGAATCGTGCACGCAGGGGTCCAATCGCATCAGCCGTAACGATCGAAACATCCTCATGAAGTGTTTTGCCATTGGCAAAGATACGGATCACATTTTTTCCTCCTGCATAAATGTTGGACAACAACTGTTGGACCTGAAAACAGATGCCAATGGGTCAAGCAAGAAGACGCCAAAGGGGTGGATCTGAAAAGGTTGTGGCCAAAATTCAACGTGATAAGAACACCCAAGGGACGGGAAGGACGAACCATCAACTCGAACATCAACCGGTGAAGTAACAAAGGGTTTCCGAGCAGTTTCGAAAGGGAAAACCTCTTGGATCGCTTCGTCGACGGTGACACAATCCCGAAATTTCCAAAATCGAACCTCACCAGCTGCAGTGAAAGGGATGTCGTCAGACAAAGTGCACACCGACGTGTGTGTGTCAAGCGTGAGCTCCAGTCGATCATCATTGAGCCAAACCCAAGCAGGGAGGTCAAAGGGGTAAAGCAATGGTTCCACGCTGAGCATTTTGAGCGCAGTCATTGGATGCAAACCTGACCATTGCAATGGGACTTGCAGATCTCCCTGGGTCAGGGTGACCTGTAAACAACGCAGCCTGACATAGATGATGACATAATCTTCATGCAACACACGCGCAATCTCAAGAATCCCACAGCGGTTGACGGACGGCAAGAAGGCCAAACAGCCAACACCATCAGACAAAGAATCTCCATCTGGCAAGGGAAAAAGCAACGCTTGAACCAGGGCATAACCGGCCTTGTGCATACTGGTCACACCTGTCCTTTGAATGCGCCTGTCCACCAATTGCCAATGACCGTCCATGAGGACGCGAGTAGTCAACTGCAAGGGGATTTGACCAAACAGCCAAGATTGAACAAGCTTTCGGAGGGGAATACGTTCGATTCCCTCCTCAGACACCGCAGCAAATGCAATCAGGGCCTGTGGGGGGGCGACAGCATTGCCAACACAAGACATCGCCTCGTCAAGGTCCTGGGGCAAACAGAGGTCCGTGGAGAAGCCCAAAGCCCGGGCCCCTTCAAACATGTCCAAGAACCTGACACCGCCCGGAGAGTTGGATTCACGCAAGAGCCAAGTCAAAATGCCTTTCCTGGACAAGTGAGCAGGGGACAATTGCGATTGTCTCCTGTATGAGGCCACTAATGTCGGAAGAGTCCCCCCCTTCGCAATACGCAGTTCCAACACTCCGTTACCATCCTGAACTCCTGTCATGAGCGCTTCAAGTTTCAGTTGGTCAGGGAGCAAGCTACGTTTGGACAAAACCTCACGTACATGCGTGGGAACCTTCGTCTGTTCAATGGCAATCTCATCTTCAACCTTGTAACAAACAGACTCAATGTTTGTCCTCAAAGCCGACGCATGGAAATCATAAAACCTCTGCTCAGTATGCCCAATACCAAACAAAAGACAACACCTGTTCCTCGCCATGTATCCCAATTGCGCAAGGTCCGATTTGACAACCTTGCAGGGCGTTGGCAAAGTGTCCAAAAGTGTTCTGACAAGTTTCCAATGTGGGTGTGCAATGAGACCTGGAACATTTTCCATTGCAGCAGTTGGTATTCCAAAGAGAAACATCATGCCAATGGAATGAACCAGCAATCTGCCAGAAGGGTGGTCAAGACCTTGTCCTTTTCCTGCCTGTGACCAAGGCTGACATGGCGTAGACCAGCCGAAACCTGAAAACGGGCACACCAGGGTTGTGATCCACCATCGTGGGTCCATGACATCGGCGATCAAGACCGCGTTTTCACATGATGGGTCCTGAAGAAATCGCTCAACGTCGATGAGAGGCCTCTTGGTGGACACAGCCAAAGCAGTCGCCACATTTGGTTCGACTTCGACAGAAAAGATCGGGACGCCTGCTGGGGAAAGAGCTTTAATCGCTTGTCCCCAACCACCTATACCAGCAAACATTTCAAGAATTCTTGGTGCTGTGTCACCTGTTGGCTTCCTGACAAGAATATTGTTCCAAGACGGGGGGGGACGTGAAAAATGGGAACGCGTCCAACTGAACCACAACAAAAACCTTGAAAGAGGCAATATTCATCCCCCATTGCGGGGGAGATAATATCATCATACCAAGAGTGAAGAATCACCCAAACCCTCCTGCCTTCGGTCGTCGTGACTTCAAAGACTCCTGAGCCATGACGTGCAGTCACTCGGAAGTGAATGGTGATGGGTCCTGTGAACTGGAGTGCCTGCAGTGAATGGGAACAATACCTGTGAAAGTGTTCATCAACACGATTGGAAAAGTGAAACCTGAGTGAGAGGGCAACCGAAATTGGGTCATCGGGGAAAAACAATTGGAACATTCCCAACCACGACCTTCACAAAAACAAGTGGGACAACAGTCTCCCTGCACCATATACGCTCGAGCGGATACAAGTTGGCTTGCAGGTGCCTGCATGATCTGCAGTCGAGCTCTTTGGCTCCTATATACCAAAGTGACCCCCAGATCGGCTCCAAGTTCAGCCAGTGGGTAGTCACGGAATGCGGCCAGCAGGTCAGAGTCACTCAGTCCATCTTCGGCAGGAAGTAGGATTGACTTTGGCCAAGAATAAGGCGGCATTTCTTCTTCAAAGCAAGGTTGCGTCCAAGCTTGAGTTGGTGAAATTGTAGGCTGCGCACCTTCTCTTTCATCAGCCTCAACCTGTTGGCTATCAACTGGACAGCTCGCAGTGATTGGGGATGGGCACTGTTGAGCCAGTGGCACAGTTTTACCTGTATATTGTGACGAGGCTTCGCCTGCATTGGATTGGGTGTCAATCAAAGTCATGTTGCAGTCCAAGACATTGCGGAAGGTTCCTGAACTTTCGCATCCTTCGGCAGTAGTGACCATGTTCTCACCGATATTGACTGCATCCGTGGTTGGACCATCCCAGAGAGCCTGTCGGATATCTTCATCACCATTCAGCGGTGCGACCCAGCTTTTCCATTGAACTTCTCCATCAACGTGGATCTGTTGCAAACAAGCAAAAGTCTCCTCTGATCGCCGTGGTGCAGTGTCACCAAATGGAGCAGAGGCAGCGACGACAGCGCCAGCACTAAGCGGCAGACATGGCTCGGGCAAGGATTCTAAGGGCTCGAGAGTCCCACAACCTGAACCAAGAACAGGACCGCAACCGAAGGGCAAAAAATCAACTGACGAAACACCACCTGAAGGGGACAGGACGCCAGGGCCACACACGGGAACGCAGGGGTCCGCAAACACAGGGTCAACTGCGGGACACACAGTGGTTTCAGACAAAGCCAAGTCCTGCCGCGATGCCTGAAAAGGTAGATACGGGGTACCAGCAAGGCCATTTTCAAAATCGACAAGGGGAACCACAGAGGAATGTCTGGGACCATGTACCTGACCGCTTTCGAAGAGGTGTCCATTCTGACCACCTGAACAGTCCAGGGAGAAACCTTTTTTATTACCTCCTGAAGACTTGTCGTCCCCAGATGCCCGAAAAACAGGCCGACTGCGCTTCGGCTCTGGTTGTGAGCCTGCAGCAGGGCTACGTCTTCTGCCTTCACCTCTTGTGGATCCTTTGTCATCGCCATCATTTTGCTCAGGAGCCTGAATAGGTTTCACGACCTCCTCCGTGGAGTTCCTGTGAACCTTAAGAAAGACGTTGGCAGTCCTGTCAACACATTCAATGTCTTCCAGGATGAGGGACCAGTGCCGATCATAACTCAACAAAGAGAGCTTAGACTCACGACAAAAACGGGACAACAAGTTACCAAAATCCGTGACACCACCAAAAAACGAGGGGTCCTCTTCACCATTAAGAAGAACAAAGTTCACAGTGTCCAAGGAGACCGGAAATTGACTCTGGATAGAATTCAACAAACGAATCAACTGAGTGGGGATCTTGGGAAGACCTGGAGGGGGACTGAACGCAAGCACAAACCTGGTGGTTGATGAGGCACTAGCTTCTTTTGTCGAACCAGCAGGTTCAGTAGGTTCATCCCACCGAGAGCGCCGCTTTCGCTTGACCTTTTCAGTGTGTGCTGAATCAGCAGGTTTGTCTTTGCGTTTACGATCCGGAGTGGTCGGTCTCACATGCCGATATTTGGAAGGGACCTGTGGCACATCTTCAGTATCATGAGTTGACCGAAGTGGGACCTTACCAATCTCCACATGGAACGCAGCTGAATTGGTGTGAAAATTGTCAGAAAATGAAATTTCAACGACAGCTTCCGTACCCTGCAAAACCTCTGCAAGGGGATCTTTCATCCAGAGCCTCACGTTCTTTTCAGGCAAGCGAATGGTCCCATAGTGAAATTGGTCGCCTGTTTTCCTGGCCTCAGCAAGAACGGAAGGCCAGACCGCTTCCAAGAGCTCCTCGCCTGTAGAGCCACGCCTGATCTCCGCGATTTTCGTGGCAATGTATTGGCCTCGAAAAAAGACGTAAGTTGCAAGTTTGTGCAACTCTGGGACCTGAACGCGTTCAACTTCCGGGTCACAAATGGGGGCACTAAAGGAAGCTGGGCCAAAAACACCTGAGAGAGCACTCGGAAGAAGCAAACATGGGGGTTTGGGAAGGGCAATCGTGGTGGCCAAAAGACTTTCCACATCAACAGAACGCTCCTCATGTGTTGGTGTCTGTTTCCAACGATCCAGCTCTGGCAACGGGCCTATCATCTGTTCAAACTCCCTGAGGTCAGTAACGGCCGCTCGAAGGGACTCAAAGGGGTGCGTTCTGGGATCAACGCTGGCCGCTCTGAACAAGCATCCGGAAGGGGCATCCGGAAACAAGTGTTGACGCAACACCTCGAACACCATGGGGAGTTCACTAGCCGAAAACTCACCCAGGAACCCCAAGAAAGTCCGAACCTGAGGATCTGCAAGGATGTGGGTCCTGAACTGATCGTCCAAACGGCCATTCATGGCACGATGCCTAGCACGAATACACCCCAAATTACAGAGACCACTAACCAGCCGAAGTGCACGGCCATATTCCGACAAGAACGAAAGACCAGGTCGTTCGTCGGTAAGACGCACTAACCATTCAGTGTCCATCCCAGCCGGGGGGGACGGAAAAACCAAAAGGCACACAGCCAGAAAGGGGACCCTCGAGCTCTTAGAGCTGACCCGCCTACCCACGCGGAGGGGGCTCGAGCCAAGGCTGGTTGTGAAGTACCTAATTTCAGGACAGGCATACCTCACATCCAGGTACCTGAATCCTTGATCAGTGTTCAGGAAGCCGACACCAGCAGTGTTAGTCTGCCGAAATTCAGAAAGCCCTTCGTTTGACACTGCGCGTGACTCCTTTGACATAGCAGTCGTGAGTTGTCACTCTTTTTCTGCTGCCCAACAGGATTCTCACGGCTCCAAATCTTGGATACTCCCTGTATATTGCATTGTCGAGGGATGTCGAGGGTAAGTAATCCCATCCCCCTAATGTTCAACCCCCCCAAATGGTTCCAAATATGTGTATATAAATCCCCTATTAAACTGAAACTGTGGGTTGTTGGGGGGATGGGATGAGTCGCAATGCTGGACGTCCAAACATCGGAGGGCTCGATTCACCTTGTGCCCAATCTCAGGAGCGGGGGGGCTGCAGCAGAGGTCTGGACCATGCTGATGATGCGCCACTGGCCAGTCGTCCGAAGCTGCTTGATGAACTTTGGGAAAATGTCGTCCGCCGTGGTTCAGCTTGCACCTTTGCACATGAAAGGGTGCAACTGCTAGGGGTAACGGTTGGGAACCTCTCAGTTGGTATCCTTTGTCTTGCATCAAACAACCCTCTTCACCTCACAAGTATCAAAGTGGTCGTTGGTTCAGGAAATCATGCTTTTTGATGCTCTTTGCATCTCTTTGCACACTTCCTGCCTTTGATGCGAGGCATCCCATCATTCGGGAGCACCCACCAGGATTGCTTGAACTTCACCTCGGCTTCTCAGCTTGCCATCATCGACCCAGTGAAAGCCCTGATCCAGACCCAAACACCTGAGCCAAGGATCACAGATGTGAGAGACATCCGAGACCTGCAAACAAAGGTCTTCTTTGGTGTAGCTTGAGTCATCAATGACGCCCGCCAGGGGCCAAACCTTAATCCGAGGAGGAGGAGGTTTGGATCGTGATCTCTGGCAGTTTCGGGGGTTCTCCAAAAAGTGATTTAATATCGTTTTTTACAGGCAAAAAACATCTGATAACCCAAAATGTATGGCTTTAGATTAATATTCGAAAATGATGACCTAAAGCTGGTCAGTGGATTTTGGGAGTGCCACATTTTTGGATCTTCCTTATAGCCATTGGCTGGCTATACCGCCTCATGAAGCGTTTCCATTTCCCGTGCCTGTCACCTGAACTTCATAGTTTCTCCGTCTCTACTGGCATTTGAGCCATCTTGATCAGTATCTCCGCCATCTTCTCCACTGTCATTATAATCAGTTTTTAATCAGTTTTCCAACGCAGAAGCAGGCCAACAATCAACATGTACACCGCTCATGAGGCCGCACATGTGATAAAAGCTCAGCTACTGCTCCGTCTTCATCGTAGACAATGGTCATGAAAACGCCGCAGGTCGTACAAACATGTCTCCTCGCATGGCTTGTAGTGCGCACCTCATGTGCAGATCTGGCACCGTATCAAAAGCGGGGGCCGTCAACCAAGGATTACAGTACTTTAACCCATGGCCTGTAGAAGAATTAGGGGTAGCATTTTAGTAGCAAAGCTTTTCGGAGGCAATCCATGAGCCAGGATTATCAGGATTTATTGAAGAGGTTGACATTACAAGTCTCAGGTCCAAGCAAGTTTGAGACTGTCCTGACGCACTTGAGATGATTCACGGCCTCATTTTCTGCTGTTTAGATCCATTGAGATCTTGACATCCCCGTAGATGCTGACACCCAAAGGCACGCAGCTACAGACCCACCTCTCGTTCCTTGCAGCCTGTAGCTATTTATTGAGTAATTTTCCGGCGATCATGGCTGCCATCTGTCCTTCTCAGTCCACTTCAACTGACCTTCCTGCGGGCCACAGGACCGGGACCCTGTTGCACGTCCTTGTGCTGATGCGTGTCTCACTGCACTGTATTGGATCAGAATTTGACACCTGGAACTCCCTCAAAGGTTGGTCATTTTTTTTGGAGGTACCCTAAGATGCCCTAAGTTTGACCCAGGACCCGACCACATCAAGCCCTGCTCTGAACCATCTCCTCAATGGGCATCCAGCTTTGCCAAGCGGCACCAGAAAGCTTCCGGCAACTACCGCAGTAGCAGTGCTGCAATTCCTCTGGAAACCTGGGACCATCTGGTTGCATCTGGTTGCTTTGCCTCTGACAACTGGACAATTAAACCACATTGCAAACATCAGAGCCACGAGAACTGATGGTTTCCCAATGTTTCCCACGGTGTCCCTATGGTTTCCCCATGTTTCCCCCCAAAATGGCCGGCTTCCCCCCTCACTTGGCACACTGGGCACAGTGCCCTAGCCTGGGCAGCTTGAAACGGCAGCTGCCACAGCTGCAGCCGCCCGTGACCGGTCCTGTAGGGCTGGGGGCTGGAGTGGAGCCAACCTTGGTCCATTTGGGGAGCTCTTGGGGAACGATGAGAAAACATCTGACTTTGAGTGGCTCGGAGGGAACTTCCCAACTTTTTTTGGGGACACACAGATGAGATAAAGACTTTAGAAACTTCCAACATAGCTGGAGGCCAGAACATCAAGAATCAAGACCAAAGTGCACCAAAACCTTTTTGTCCACCAGTCCTTCTTTGGCCAATGAGCTCTGCTTTGCCTCTGCGGCAAACAAGGACCAAAGGATACCAATGGTGAAATTCGAGGAGTCTGAAGGAAGATGACCACTTTTTCCAACCACAGCCAATTGTCTTCTGCAATAGAGATGATGAGGGTCACATTAAATCACAACTCATTCAACTTCAACTGCGACAAACGACTCAACAAAAATATGTATTTTTTGCAAACAACAACACAAACTCATCCGCGGGTCCTTCTGTCTCTGTTTCTTGGTAGCTGGGACGAAGCCCAAGTATGCAGGTGCTTGCTCGCGGCACCAGGGGATGAAACTCTTGACGTCGGGCAAACGGTCAGCCTCAAGGATAATCATGAAGAGAACCCCCCAGGCAGCCAGGGGTTTTGCCATCTGATGATCCATATTGCTTCTGATCATCTGCCTAGCCATCTCTTGGAAACACATCTTAAAGAAAAACATAGAAAACCCTTCACAGTGATTAATATAATGGAGATAGCAGCACCTTCTCAAAAATTATTGAAGAAAGTAATTACAAATGTCATTTACTACTTCCAGCCTTCGTACATCGAGATTGATTGCATAGTGAATATAGTGATCCCGCTGATTCTTGCTGCAGGCACTACAGTGGCTGGCAGACAGGACTGCTGAACAGGCTGAAATCCAGAAACCAAGGACCAGCTAGCAATCATGTCATGGAAGCCGTACCATAAATCGAAGACTTGGATCTTCCTTTTCTAGCTGTGCAAACACTATCTAAATGCTCGCCAGAATGCTTCGGAATCTAATGCTTTTGTGTCACACATAGTAAGCTCGAAGCTGGTTGGTGATTTCACCCCCGGAAGCATTTCACGTAGTCAGTTTCCCAAATAATGCGAACCTCGAGGCATCCAGCATCGACGCAAACCACCTTCCCAACCTGACGTCCATGTTCATCGCTGTCGTTGGAATGATCCACATATGTGGAGATTTCCTCCCCAAATAATCCTTGAACATATTTGAACACGTTGTTTAGTTTGCGACGACTGTCAGCAGTTCCGTCTCTGATTCTGAGATATCTGGTCTGCCAGAGTTGCCGCCTTTGGAAACGTTGCCAACGATGAGAAGCACTTGCTGCAGAACGTCCTGCAAAGTTATGTCCAATTCATGCACAATGCCAAAGAAAGTCATGCACCTTTGAAGCAATGACGTGGCATTCGTGGGCTGCACATGCACACTGTCAAATGTGGATTTGTCTGAAAATACGATACCTCCGATTCCTATGGAGTACTCTCTCTCTCTCTCTATATTTGAATATATATATATGACTTACTATCGGCGTTGGCCTCTTTATTTGGGCCTTTCTGTTTTCTGGTGTTTGGACCCAGGAACTATTTGCAGATTTCCAGGAACTATTTGCAGAGTTCCAGGAACTATTTGAAAAAACATGCATTATATTGAGGGGAGTTAGCGAGGGAAATCCGCCCGCACCGAAGGTGCTGGGGCGTGATCTTCCGGATGGCACTCGTAAAAGGTTACAGGTTTACCTGGGGGGGGGGGGGCATTTTTCGGCCAAAACCTCCTGTTTTTGATAGGTCGTGACGCTCGCCTTCAAAAAACACTGTAAAAAACAGTACGGAAGACACCTGTTCGTGAACGCGCCCGTCCAAAATCGGCAAGCGAAAAGTGAAAAAACCCTGTGTTTTTCACCTTTTTGACCTCAATTTTTTGGTTTGCAACATCTTTTTTTGCGGTTCCGCAGGTGGCCGGGTTTTGGACCCGTTTTCGGACTGATTTTCGTCGTTTTGTGATAGCAGAAACACTGGTTTTTACAGTGTTTTTCTGTTTTCTGCATGCTTGACGGCTAGCTTCAAAACTTCCAAAAACCTCGTAAATTACGCTGTTTTATGTTACTGTGTGAATGAAAACATCGTAAATACCAGTGTTTTTTGACGTTGGTTAAAAACACACTGTAAATTACAGTGTTTTTGGCCACCTGACCCTCAAAAACCATGGTATTTGCAGTGGTTTCTGCTTCTCACCGCGCAAAAACACTGTAAATAACAGCAATTTCGCCGTTTTTTCATGTTTTTTGTTATTTTTTGACCTGCGTTGGTCCGCTATACATGGCTATCAAATTCTTCGCGTTTTTTTTCCGACAATCAGTACTTTCGGATGTTTTTGGTCTCAATGGCCGACATCATTGGCAGTTACGAGCGGCTGCCCAACGATGCGGTGCGGGCGGTTGCCGTCGCGAAGCGACGTGAATATGATGATGAGCTAGCACAGGCTAGCTAAAGGGAAAACAGCAACACAACACTTAAATGCCCTTAAGTGCTGAGTCCAACTGATTTCAGCTTACCAGTGCGTCCCTATTGTGGGTAATGGAAATGACAGTACTCATGAGTTATGGTATGGGATATGTGCATCCATATCATATGACCAATGAATATATATATATAATATTACAATTGTGTATATATATAATTATATTATGTATATAATATTATATTAATTTATATTGTATTATATTATATTATATATTATATATTATATATTATATATTATATATATTATATAATATATATATAATATAATATGTATGTATAATATAATATATATATAATATTATATATATATATATATATATTATATTATATATAAATTATAATATATATAATATATATATAATATAATATATATATAATATTATATATATTATATTATATATATAATATTATTATATATTATATATTAAATATTATATATTATATATTATATACTATATGTTATATGTTATATATTATACATTATACATTATACATATTATATTATATTATATTATATTCTATTATAGTATATTATATTATATTATTATATATTATATATCATATATTATATATTATATATTATATATATTATATTATATTATATTATATTATATTAAATTATATTACATTATATTATATTATATTATATCATTTTATATGTATCTACCATCATTATCACCATTCAAACGGCCATTTCACTTGTTTAGGGGATATACCATAGATCCCATTTTCAGACCATGCGTCTCAGAGGCAGCAATCCTCATGACCTCTTTGTCGAAGTGATCACATCGATCGGTTCTTGCGACCACCAAATCCCCACCTTTCAGACGCTCCACGGCAGAAGTCAACACCTCCAAACGGAGTGCAGACCACCCGGGTGAATGTCCGGCACTCCGGATTCGAAATGCACAAAATTCACCAAACTGATCAATGGGTTTCAGTTTTCATGTTGTCTGATCACTGTATGTATTTATAAAGTATGCCTCTGTACATCTTGAGCGGTACAACCAAATTAGAAGCGTGAAAGGATCTGGTTGTTGACTCTAAATGCAAACTCAAGTTTGTCTACCGCTTTTAGGGGTGAAGCACATCTTTCCACAGCGAATCCCGAGTCTTAGCTTCAAGCCGTCACGTAGGATGCAAAGGCAGCCTTGGTGCTGCCATTTAGGCTGCTGCCATAGAGGCTGCTGTAGTTTTTGCAATATGATGCAATGTTCAAAAGGTTCGTTTCTTCGGATTCTTGATCAGCCACCAGCTATTCGATTCTTGTGATATTCCCCAGGGTACCATAGGAATCCATAGGCTTTCCACAGGGTGGAGTTTCCATCAAAAAATATCAAGGTGCAAACGGTGTAAACCCAAGGAACCGAGTGAGCTCGCCGGCAACAGGTGCAGTGGCAGTTGGACATGTCCAACTTCCCAGATTGACCGTGGGGTTCAACCTGCAGGTTGTGAACTGTGGCTTCCGAGACATGGAGTCAATTGATGGAAATTGAACCTGGAAAGGAGGAAAAACCTCACTCATTGTCGTTGATTGGTAAAGGCGGTGCGGGTGGCGGGGTGGCTCTTCCATTGCATCTGGCTATGGGTCAAAAGCTGGTACCCTATATATAGTTCATTGTAGTTCACCCCTAAATGGCGGGGATTCATGGTTTTTGGTACCCCCAAAATATAATGTATTGTAATGTATTTCAATACATTATATATAATGTACTATAATCAAAGGAAGTTTAGGGGGAGAAACTTCCGTGTTACGGACTTTCAGAATGTCAAGGAAAGATTTAGTCAAAGAAAGAGTTAGTCAAAGAAACAGTTAGTCAGGGAAAGAGTTAGCAAAGAAAGAGTTAGTCAAAGAAAGAGTTAGCCAAAGAAACAGTTAGTCAGGGAAAGAGTTAGTCAAAGAAAGAGTTAGTCAAAGAAAGAGTTACTCAGGGAAAGAGTTAGTCAAAGAAAGAGTTAGTCAAACAAAGAGTTAGTCAAACAAAGAGTTAGTCAAAGAAACAGTTAGTCAGGGAAAGAGTTAGTCAAAGAAAGAGTTAGTGAGGGAAAGAGTTAGTCAAAGAAACAGTTAGTCAGGGAAAGAGTTAGTCAAAGAAAGAGTTAGTCAAAGAAAGAGTTAGTCAGGGAAAGAGTTAGTCAAAGAAAGAGTTAGTCAAAGAAAGAGTTAGTCAAAGAAACAGTTAGTCAGGGAAAGAGTTAGTCAAAGAAAGAGTGAGTCAAAGAAACAGTTAGTCAGGGAAAGAGTTAGTCAAAGAAAGAGTTAGTCAAAGAAAGAGTTAGTCAAAGAAAGAGTTAGTCAGGGAAAGAGTTAGTCAAAGAAAGAGATAGTGAGGAAAAGAGTTAGTCAAAGAAAGAGTTAGCAAAGAAACAGTTAGTCAGGGAAAGAGTTAGTCAAAGAAAGAGTTAGTGAGGGAAAGAGTTAGTCACAGAAAGAGTTAGCAAAGAAATTGTTCCCTCACTGTAAATGGGATTGCAAGTGGTGCTGGTGGAGGAGTTGCCGATGGAGTTTTGGAGGAAGTCTCCCACGAGCAGATGCACGAAACCCTATGTTTTTCCGGACAAAGTGCGTCCCCGAACGTCGATGATCTACCTCTGCGGTGCGACGGGTGCGAGACGGTCTCGTGTGTGGTCGGATCATTCTCGGATCGGTCTCGGATCATGCTCGGATCGGTTCCGCATTGTAAATGGGGTTTCAACTGTTTTTCGTGCATGTGCGGTCGACAGAATTCCATTGTGATTTGCAACTGTAGGATCGTTCCCGCAATGTAAATGGGGTTGCAAGTGGTGCTGGTGGATGAGTTGCCGATGGAATTCCATTGTGATTTGCAACTCTAGGATCGTTCCCTCACTGTAAATGGCATTGCAAGTGGTGCTGGTGGAGGAGTTGCCGATGGAGTTTGGAAGGAAGTCTCGCACGAAATGCGTTTTTGAGAGATAGCAGATGCACGAAACCCTATGTTTTTCCATACAAAGTGCGTCCCCGAACCTCGATGATCTACCTCTGCGGTGCGACGGGTGCGAGACGGTCTCGTGTGTGGTCGGATCATGCTCGGATCATGCTCGGATCATGCTCGGATCATTCTCGGATCGGTTCCGCATTGTAAATGGGGTTTCAACTGTTTTTCGTGCATGTGTGGTCGACAGAATTCCATTGTGATTTGCAACTGTAGGATCGTTCCCGCATTGTAAATGGGGTTGCAAGTGGTGCTGGTGGATGAGTTGCAGATGGAATTCCATTGTGATTTGCAACTGTAGGATCGTTCCCTCGCTGTAAATGGGATTGCAAGTGGTGCTGGTGGAGGAGTTGCCGATGGAGTTTTGGAGGAAGTCTCGCACGAAATGCGTTTTTGAGAGATATAGCAGATGCACGAAACCCTATGTTTTTCCATACAAAGTGTGTCCACGAACTTCGATGATCTACCTCTGCTGTGCGACGGGTGCGAGACGGTCTCGTGTGTGGTCGGATCATGCTCGGATCATGTTCGGATCGGTTCCGCATTGTAAATGGGGTTTCAACTGTTTTTCGTGCATGTGTGGTCGACAGAATTCCATCGTGATTTGCAACTGTAGGATCGTTCCCGCATTGTAAATGGGGTTGCAAGTGGTGCTGGTGGATGAGTTGCTGATGGAATTCCATTGTGATTTGCAACTCTAGGATCGTTCCCTCACTGTAAATGGGATTGCAGCTGGATCTCGTAAATCGTACTGGAGTGGCTGCATGAAGGCTGCGACAGTGATTTGTCAGCAGATTTTCTCCATTTTGGGGCTAGTGATTTTCCTTCTAAAAATCCTTTTAAAAAGTGCTTCAAAATCGTCTTTTTTTCGCTCTGGCGTCGAGATCCGGTTTTGGAGCTGCAATTTCCGACCCAGTTGCGCGTAGTTCTATTGTGTTTTGCAACTCAGTCTCTGCAGATCGCATTGTAATTGCTGCGTCAAGGTTGCTTCTTGCCACGGCTGCATGCGTAATACTATTGTCTTTTGCAGCTGGACTTCGTAAATCGTATTGGAGTGGCTGCATGAAGGCTGCGACAGTGATTTGTCAGCAGATTTTCTCCATTTTGGGGCTAGTGATTTTCCTTCTAAAAATCCTTTTAAAAAGTGCTTCAAAATCGTCTTTTTTTCGCTCTGGCGTCGAGATCCGGTTTTGGAGCTGCAATTTCCGACCCAGTTGCGCGTAGTTCTATTGTCTTTTGCAACTCAGTCTCTGCAGATCGCATAGTAATGGCTGCGTCAAGGTTGCTTCTTGCCACGGCTGCATGCGTAATACTATTGTCTTTTGCAGCTGGACTTCGTAAATCGTATTGGAGTGGCTGCATGAAGGCTGCGACAGTGATTTGTCAGCAGATTTTCTCCATTTTGGGGCTAATGATTTTCCTTCTAAAAATCCTTTTAAAAAGTGCTTCAAAATCGTCTTTTTTCCGCTCTGGCGTCGAGATCCGGTTTTGGAGCTACAATTTCCGACCCAGTTGCGCGTAGTTCTATTGTGTTTTGCAACTCAGTCTCTGCAGATCGCATTGTAATGGCTGCGTCAAGGTTGCTTGGTGCCGCGGCTGCCTGCGCAATACTAGTGTCTTTTGCAACTGGACTTCGTAAATCGTATTGGAGTGGGTGCATCAAGGGTTCGACAGTGATTAGTAGTAGTGCTGGGAATTGATTAATGAAAGCTTAATAGATGACATATGAGAAGGGACGAGATGAGAAGAGATGAGCTGGGATAAGGTGAGAAGAGCTCAGATGAGATGAACTGTGGAGTGTGAAGAGTGCAGTGTGAAGTGTGGAGCGTGAAGAGTGCAGTGTGAAGTGTGAAGTGTGAAGTTTGGAGTGTGAAGGAAGCAGTGAGAAGTGAGAAGTTTGAAGTGTGGACTGTGAAGTGTGGAGTGTGAAGTTTGGAGTGCAAAGAGTGCAGTGTGAAGTGTGGAGTGTGAAGAGTGCAGTGTGAAGTGTACAGTGTGAAGGAAGCAGTGGGAAGTGAGAAGTGTGAAGTGTGGAGTGTGAAGTTTAAGTTTGGAGTGCGAAGAGTGAGTGTGAAGTGTGAAGTGTGAGGTTTGGAGTGTGAAGGCAGCAGTGAGAAGTGAGAAGTGTGAAGTGTGGACTGTGAAGTGTGGAGTGTGAAGTGCGAAGTGAGAAGTGTGAAGTTTGGAGTGTGAAGGAAGCAGTGAGAAGTGAGAAGTGTGAAGTGAGAAGTGTGAAGTGTGGACTGTGAAGTGTGGAGTGTGAAGTGCGAAGTGAGAAGTGTGAAGTTAGGAGTGTGAAGGAAGCAGTGAGAAGTGTGAAGTGTGGAGTGTGTGAAGTGCGAAGTGAGAAGTGTGAAGTGTGAAGTGTGAAGTTTGGAGTGTGAAGGAAGCAGTGAGAAGTGAGAAGTGTGAAGTGTGTGAAGTGTGAAATGCGAAGTGAGAAGTGTGACTGTGAAGTGAGAAGTGAAGTGTGGACTGTGAAGTGTGAAGTGTGAAGTGTGACTGTGAAGTGTGAAGTGTGAAGTGTGGAGTGTGAAGTGTGAAGTGTGGACTGTGAAGTGTGGAGTGAAGTGTGGAAAGTGTGGACTGTGAAGTGTGGAGTGTGAAGTGCGAAGTGAGAAGGAAGCAGTGGGAAGTGAGAAGTGTGAACTGTGAAGTGTGGAGTGTGAAGTGTGGAGTGTGAAGTTTGGAGTGTGAAGGAAGCAGCAAGTGTGAAGTGTGAAGTGTGAAGTGTGAAGGCAGCAGTGAGAAGTGAGAAGTGTGAAGTGTGGAGTGTGAAGTGTGGAGTGTGAAGTGTGAAGAGTGTGTGTGAAGTGTGGAGTGCGAAGTGTGGAGTGTGAAGACTTTGCTTCGTCTCTCGCTGAAAAAAAAAGCCGCTTGTCGAGGGAAGGACACGGTCGGGACAGGCTGGCGTCGAACTATAGGTCATTTATTCTTGGGAAACTTCCGCCGCCGGCTTGCCCGGGTCTATGTTATACTTAATAATGTATTGCTATGTATTCATATGTATTCTAGGTATTAACCCAGCCCCACATCTTCCAAACGGGACTCTTACCCGATTCCCTCCATCCCCATTGAACCAGTGCACCTTGCTGAGTGGGAACCTGAAGCGGCAGCCACCGCACTTGCAGCTACCTTCTCAGCAGGGATCTCGGTCTGTGGTTTGGATGCAACAAAAATCATGTTCACTATGTGCAAGATCACTTGCAAATGCTGCTTTTCGTTGTTTGTCACAGTTGCTCATGCGCTACATCAAATTCATCATACCTAGCTTATCCATGCTTATCCTACCTTACTACCTTACCTTTTGCTTTTTAAAGGATCCAGAACAAATTGTGGGGTCATCAATGGACTCTTTGGACTTGCTGATTCCAGCCTACCAAGGTCGAATCCGTCGACGGGGTAGCTTCCTGGCCAAGAGCTGAATCGTCACAGGTTAGATCAGGGTGTTTGATTAAGGCTTATTAAGGGGAAGGGATTACATTTCTTCTGAATTCTTGGTTTCATCTGGTTTACCTATAGTTTACCAAAGTTGGCCGAGTAAAACTCTAGCTTCATATGTGAATTTCTTTTTCAATGACCTTTCAGGCAATCTATACAATCTATTGTCGTATCTTATGAATTGTCATAACATGTCATAACCTGACATAAATCAGTTTGCGAATAATTCACCCTACGAACCAATATAAAATTAATATAACCAATACTCGTTACTCGCCCTCAAATTTACGGGTCGCGGCATGCGGTGAAAACCTTCCCTCCCTATCGCCTCGTCAAGACGGACCTCGGAACATTGGCTTCGCTGGACCATGTGTGCTCCACATTGCTCCAACGAAGAAAAACATTAATCTGTCCATCATATTATCCATATTTTTATCATTATCAGGAATTATTGATTCATTCCCTTGGGGAAGGCATGTTTGGGATGATTCGGGTTCCCTAACTTGAGATACATCTAGTCTGGTCAGATGAGACGTTTGGTTCTGTGAGGCTGACAGAAGTGTCACATCTTAGGCATTCAGACACGAACCAGACATGAAGCTCGCAACATTTCGTGCAAGGTGCCATGCTCTTTGCTGAAATCCAGCATGCATCCTTGTCACTGTGACAGGGTATGGGCTAAAATTGGGCTCTGTACCCGAATACTGCACTACAGAAAGCCTGCAAAATGGCCAATATTCCCCTTTTAGTGATTGAATCCCCGATGTTGACGGTTCAACCACCAACAGTTGATGATTAAAGCATGCTAAACTCCAATGTTTAGTCGTCTTTAAATATGCTTGCAGGTTAAACACCCATTCTTGGCACCCTATCTTGGTCCCGAACTTTGGCGAGCTCTTGGGCCAACTCATCAACGTCCGCTGTCATAGTTGCTCCGGAAATTGCTCTGTAGACTGTAGGCATGAGGTCTTCTGGTTGCAACCACAAGTTGGAACTTCTGTGTTGTGGAATGGCTGACTCCTGCCCATGATTGGACTTTAACAGAAGTGGTGGGGTCTGAGCCCAAATCTTCTTGGAGAGAGAGAGAGAGAATCAAACACACATACACACACACCCCACGCATCCAACTATGTCACAATGAAGTATCTTGCTCTACATTCTACATGCAATTCCTCCGTGTTCATGCTCTGTTTCTGAATTGCCGCAGGCAGCGAACATTTCAATCTCTTGGAATTCGGGACTGCAGTTGAACAGTGCTTGAAGTTGCTAGCGACCACTGCTGACTTTGGTGCTATCGGCTCTCGGACATCTTGCAGTCTGCCACCCCTGAGGTCATCGGTCGATCAAGTGGAGCTGTTGGACGTGTAAATCTTTCCATCAGAGTGAAGTCCAGGTCACTGATTCCATGACACCCGGTGTCATGGGACTAATTAGTATAGTAGTGACTAGTAGATAAAGGGGATTAGTTTGAACCGTGTCGAGGCTGTGAAGGCATCCCATTTCTCACCAAAGCTTTCCTTCAGAATCTCCTCCTCTGCAGTGATGCGACGAGAGTAAAATAGCAATGCAGCGATGCTTAAAATGCCGCATCCCAACCAAGATTGCAAATCCAACAGGCTGCTTATGAATAAAATGAGATAGGATGTATAGATCGGATGTCGAACCAATCGGTACGGGCCGGTTGTCACAAGCTCTGAAGAGACTGCTACTCGATCATAGTTCCTGAGGGCTCGCCCCAGGGAAGGAGCTGCCAAAGCCGCGAACAACAAGATAGGACAGTTCTACAATATTGGCTTCCGCAAATGTCCAAAGATCATTGCTGATGCAAGCACTTTACAAGTCTTTACAGTTGACTTGGGGTACTTTTCCCAAGCAAGAATCGAACTTAAACACAGTTTTAACTTTAAGACTTTAAATGTCATTGAAACATATTCAAACCACCAATCAGCATTCCATGAGTGTTTCTTCTCCAAACTCCACCTCTCTGGCTCTCCATCCTGAGTCAATCCCTGTCCTGCCCAAATGCCATGCCGCCGTTCCAGTCAAGACCATCGCAACAAAACGCGGCAGTTTCCAGCCAAAACTCAAGACCCTGTGCTGCTGGACAAAGAGAACCACTGCCAGGATATGTGCCAGGAAAAGGGCCAACAGAAGGAACCTCAGGTCAAAATAGGATGAAATAGACATGGGTCAAGTCGGGTACCTTTGATGCACAAATGGCTGGTCAATGTCTAGTCTCAACCAAAAGCCAGTTTTGAAAGGCAATAATCAATTCTATTAAAAAATTGACCCATACCCAGAGCATCCCAGAGCTGCGCCCACTGAAGCCCTGGAGAAGCAATTTCCAGTTCAACTGGCTCTGGTAGATTCCAAAAGGGCCTAGTACTCACAATCCGCTGACTCCTGTTCCATGTTCTGAAACAGGCTTTATCGAAGTAAATAAAGTCAAGGAAGAGAATCATCACATGCACCAGAAATGATTGGAGTAGCCTGCGGAGCAGCTACATTTGGGTCCCAGTCTATTGCTGGCAATTGTGATGAAAGCATAAACATCACATTCTGCTTGCAGTCCACACCTCACACTTCCTAACAGCTGCCGGCCACGACGAGAACAAAGACATACCCAGAGGGTGACCTACAACAGAATCACCAAAGATAATGGGAAATGGTAATGGTACCAGCTAGGTAGGAAATTGTAGATACGACGGATTGTAATGCCCGTGATTACCCAGACCCTGGCAACCTTCAGTTGAGCTGCAGAAAGTCCTGTGGGCGAGTACCAGGCTTCCCCTTTCTCGCCGGACGTGCATAACTCCCATATCGCCAAGCTCGTGGAACAGTGCCAACCAAGAAAAAGGCCAGGTACTCGAAAGGAAGAGAGCCTGGAGTCAACGTATCAAGATGCACATCAGCAACATTCATCACTGCCGTGCATCAACAGAAACCCATCAACCCCATCATTCAATTCCAAGCATTCTGTGCCTAGAACCAGTCCACCGCAAATTTTCCTTGGTGACATGGCCAACCCCGCTGGTAGAAGCAGCAGCAGCCATATGGCTACCAGTAGCTGCAGCGGTTGCTGCAGCTTCTCTGAGAGCGACAGCGGGCGCCATCTGCTGTCATCCTTCGCTGCCCTCGCCAAAAGCCTGGCAGGGCGACTCGGGCGCTGGCGGATGTGCCACTGAAGGCACCGGAAGGGAGCTGGAGAAGCCATGGAAAAGGAAGCTAGCATCCTGCTAACTCCAGTTGGTGAAGCAAGGTTGGCTGGTGATGCTGGTAGTTCACTTGCAACCTTTTTCTTTACATAGGATTTAGGATGGGGGAGCTGGATCTGGAACCCCCTGCTTTCTTCGCAACAATCTTCGCGGTTGAGCCGCAAGTGCTAAGGAGAGGTACATGAAATGCTGCAAATATGAATATATTAAGACAGAAGTCAAACATCACTCGGGTCATTTTCATCCTGAGTCTATGCGCGGAGATTCTATGTAGATGTTAAAGTTAAAATTGCATTTTTTTTGTGTGTGTGCAGATATTATGCAAACGTTACGGACTTGATTTCATAGACAAATATCGATTTGCTTGCCCAGAGCCACCCAAACTCATGCATCAGATTTGACTGTTGTATGGACTGGAGAAAAGTGGATTATTCGAAAACATCGAAAAACACTGCTTAGCGATCCCAGAATCCATGAGAATCCACGAGAATCCATTAGAATCCATGAGATCATGAGATCACATGATCTTGGGTCCAGGAGTGCACTTTTTTCGCAGCACGCTCTTCGTGCCTTTGCAATTCCACTGCGTGTCGGCGCGCCTTTAGCGCCAGGCAGATTTCTATCGCTTGCAGTGGAATGCAAGAATAAAGGATTCCATGTGGTGCCAAGGAGCATGTCCAAATGGTGCTTAAAGGTTCGCTGTCAAACTTCCTCGAAAAAGTCAAGGATCTGACTACATGTTGATTGTTCTTGATCTGGGCAAATTTTGTATTACACCTTCCGAATCAGAAAAGGGATGAAACAGGCCCTTTCTGGTTGGTTTTCCGTCCGCAGTGTTCGAGACCCTCTGTCATCCCTCTATATAGTTACTAGATGTTACTAGTTGATTGGTTGATGGGATTCTCTTGAATGGGTCACAATTCATAATTCATAGTTCCCAAGAAACATCAATAAACCAAGTACAGTATATAGATTAGTCCCCCATGATAATCAACCAGGAATGACTGGTCACTGCTCAAATGTGCCACCCCTCTTCCTTTATCTTCCTGGTTTGCTCTCTTGCCGCTTGGCACGCGTCACCTGGAGCGCATCATCCCAGAAGCAAAATCTACTGACAAAAGGATCATGTCAAGGTCGGAAATGATAGATTGACACCCAGCAACAGTTGTAGACTGCAAATGCTTTACACAGGCGCATATGCAAACCGAGAGAGAGATAGAGAGAGAGAGAAGAGAAGAAAAGAGAAGATAAGAGAAGAGAAGAGATAGTGATATAGATAGATGCAGCTTTTATGACATATATAAATATCTATTCTGATTCCTGATCCAATTTTTATCTGTCCTCTGACAGCATGAACAAGGTAGACATCTGAGTCATGGTCAAGGAATGGTATGTGAGATATGGTAATCCCACTTTCATTGGGAATTGCCTTTATTGGATATGGTATATAAACCCCTGTGCATTTGAGTGTAACATAGTGTGACCCTCCTCTGAAACGATCCTTAACCCTAGTTTTTACATGTTTTTACTGCGGCACATATTGGGGATGTCCAAAATTATGGTACCCGAAAACTGCCCTTACGCCGCGCTTTCGCGAACCTTTCTTTCGCGCCCTTTCGCGCCCCAGCAGAATCGGGACATGTGATTATGATCAGGTTTTCGTTTATTTATAGGTTTATAAATAGTGGTATTCAGACCTTTCGCGAACCTTACGCCGCCCTTTCGCGGCCTTTCGCCACTGCAGCAAAACATACACATCCATATCTGCACATGTCACTCGGATACTAAAAGCCTTGCATAGGTTTTAGGACGACTCCCATATGTACACAATGAATCAAAACCCAGGTGTCCTGTGAACATCAAAATAGCTGGGTAAATGGATGTTCCCCCAAACTATGGAACAATAGTTTTTTTTATCCATCCTCATACTAAGTATGCCATGGCCAAAAATGCGCCTCTAGGGCTTTGCCACCTCTACAGCAAGGGCTTTCCAACCAGAGAGACCTCAGAGTCGAACTTGGCAGCGACTTTTGGGCTTCCTAAAATGAGAAACTCCAAAATTGCGCATTTTAAGTTGGAAACTGGGGAAATCAATGATTCTGAGGTTCCCCTATTTTAGGAAACACCAATTTGGCTGAACATCTTTGGCAGTCTAAGGTGCCTTCAAACAGGAGTTGACTAGCTGTGCCTTCGTCGCGATTCTTTTGAAAACTGAATCAAGTCGCTGAACACTGCCGAAAGAAAGAACACCTATGGCTTGGTTCTTGAGAAACCCTGTTTACCACAGTTTGACTTTGCTGGATCAAGGATTTGGCAGTTGATCGCAAAGAAGACGGATGTGCTGCAACAGCCACACCTTCCATGGGACCGGAACGCATTCAGCAACTCAACTGGATACATGTTCAACCTGCCTTGAAGCATTCTGTTCAGACCTAATGCACAAATGCACAAGCATTGGGTGCAGGCTTTGCGATATACATACTATATACATACATTATCATACATTTCATCTTTGTGATGAAACTTGAGCCTCAGAACACTGCCAGCAACATGGCACATAACAGAAACCGGTTATAAGTTTGCTAGTCTTGAGCCTCAAACAACTGCCAGCCAAATGAAACTAGATATAGTATAGTCTTTAATTTAAGATAAATAAAGCTGGATTTTCCTCACATATCCTCGCATTTGCTGGATTTTACACGCCATTACCAGTGAATCAGTGCCTTCTGCATCCAAGGGAGGTGCAACGCTCCAAGGAGTTGCAGGGATCGATGCAAGCTGGGCACCTCAGCTGGTGGTTTTGGGGGCCATGGCCACCCAATGTTTCTACATGATAGATGATATATGTACAACGTGTACCATGTAATGATATGTCATGAATCTATATCTATCATTATTATTTATCTGAATTATTCTGACTGCATCTGATTTCCGGATACCCACTTTGTCTTCTGCTTTTACAACACTTTCAGCTGACTGATTTGGTTCCAACCTTCTGCGGAAAATCCATTGCACGTTTTGTCTCCGCTGGTCTCTGTGGACGGCACCAACCATATCAACGGCCAGAGTTCATCAACGTCCCCCTTCAGAGCAGGCCTACCAGTCAGCTCGCCATTCGCTTTGCACAGAAATGCTTCCAATATTACAGAGAAACCGACCTGCTCCATTACTATGTTGGGAGTCGCTAATCAGCTTTTGCCGGTCAAAAAAGAAATTCCTCGCCGTCCGCAAGGGACTCAGCTCCCAGCAAGGCATCCACAGCAGCATCTCGAGTTTCTCGCACTGCCTGCTGCACCAAAAATGGGGGGATGCAGTGCAGTAAAGTGACTATTGTTGCCATTGGTGAAGCAACCCCTCCCAGAAAGGTTTGATCCGCTCCACACACGAGCACCCGGAAAAGTTTCGTTCTTCCCTTGAAGTAACAACAGCACCATCATAAATCATAATAAACATTAATTAATCTATAGATATCCAAAGCTTCAGCTAAGAGATTCTACGGAAGATCTTCTGTGATCTTGCCCTGACGGCACTCGCGAGCCAGTGTGGGGGAGGTCATTTCACGAGGTTTTTTTCAATCGGAAAAGTGCAGTGGTACGAATCGAATCGAGATGCTATTATAATAGTGCTATGCTAGCAAGCAAAGATAGTAGTCGATAGTAATTGTAATGATGAGTGCAATCATAAACATAAAGCATGTGTCAAAACATGTCAAGACTACCTGCGCGACTTCACAAGTTTGCTCAGTTGTCGGTGTGAACACATAGATTCTTCGCCTGCCATCCCCATTGCACAGATCGATGCCTCGCATGATCAAGTTGGCTTGGTGGGAGGAAAATGCAGAAATTATTGGGGTTATGATTTTGTAAAAAAATGAAAATTGTTGCCATGTTTCTTGTCATTCATCTTTCGGATTTCATGGGATCAAATGAAATAACAATTGGGCATTGTTCAGCTGTCCTCCACTCTACAATGGGTATGACTGCTGGCCAACATGACGAGCATCACGGGCAGCTCAACATGGACATGTTTATCAGATCGGAAGACTGTTGGCTGCAACGCTGCTTCTACTGATCAGAGTGAAGACCCCAGGTTGCAACTTGAAACTTGGAAAACTTTCGAGCTTCAGAGGGTTGCGGTATTTCTAGGCACTGCCGTATGTCACAGTGGTGTGGCTGTGAGCCGAGTACCCAACCCAAGAAATGCACCAGCATCGGGTGGTCGAGGGAGGTTACGTGTTGGCTTCGGTACCTGTTTCCGGCATCCCGGCAGTTCTTGAATTCCGAAATCTTCCACGGAATGATTCGCGTGGCATGTGATGGCTATAAGCGACCAAAATAAATTCTCAGCAGCTCTGCAGGAAGGGCCTTCCCAGTTATTTATAACCTCATCGAACTATGGATATATCATGAAGTTACATTAAATATCATTAAATTACCATACATATAATATATTCATAAATCATGATAAATCCACATGTCTTCAGTGCTGCAATGCCGGAACAGGCACCGGCCGATGCTTTACGGTGGGCCGCGAATGGAGAGGCAGCTCCCAAGCCTGGAATTATGATTCTCCAGTGGTACCCATGGGTATCTTATATTTTCGATAGACACAACCATTTAAGGAAACAGCAAATGGCGACTGTCGTTTGTTTGATCTCATCTCACAATCCAGTCTTAAAGACGGACAATTGGGGATGTTATTGGCATTACATAGCCCTTTGATTGAACACCAAAACATCCAAAGGCGGATTCAGCAACTCAAATCTCCAAAAAAAAGGGCTTCCAAAAAACTTTGAGCGGTCGAAAAACAAGTGCTAAGGTCAACACAATAAGGGCCTCACTAACTCTCAAAGCCTCAGTGCCAAGGAGACCACAAGACCAAAAGAGCTTGCACTTCTAAATGCTCCAATGTAAGTTATGCATTTACCCTCTGGTAATTTCACATAGCTATATGGAAAATAACCATTTATAGGTACTTATAGATGCTTTACAGATAAACAGTTGCCATATTGTTGCCATCTTCCAACTCTTGAATTACCAGAGGGTATATCAAAATATTCTAATCATATGAGCTCCCGTCAAAACTCCTTACATCTGAGTAGTTGCTATTGTTATTGTTATCGCTTTTGGGGGGGGCTATCGCTTTCCAGGGTTTTGTGGAAATCAGCATATTCGAGATCCAACATGAAGCCAAAATCCATTCCTAAACAGGCTCGGAAATGGATCAAGGAGTTGTTTTGTTGGTTTCAGGTGCTTCGGCAACACTTCATGTTCCTTTCATGTTGCATTCATTTGCTTGCATCTTCCTTTCATTTTGCATGCATCTTCCTTTCATTTTGCATTCATTTCCTTTCATGTTCCTTTCATTCTCCTTTCATGTTCCTTTCATTTGTATTCATTTCCCTTCATTTTCCTTTCATGTTATCGCTAAGTTATCGCTAAGGCTATCGCTAAATAAACCCTCCAACATATGAGATTGTTCCAAGGAAATTTGCCACAAAAACGACAGAGTGAGAGAGAGAGAGAAAAAGAAAGAAAGAAAGAAAGAAAGAAAAACAAGAAAGACAGAAAGAATGAAAAAAAGAAAGAAAGAAAGAAAGAAAGAAAAAAAGAAAGAAAGAAAGAAAGAAAGAATGAAAAAAAGAAAGAAAGAAAGAAAGAAAGAAAGAAAGCGAGTTGGATGCCAAATGATATGGTAACTGCAGGAAACACGGCACCACTGGTTGAATTTCCCTTATCGGTTTTGCCCGTTCTGTGAATGGGCGCGACAGTATTTGCTTGGTTTACGTCAAGTTCAATGGACTGTGGTGTATGGTCCCAGGTTATCGCTTTTGGGGGGCCCTATCGCTTTACAGTGTTTCGTGCACATCTGATTTTTTTAAAAAAATCCTGCAATCTTAAAGTGGTCTTCAGCCATTTTGACCGTGACTCATATATATATATATATATAATCTACATATTATATATTATATATATATATGCACCAGGCCCTGCCACCCCCCCTCCCCCCCATGGGATGGGTCCCCCTCCCCCCTGTGGTGTGGTGGGGGTGTGGCACTGTCCCCCTCCCCCCCCTGTGGTGTGGTGGGGGTGTGGTATGGTATGTTGGGTATGTATGGTGTGTATGGTCGGTCTGGTATGGCATGTTTGGAAAGTATGGTACGTTTGGTATGTACGGTAGGTATGGTATGTATGGCATGAAAGGTGGTATTGTATGGATGGTAGGTATGGTATGTAAGTCTGTTGGGTATGGTATGTTTGATATGACAGTATGTATGGCCTGTATGGTATGTATGGTATGTATGGTTACTATGATGGGTGTGTTTCCTGTGTAAGGTAGGTATGATATGTATGGCATGAATGTTTGCTATTGTATGTATGGTAGGTGTGGTAATCATGTTTCATATGTATGGTATGTGTGGTATGCATGATAGCTATGATAGGTATGGTATGCATGGCATCATTGGAATGTATGGTAGGTACGGTATATGTTAAACACATGTAGTGTTGTCAGAGTAGACTGGTAGTAAAAAGGAAGTAGATACATAGCACATGTATATATGACTATAGGTACCACGTAGGCGTCACGTAGGTACTTTGAGGGAGTATGTGTGCTGCGTAGGTCGCCGAAAAGGTAGCATGTACCTAGTAAATGCGAGGCTGGTAATCAGAAATGCTGCAAAGACCTTGCAAATACGAAGCTGGACCTCAGAAATGCTGCCAATAGCTTGCAAATAGAAGGGAAGGGGGGGGTGCTACCTGGGGACCCGACCCATTGGGGTGGGTGGGTGGAGAGACGGAGGACGGGACCATATATTATATATTATATATTATATATTATATATTATATTATATTATATTATATTAGATTATATTATATTATATTATACTATATTATATTATATTATATTATATTTGTATTATATTATATTATATTCTATTATATTATATTTGTTGGGTAAATCATGGTAAATCAATTGCGCTGCCGCCTTCACCGTCTTCACCGAGGCTATCACCACGGAGCCTTGAAAACGCTGGCGTCCGCATCGCAGCCATGACATCAACTGCCTTGGCAGATGGAAATGAAGGTATCAACCAGCAGACATGGGGGTCTTGACCGACACAACGATAGAGAAAGATGTCCAAACCAACATGGATGTAGAACGCATGGGGCTATCACCACCGATGGCTTGGGGTAACGAGCGGTTGATTGGGATTATTGAAGGTAATGGAAGCGATTCTGCAAATGAACTCCTGCTTTCCGCTGTGACATGCTGTCCATCTTCCGTGAAAGGCCGCCCCGTTGCGAAATGAAACTGCCACGGCCCAACGGCCCCAAACACGGCGAAAAGTTGCAAGAAGAATACTTCTTGCGAAAAAGCACCAGCACGGCCAAAGCTTGAGAGATCCAGCTTTGACATGCTTTGACTAGAAAACCCAATACACTGTGGATTTGGGCAGTTGTGCTTCAACACCGGATCCAGTAAACACATCTGTGGTTGATAGCAATCGTTTGCGCGGTCAAGCTTCTCTCGGCTGGTTGGCACACACTGGAGCAGTGCTTTCTTAAACAGTCCAAAGAAATAAGCTTTTGGCTTCTGCAGCAGCTTCAGGTTGACGAACGATGAGTTCATCAGTCACACATGGTCACACCATCAGCAATCCAATCCGCGCCTGCAACAAGTCCGAAGCGGGGGCACCAACATTTTGCAGAGCTGACTGAGTGCACTTGTTGCCTTCCATCAGGGACTAATGACTGATTTGGGCACAATTTCCACACACTTCATCCGAAGGGTTCCGTTCCCAATACCTGCTCTCGTGTCTGAAATATGGATACTTTTTAATTTTGGGCGTGGATGATGAATATGCAGCGATGTTTCACTCAAGCCCGTCCAAAGAATATCCTGTGCAAAAGCGTGAGGCCAACCACTATGCTGAAAAGAGCTATGAAGTGGACAGACTTCACTAAGCCAGTGCATTGGATTGGAAATGATACTGCTAACAATGCTATAGATTAAAAAATAAAACGAAAGTATGAAATTGTTTAACACTATTCCATACTATTATCCAGTAACCTATCTGCTGTTGTTGTTGCTGTTGTTGTTGCTGTTGCTGATGCTCTTGCTGCTGCTGCTGTTGTTGATGCTGCTGCTATGACAATACTCAGATCGCATCACACCTGAAGTTGTTGGGAAGTGCAAATACCAGTGGCACCTTGTGATAATTGTGAATCCTCTTTGCACAACCACGGAGAAAGGCGACTTCCATACAAAGTAGAACACCATCTTGGGCTGCTGCAAGTACTGGTGATGTCTTTGACTGAACCCAACTCATCACTTCAGCTGGGTAAAAATCTTGAAATAGGGAATTTAACCCCTATTCATGGCTTTTTGAACTGGGAAAACACCTTGATAAAAATCGATCACCACAGGGATTTTCGTGGATTCCAATTCTCAAAGTGTCGCACCTCAGGCAATTTCAGGCAATTCGGGAGGTGTCCCTTCCGAAGATCTCGCCCCGCAGCCAATCCAAGCCCACCAGGGCGCGATTTTTCCAACCTGCTGGCGGTGAATCCCGAATCATTGAGCGCAAAGGATATATGATTTATGATATAATGATGATATAATGATAATATATGATGATATATGATGATTTATGATGATTTCTTGGATCGGAAATGGCCTGACTTGCACTATTTGCAGTGTTTTGCGGCCCCATGTGGGTATCTTTCTTCGATCACCATCCAGAGACCGGTTCCAAGGAACTCAGCTGAGCCGATGTCTCGTAGAGTTTCCAAGCGACACCAGCAGCAGGTCCTGTGATTGGACCAATCACTGGCAGATCAAAAGCTGCCGAACCACCTGCGCGTGGAAGATGAGGAGGCTACACTGACGGGTACACCTATGGAGATCGGGGGCCATTGGTGGTTTCAGCCACAAAAAAAGTAATTGGGATCATAATCATAAGGATGGACATGTGAAACATGAGGCCAGGGTAAGGGTACGAAAGCTGGCAGTGCTGTTGTAGGTTGCAATATCTATTGGGTCCAGCAAGCGAGAACCCCCTAATGCAGCAATCGTCTCTCGCCAGGTTTTTCGAGCAAAAGAATTAAAGACAAGATTAAAAAGAAAGGCCCCCAAATGGAAGTCCAAATCTGCATTAGGCGTACGCAAGATGTTCAAGGCAATGCTGATGCAGCCCTCCCAGGTCCCCCCCCTCCCCCCCCAAAGGGTATGGGTATATAGTTATAGGGCTAAGAGGCTATGTTCCCCGCCCCCCCTGTGGGTGGATGGGGGGTGGGGTGGTGGGGGGTGGGGGGGTTAGTAGTAGTTAGTAGCAGTCAGTAGTTAGTCAATAGTTAGTCAGTAATTAGTAGTTAGGTAGGTAGTTAGGTAGGTAGTTAGGTAGTTAGGTAGTTAGGTAGTTAGGTAGTTAGGTAGTTAGGTAGTTAGGTAGTTAGGTAGTTAGTTAGTTAGTTAGTTAGTTAGTTAGTTTAGTTTATTTAGTTAGTTAGTTAGCTAGTTAGTTAGTTAGTTAGTTACTGACCCAACCCATTGGGGGGGACCTCGTAGTCGGAAGACGGGATCATATATATATATATACGTATATATGTGTATGTGTACATATGTATATGTGTATATATATATATATATGTGCACATATGTATATGTGTATATATATATGTGCACATATGTATATATGTGTATATATATATATATATGTATCTATAACATGTGTATATATGAGTCCGGATCCCGGATCCCTGGCCCCCCCCCATGGTATGGTCCCCCAAGCTCACGCGCTCGGGAACACGGGACACGGGACCATATATACATACCTACCTACCTACCTACCTACCTACGTACCTACGTACCTACGTACACACGTACATACATACATACATACATCCATCCATGCATGCATGCATGCATGCATCCATCCATCCATCCATACATACATACATACCTATCTACCTACCTACCTACATACCTACATACCTACATACCCACGTACCTACGTACCTACGTACACACGTACATACCTACATACCTACGTACCTACGTACCTACGTACACACGTACATACATGCATACATACATACATACATACCTACCTACCTACCTACCTACATACATACCAACATACCAACATACCAACATACCACCACCACAGGCCACAGGGGGGGGACCAGAAGAACCATACCACCATCCCAGGCCACAGGGGGGGGGTGGACCATGGGGGGGGAGGGGGGGGGCTTGGGAGTCCTGGGTCATATATGACTATAGGTAGCACGTAGGTACTTTGAGGGAGTATGTGTGCTACGTAGGTCATCTAAAAGGTAGCATGTATCTAGTAAATGCATGTAAATGCGAGGCTGGTAGTCAGAATCGCTGCAAAAACCTAGCAAATACGAGGCTGGACCTCAGAAATGCTGCCAATAGCTTGCAAATAGAAGGGAAGGGGGGGCGGAAGATGGGATCATATATGTATATATGTATATATGTATGTATGTATGTATGTATGTCTGTCTGTATGTATGTATGTATGCATGCATGCATGCATGTATGTACGTACGTACGTACGTATGTATGTATGAATGTCTGAATGTCTGAATGTATGAATGTATGATAATGTATGTATGTATGTATGTATGTATGAATGTATGTATGTATGTATGAATGTCTGAATGTCTGAATGTATGCATGTATGCATGTATGCATGTATGTATGCATGCATGCATGTATGTATGTATGTATGAATGTATGAATGTATGAATGTATGAATGTATGAATGTATGAGTGTGTGAGTGTATGAATGTATGAATGTATGAATGTATGAATGTATGAATGTATGAGTGTGTGAGTGTATGAATGTATGAATGTATGAATGATGAGGATGAGGAGGCGGATGAGGAGGAGGAGGAAGAGGAAGAGGAAGAGGAATATAATGATGATCATTTGGTGATTTTAGACTTTAGAGTTGATGGTTGATATACTGACCATGACGTCCTGAAGATGAAATACTGAAGAGGACGACCCTATACCTGCAGGAAACCAATGGCCCAGGGGGACCGGGGGGGATTGAACCTGGGCCTGCCAGGGGCGGGTCTAACTGCAAAGTTTCAGGGTTTCCAACGGTGCTGGTGGCTGCCTATTCCTTGCTAAAGCAAAAGCAACTTCAGCTAGCACAAGCCAGCTTTCGTAACAATTGAAACACCGAGCAGTATCAGACGTCTTTATCAGCTTGCAGTGGGCACATGTCCAGATCAAATAATCTGAGCTGTGGAGGATATAACCCTGGTACCCATACAAAACCCCTGTAAAAAGCCGTGTAATGCAATGCCTAAGAACCCCCCTGAAACTCCATTGACCATCTTATTATTCACAACCCCAGCTCCAGCCTCCAAGGTAGGCCAATGAACCTTTGTGGAAGTAGGTGAAGGGTCCGTTGGCGGTGGCCACTTCGGTGAAGCTATCAATGTCACCGTCCAAGACTGCCTCGCTGAAGAGAGACGCCAAATATTTGCCTGGCTGTGGCTGCGATCAGAGGCGGCCAGTCCGATCCCCGGTGCATCCCCAAAGCCGTGCTGTTTCTTTTTGCGGACTCGACCAGAGAAATCACCAGGGCAAACATTATAAAACAGTAAAGAATCAAACAAAATTCAAACAATCTAGGCAAAGTATGGCAAAGTTGGGTAGACTTTTGGTGTCAGTGGGCTCATCAAGATCAACCCCAAAACCTGGGAAGCCCTCGCCTTGTTGTGCTGCTACCTGAGCGGTAGGTGGGAAGGGCTGCAGATTCGCGTCGATACGCTCCAGCAATCCTTTGAACTCCTGGGGCGCGCTGCAAATTTCAGCTCCGCTGAGTTCGAACAACTTGCGATCAGTGGCTGTCATTCACTGGTGTGGACGCTGGTTAATTTGTGGCCGAGCTTCATGCTACCAGAAAGAAGAACAGTGGCAAGATTCAACAGGCTTCACTTCCAAGCCCAAGCCAGAAATAATTGCAGGACGCAGCTTGAAAAACAAAACTTGCACAAACTCAGGTGACCGTCGCCTACCGTATATAATCGTATATATATATATGTGTTCTTACCATATTCAACTAGTAGTATCCTACCCATGATAGTACTATCTTATCATAAACACATCACCTTAGCTGGACTGCAACTGCCTGAGCAACTGCCATCAACTGCCTCTCCTCCATGTCAAAGACACGATTGGAATCTTCATCTGCTTCTGCGAAATCCTTCTCCACGTCTGGTGTGCCCTTCTTCTTGGTTCGGTCAGAGGCGCGCTGCGACACCAGCGCTTTGGCCTTTTTCCATGCCTGTCTCTCGCCTGGCAATGGGCTCGTCAAAATGGCAAGGGATGGCCAGGGTGTTCCCATTGCTCCCCCCCGAGTATACTAGCCAAATGCAGCAGCTGATGAATTTCAGCTCTATTCCGTTGGCGTCTTTCCCTCTATCTATATATATATAGTTCCTACATGCAGCGTTTTGAAACTTTACACGAGAGTCTTTTGCAACCAGCATGCAGCATGGCTATATTCAAAAGCATCGTCTCTTTTGGTCTGTTTTGATTGGCACTCGATCGCAATTTCAGGAGGGCTACATGTGAGAAGCGCAACAAATAGAAGTGCCAAATTTTCCCATCAAGAATGGTAACCACAGAGACAGTGGTTTGGCCTTTCCTACTGAGATAGGACACCCTTTGCAACTAGGCTATTACACGGAGCAGTGTGGATTTATTTTACTGATTGGTTGACATGGACTCCGGCAATGGATCATTCCCGCCAGACCACACAATGTAACCACTAAAACAATATCTAGAACAAAGTCTTGGCAAGCTGCTCAGTGAGCTGTCTGGCATCTCTTGTTGTGTATGAGTGTATGAGCCAAATTTACACCACACAGACTGTACTGTACCAACCAAAGGCTATAACCAAGTCATAAACTATGCCAGGTACATTTGAAACTAGCTGCATTGCAAGACTCCTAGAAACTAGTACAGTAGCTACTAGTACGTTCCTAACTTCACAGTCTCAGGACAAAGCATGTTGGGATTCAGCAAAAGATCAGCTGCAGGTCAGAACGGCAAGTGGGTGCCATCAACAAACATCTCCATTTCTTTCCGTTGATCTGTTTGGACTGCATGATCTGCATGTTCTCCCCAGTTCCCGAGTCTCTTGCGAATGTGGTACATCCAATAGCAATACTAGTAAACCCTGAACATACCACATTCTACCATTCGAGACTACGATCAACCACAACATGTACCACATGACTGTTTGCTATGGTTTACCACGGTTTACCAGCATCAGTCCATCCGAAACGTTTCGTCCCCAGTCTTGCCAAGTCGCGTTCCAAGGCTTCGCCAAAGACTTTGGCGATGGCATTAACCCGTGGATTCGATTCCTCATCCACCACGGCGGACAAATACTGCCCGTATTCCTCCAGCTGCGGGAACTCGTCCGAGGCGCCCTGATGGGATTGCGATGGCGCACCGAGGGACTCGAATTTGACCAGGGCAGCTGGTCTTTTGCACCAAATTCCACAAGAAACGATCCAATCGGGAGATTGAGGACTTTGCTATGACAGTTGGGGCTTCAGCTAGATGCACGTAACATTACAATACATTTCACAACTGCAGAGATAACCTCAAGTGTAGTATTTGGACGGCAATGGAAAATAGATATTATATGATAGTATGTCCTAAAACTTCTGATCCCTTTCCGCCCTCCTAGACCATGGTGGATGACATGTGAGATCCAGAGTATTTCGGCACACTTCCCGCCCGAAGAAAATCGATAGTTTCAGCTCAAGGACTCAAGATGACCATCACTACAGCAATTCGCCCCGAAAGAATTACGCATAACAATAAAATCTCACTATGATGGTATGCCAATTACTTTTCCCTATAGTGGTAAACCTATATATATAGGTAAACCTATAGTGGTAAACCTATAGTAATCCTATAGATATAGTGGATATTCGTGGATATTAGTGGTAATATGACTTTGGCGCGTTTTTCCCACCTGGAAGAGGTCCCTGAGCTCGGTCAAAGTGAGGTCACCGGAATTGTCCAAGTCCGCCGCCTTGAAGAGCCTGAGCTGAAAGATGTGATATGGTGATGTGGAAACCATTTGAAAGCCATAATTCTATGTGACTATGTGATTTCTATTCTGTTCTGCAAATATGTATATCATCATAAATATATATATATATATATTAATATATTTAATATGATCATATCATATCAAAAGTTGACTATGGATTTTGTGGTTGATTTGTTGTTGATCTTTGCCTGAGTTCTACAAGCTTTTCATCTGGCACCCCCTTTTTGAATCTTTTTGATGCAGTTGTGTGTTGTGGAGTGAATTGCTGCGTGGTGTACCTTCAAGGTTGAGGACCGAAAGTGTTCAACTTACTGAATGGATGGGAAGGATTTGGCAACCAAAGCATTCCACCGTACAACAGGTATCATCAAGCGTAATCTGATACCATGCAAAGAAACGCCTCTCATTGGACAAGGTGCCCCTTCGCCCTGGAGAAGCAAGTTGAACCCACTGTGCTGGCGCTCAAGTTTCGGCAATCATTTAAGTCTGGATCGACATTCGGGATGCCCCCCAAGAATTGCATGCTTGCATATGCTTGCTCTTTGATTACTAACAGTTACAGTACTAACAATGACCAACACGCATAGTTCTCCGGGTCATGGATTCGAACAAATGGAGGTTTCCTGAAATTGGGGTACCCCTAAATAATCCCTTTATAAACGGTTTTTCCATGAAATAAACCATCCAGCTATTGGGGTAGCCCATCACTAAACCCCCATTTGACCAACCACTGGGGGTCACCGTGACCCAGAGAAATTAGTCCAGCAGCTGCTCAGCATACGGCAGAGTTCGCTCATGGCGCACTCTGGCAGCATCTCCCAAAGCCTTGCTGCGGCTTGGGGGGTGCTGGGCTGCCACTTCAGGCAGATCTGGGGGAGCTCATCAAAATCACCAAAAACCCAGGAAATTTGATCCTACACCCAGTCTTTTGAAAACCCAATGGCTTGCAATGGCTTGACCCAAAGGTTTCAAGGTCGGGTGCCTGAAATCGTGCTGACAGAATTCACTTTCTGCTTGCAACGGGGCAGAGATGTTCAGCAGGGGCTTCCGACTCCAACTTGCTGGATGAAAAAAACAAGAATTGACATTTGTTTCAGCCTTGACTAGGAAAGCTTTCGAAGATCCCGTTCACCAAACTTATTTGGGTCCTGTTGGCTTACCATTCTTGTCAGCATGCAGGCCATCCTGCATCCAGGGAACAAACAGTGAGCCACCGCTACCCCGAACCTGCAACCAGTCATCTGTGATGATGCCATTGGCAGGAGTCTTTAGGACCGCCCTCAGTTGCAAAGTGATGGAAAGTGCTTGTAATACTGACCGCCAAAGGACAAAAGGGGTCTAAAACAGATATGATGGACTTCCTTGTGATGGATTTGTTTTGATGCATCCAATTGCATTGCGGATCACATTGTTTGAAGAGGGGTACCAGAATACTGCGGACTTGATGAGAATAAGGTTTTCCAAGTGAAGTGGTTTGAACCACCATGCCAAGTCTCATATTTCCATCAGACACCCCGTCATTCAGTTCTAGCAAGGCTGATTTCAGCTGGCTGGTGAGCTCATTCTGCTTGATCCCTGCAGCCCAAACAATGCCTCAGTGCATTTGGATTATGGCGATCGTGGCATGACACCTGCACTGAATGTCAACCTTCCAATCCGGTAGTACATTTTTCTGTTGGCATGCTCAACCAGCTGTCAGTCCGAGAGTCAACCATAGGGCAATGTCCTCAGTGTGGAAGGAATCAGCAAAGCACAATCCCCATTACATCCAGTGCAGTTTCCACCCTCCGTCCACTTAGACCACTGGGCCAGCTGCAAAGGGGCACAGGATCTTCAGGTCCCAGCGGCATTTCCTCACCGCTCTTCTTTCTCATCTTGACTTCTTTCTTGGTGATCTCTGTCACTCTGTAGTTTGGCAGAACCTCGACACCTGGTGAGCTAAGCATCTGTGACGGCACCAGTATTGGGACCATCTTCAAAGGCAAATTCAGATATCGTATCCGCTGAATTATATGAATTCACCAGCCTGAAACCTGAAATAAGATCATTTTGGTGGTGACTTTGCGGTGACGTCAGTACAATTCAGTCAGATTATATGTATATAACACATATGAGCACATATGTATGTATAATCTGGCTGAGTTATATATAATATTACATATATATATATACGTATGTATATATATACATATATATGTGATTATATATATATTATATGTGTGATTATATGTATATATATATATATATGATTATATATGTATACATACACATATCTGCGTGTGTGTGTGTGAGTAATGTGCTTTCCTCATCTATTACAGCAAGCATTTACGTTATGTTGCTAGGGGCTGGAAGCTCAGCTTTCAGTGCCTTTGTCTGCAAAGACTTCGATACACTTTTCGGAGATGCCCCGATCATAGGTGGAGAGCAAGTAGTCACCTTGGACCCCAGAGATTCCATGACGACCCGGCGCCACTTGTGGATGTAGACTGAAAAACCCACCAGGCTATGGCAAAAAACTGTGTGCTATACGGGGATATACTATAGCAAACACACACACATATGTATATAATAAATATATTACACATGTATGTATAATATAATGAGTATATATATATATATATGTTCTTATTCAATAATGATTGCAATTTGTGGATTTCATTTGTCAAGCTGCCTGTGTTGATCAGCTTGACGTTCACGTACTTCATGAGCTTGGGATACAACTCCTGAGTGGCGTTGACCGGTGTACCCCATAGTGGTGCGCTGTTGGGGTGACAAAACTGGCTAGAACCATGCAACCTAAACCCATCCGAACAGGAGTTGGGGATATTTAATATGGGGCCTATGACATTCTGCAACTATGGTGATTTGTTTTTCATACTTTTTGTATATCCAGGCAAAGTTCACTGGAAGATTTAAGATTTTTGCAAATCTGCAGCTGAGCTTCTTTGGCATCGCCCGAAAGGAAATCCGCCAAGTCTGCAGCGACTTCCACACCAGTGGGGCCGCCGCCAATCACCCTGAGACAAAGAGTACATGGAACCGCTGTAATGTGGGTAAAACATGGTAAAACAATAATAAACCATCCCCCAGTCATCACCATTTTTATAGGTGCTATGTTTACCATTCCCAAATGAGTGGTTTATGGCATTGTTTTACCCTCTCGCCAGGCGATCGGAAACACAAGAGGCGTTTCCGCATGCTGCCAGGCTGCACGAAGCTCAACCACCTGCAGAATGGTCCCTAAAAGTTGGTGACCCAGCTGTCAGAAGATTTCATCTGCTTGAAATAAAAATCTACATGCACAAAACCACCAAAAACTTGAACTTCATCCAAACCATTCCCGGAAAAAACTGTCCCACTATTACCGGATTTCTATTGATTTCTTCTTTACGTGACCACGGCCGGCTCTCGTTTCACCACACGAGGGTGCCTCTCCTTCTGCTGCTCTGTAGCATTGGGCAAGGAGGCCCTTTCGAAAAGGTCGGTGACCTTGTCTCGGACCTGGAACGAGCTGGGCAGATGGAAAAATCCTACGTAGTCATAACTGGCTTCAAATGGGAAATCCCATATTAAGTCATATTAATGAAAATTGAAATGGGAAAATCAAACTAATTGTAAATGGATGTAAATGATGGATTTTCCAGCAAACCATGGATCTGATTACTGGAGGGCTCAACATCTCTTGATTCAGCTCCTTGAAACAACGGATTGCCTCCATAGCTCTGTCATTTTAACACGTTATAAAGCTCATATTACATGTGCAGACATGGATTTAAAAAAATGCTGCGATGGCCAAATCTTTGGATTCTGATTCTCCGGCCTTTCGAGCATCTGTGAGCTCCTTGAAGAAGAAGGCATGCTCTTGAACTCCAGGAGTGTTGAAATCGTTGGTCTGTGCCCCGATGCCATAAATTAATACGTCCTTCGGTGCACAGCGCTCATGTGCAACTTCCATGTGATGATGGGAATCGAGCATTCTACGCATTAAGAAATGCAACCAAACAAATAGAGACTCCCAGCCCTTCCAATACTGTAACTATTCTATACTATTCTATACTATTCTATAATTGAATTGGATGCAAATCAGCACATTCATTCACTTCACTGAAGCAAGTCCCTTCACCCCCGGGTCATATTCGATGTCGAACGACATCTTTCGCGGTACGGATTCCTGCTTGCATGCAAAGCGAGTTAAACTTTAAAACAAAGCAATCTACCGCTACAGATTCTTCTAATCAGCCGTAAATATCCATTTTCGAACCTAGAGTCTTCCGCCAATTTGCAGCTCTACTTTCAGCGAAGCCACTGAGAAACACAAGTTCTGAGACATGATCAAGCTGTGTGCTATCGCACTCAGCACCTCTCCTCTGGAAAGTGATCATAATCTATGTCTGCTGAGTTATCAGGTGTGCCAGCGCGAGTGCACCTTGGCAACATTATGCAACATTTAATATGATTGGAACACAGCCCTCAATGGTTGGAGTCTTTTGATGATAACTGATAAAGGCCAGCTGCCAGGATCATTCCTAGCAGGCACGCTTGCAACTGATGTCACAGCAAAGTGGGTGCAGCCTTTCCCGTCGAATTGAGTCCCAGCCAATCTTCGTGACTTTGTGACAGGTTTGCTTTCTGAAACTGCAGTGTCCCGGTTTCACCGGTTCTCACACGTCAGCTGAGGGCAGCACTTCACCACCTTATTCTTGACGTCGATGTGCTCGCACTTTGCTTCAAGGAAATCTGCCTCGATGTGTTCTCTCCAACATTGGTCCAGCATTGGAGACTGGTACCAGTTGCACTATGTTACAGTCTCATATAGTTTACACCATCGCCTCTGTTGCCTAGTTCAAGCTCCTAATCATGGGTGAAAAAATCGGGACTGTCAGGACCCACCTTGTCCTTAGTCACGCGTCGAATTGGTGTCACGATTGATCGCTCTTCAATCGATCCCATCGTACTCGCTGGGAGCAGTGGAGTGTACCTCAGCGACAGGCTTGCTCTAACATGGAAGCCAAAGTTGAAGTCTCGAAGTACGCAAGAAGTCAGGCAAAATTTCAGGCAATGTGAAGTCCGACAGTCTTCCCACAATTTTGCATGCGGTGAATAACACGACGCAAGCAATGCATCCAAGCCGAGTGTCAAGAAGAAATTTCGCGGTGAGACCTGAGGCCGCCAACAAAAGCTGCCCTGGTAGGAACAAATTGAGCACTGCACGCAATTGCAATATGTTGATGTTGTACTTGCATTACTTGCTGATAGATAAGCATTTCATGTCAACGTTTCATATCATATCACTTTGTAGCGCTTTGTAATGCGTTATATCACTTGCGATATCATTTCATATCACTTCAGGCTCAGTAGGCTTTCCTAGGCAAATAAAAGCATTCAACAAAATGAGACCCCCAAAAGCCGCGCTGCTGCAAACAAGAGGCCACCGTGATGTCGTAGTATTTAGCAATGTCTTCGGACAATCCCTGCAAGAATGTCACTGATCCCCAACCTGTACCAAGGACCACCATCTTTGGGCGTCTTCCGCTTTTATGGGCCGCGGGTCTCTCTTTGCTCAAAGTCTTGATCCCCGCAGCCACCGAGGCAGCCGCCCCACCAGCAGCTGCCAGCTTGCCGGCCGCCGCCACCTTGGCCGCGGCCGCGGCGGCGGCCACGGCGGGGCCGATCACCCGGCGCTGGACCTTGGGATTTTTGGCGCGGCGCCGGTGGAGTTTTCGGCTGCCAAGCGCTAAAAGTGTGGCAGCTGGAACTGCTGACGCCAAGGACTGGCTGGGAAGGCTTGCCCTCTGCTGTGGTTGGCGCACCGCAGGTGCCATGGGACTTGAAATCCCTCGAGACGTGCTGAGAGGTGCTACAAAACACGGCGACGCCATGGGGCCAAGAGGCCAAGAGGCCCAACTATAGCGTGAGAGTTGCTGTACTGATCGCTTGTGTCGAAACTTCCGCAGGATGTACGAGCCAAACATAGCAAAAAGTGAAATTCACGGTGCTGTGCTAGAGTTCAACCACGAACATGAGGCATGCAAGGCAAAGAACATGGGACAGTCTACCGTCACACCTGACATAGCCTTTATCTAAGCTTCGTGCGCCAGGTCGGCTATGGCGAAGGGCCTGCGGTGTGGTCTGGTGCTCCCTGGTTAGCACAGGGCTTCAACTTGCAAGCATTAACCAACACACAAGTGCCTCTTTAAAAAGATGCTATCCTGCCTATCATCCTGAGTAGCCTCTCGAAAGATCTCTCCCAGTGCCTGCGATGGATTTGTTTCTTGGTGGGACGAATGGATTGGTTTCTTACGTGTGATGACTATGCCATGCAGAAACTGTACGCCTCAGTTTGCCACATGATCAGTGTTCAATGTAATGGTTCCATGCCTCTTCGGTCCAATCGGCAGGGTCCTGAACCCATGACATTGGACAAAAATGACAAGACATTCCTGATGTGTCTTGGGTAAATCCTACCAATTCAATGAAAGGCTGGAATAAATCTCATGATCCTCATGGTTGTATAGAGGCATCCTACTAGCACATCAATCGTTAAAAGTCACAGCTGTCCTGCCCAACACGCTCCAGAATCAAAGCTGCTGCACCTTGCGATCACTCAGGGGGTGAACATTAATGCTGATTGACAGTCTTATACATTTTATGGTCTCATCCACATTGCAATCATCGTCCAATTGAAATTGGTAGGACATATTGTTTATTGGCTTTAAGTAATTTCAGACATATTGGCCAACTAGGCTGAATGGTTTCCACAAGGAGTGAAAAACAGCAAGTATTTCAAAGATGTTCAAACCACCCAGTAGAATGGCTACGTCGTTTAGTAGACATCGTGTTTTTCTCTGATCACAAATCCCCGAAGAATGGCATTTACTGGTAACCCTGCAAAAAATAAATAGAAAAGAACTTGTTACCATCATTTTCATTGGGTTCTCCTTTTCTGTCTTTGTTGGGATTGCTAATGTTGCTATAGGTTAAACTTAAACCTCCAACCAACCACCATTCTGACCTGTAGTGATGCCCAAGTGTTCGCCCAAGAGCACAGGAGGTACAGCAAGACCTCAAGAAATCATGGGGCAATCCTGGCGCAACATGCGACTTGTCTTTATAGAACTTCAGAAACTTCAGATCTCCCAAAATCTCCCATATATAACACATATATATATATATATACATATTATAAAATGTATACATACATTACATTACATTACTTTACATTACATCACATCACATCACATCACATCACATGACATTACATTACATTACATTACATTACATTACATACATACATATACACATACGTATATATATATATGTGTGCCATATGTATGCATATATATATATATTAGTATATAATTGTATGGAATTGTCATCTCAAATTCAGATCTTCAAAAATATCACAGCCATATAATACAATTAAAAATCCTAGAAGACATCATCCCTATGTCCAGTGTATCCATGAAATCCACAGGCTCAGCTCCCAGCCGGCATGACCCCTGGTGGCGTAGATCATGTGCAAGTCCTCCTTAGTTTTTGGATGGTTTTATTGGGGATGGAACCAGGAAAAATCGTGACGTCATTGATTTATACTAGGGATATAACATGATCTCACCAACTAGACCATGATTCAATGATTTTGGTCTGTCTGAAATTAGGGTTATTTTCATGGGGAACATGATCATTAAGCAATCTGGGGCTATTGTATTCTCAGACAAAATGTTGGTGAAGGTGACCCTTCTATGACCAGGTTCCCTATACGATTCACTCATGTTCACTCCATGTTTCTGACTAGACACCGAGTATTTTTGGCGACGGACGGCTTTGAAAAGAAAAATGGGGGGGTTCTTACAAAAGGGGCTGATTTTTTTCCTGATTTTTTAGGGCAACACCAAATTAAGCGACATCGAATCAAGCGACAGCTGAGACTGCGGGCTATGAAGCTAGGAAGTTTCACTGCCTCGCCAATGCCAGTGTCATAGCGAATCACATTTTCCCAGGTCTCCTCACACAAATAGCCTCGACAGCAAAAGAAATATCAGTCCATGCCATTCTTAGCGGCCACCCACTGGACCGCCTCAAAGAGCACATCTGTCAGCAGCCGGCTGAGGTCGGAATACACAGGGCCCAAGCATAATCCGGACCTTGGCGGAGTCGGCGAGACCCTCATGGGATCATAATCCCGTCACTAGTACAGTAAATCTCCCCAATAAGGAAACCCAAAATGAATCGATCCAAGACTAAACCAGGAACTCTAGGCAGTATTTAATGTATATATACCAGTAGTGCCGCACAAGGCGGTGGCGGAAGTTTCAAAAATAGGAAACCTATACGAGAGGTTGGTTGTTGTGAGTCACGGATGGCAGAGCGAAGCCACTGATGGACCGACAGGTGGTTGAGGTCTCCTCTCTTTCTCTTTCTCTCTTTCTTTCTCTTTCTCTGACTATCTACCTACCTACCTACCTTCAATCTATCTATCTATCGTATTAATATAATTATCGATCGATCTATCTATCGATCTATCGAATCTATCGATTCTATCGATCTATCGATCTATCGATCTATCGATCTATCGATCTATCGATCTATCGATCTATCGATCTATCGATCTATCGATCTATCTATCTATCTATCTATCTATCTACAGTATCTATCTATCTGCAACTTGAAAACGAAGCTATTCTGCGACACTGCCTCAGTTTTTAAACTTGACAACATCAAAAACCCAGCAATTCAGCGAAACTTCCTCAATTTTTGCACTTGACAGCATCAAAAACGAAGCAAGTCTGCGAGACTTCCTCATTTTTTTAAGTTGACAACATCAAAAATGAAGCAGTTCTGCGAGACTTCCTTCAAAAATGGAAAGTTGAGTGCAGAGCTGACAGCCTCGTACCAATGCGTTTTGCGATCTTTCCACTCCACCTGTCTAAAGTACTGCGCCTGCCACGAAAAAGTGATGCTGGGTCATACGAAGTGCTGCACCTGTCACGCAAAATCATCTCAGCAAACCTGAAGATCTGATGCTCCAAAATGCAACCCCTCTTGGGAAATATGCACCACATGTCTCTCGTACTGCGATCCTCTTCAAATGTCCCACGCCTGCCATCGTTTTTGGAAATGCTACAAAACCCTCACGTTTTGCTCACTTTTGACAAGGTCCACAATCCTTTGCGCCTGCCACGCGAAACGACATCTGAACGTCCAAAAAGTGGCGCGAACATGTGGTGCTTTTAACATTTTGACTTTGGAATGTGCTTCACGCCAAAACAGCGTGCACGTTTTCGACAGCGCAACTTCTAAAAGTGCTCCGAAGCTGAGGTGTTTTGTACATTTTGACTTGGAAATGTGCACGGCGTGCACTTTTTCGACATCGCAACTTCCAAAAGTGGTCCGAACGTGAGGTTTTTAGCTTTTTCAATTGCAAATGTGCTTCGCGCCACAATGGCGTGCACTTTTTCGACATCTCAACTTCCAAAAGTGGCCCGAACATGGTGTGTTTTGTATTGTTTTGTATTGTTTTGTGCCTTTTGACTTGGAAATGCGCTTTGCGCCACAACGGCGTGCAATTTTTCATCTCTCATCTGCCCAGTGGGCTCTGCACCCGCCGCTTTAGCGAGCCTACTTTCGACCCTCCGGAGCCACAAATCATTGGAAAGACACAGTGTTTCGCGACTTTCCCACCTTTCCGGGCACCTGGATCTTCTTTCTTCTGAGACTTTCTCTTCTCTGATCTTCTCTCTTCTGCTCTTCTGCTCCACCTCTGCTTTTCATCTGTCCACATTGTCGGAAGTTTGACTTCTGAACTTCTTTCGACAATGATATATCTAATTATATATATATACTGTATATGTAAACATACCGATATATATATATGTGATGATCTATATATATATATAATGATATTACTGTATATATATATAGAATCATATATATATGTAATGATATAGATATTAATGACATATATATTGATATAAATAATATAAATATATATATATAATGATATATATATAATGATTTAAATATAATGATATATATATATAATGATATATATATAATAATATATATATATATTTATTGATATATATATAATGATATATATATATAATGATATATATATATATAGTGATATGTATATATAATGATATATATATAATGATATATATATAGTGATATATATATAATGATATATATATAATGATATATATATATAATGATATATATATAATGATATATATATAATGATATATATATATAATGATACATATATATATATATATAATGATATATATATAATGATATATATATGTATAATTTTATATATAGGTTTGTGTATATATAGTTTTATAAATATAGCTATATAAATATAGCAATATATTATATAGTTATATATAATATATAGTTATATATATATATAGTTATATATATAGTTATATATACAGTATATATAGTTATTAAACATATATATATATACATATAATATCATAATGAATTATATATGTATTGATAATATTAGGAGGACGGGAATACTTTTGCAAGACTCTTTCCAGCCAAGATTGATCAATCGAATAGACTGGCCATATCCAGCTCGGATCGTCCCTGGTCTGCCCTCCAAATTGATGGGTCCGTCACCCGCTGATTAAACGCGGTCATTGAAAAAAATATGAGAAAATCATCTATCCGATAGACCGATAGACACAATCGAAGAAACAAGTGAAAACAAGACTGCCAGGTTTGATCAGGAAATACCCTCCGGTAATAAAACATGGCAATGGAAAGTCTATGAAAATCTTCCATTTATAGGCGATTTTCCCAGCTATAAACCTCCTCCCTTAGTTGGGGGATTGTCGCCCGCTAAGTGCTTGGCCAACCGCTGGCGCAAAGGTCAAAGCCTGAGAGGCTCTCCGAGTCCCTCAACAGGAGACCTTGGGTGGCTGAAACCCATCCCAGACAGGAGATCTATGGGGGATTTCCATGAAGAATGATGGATTTCACCTACGAAAAATGTAAGGATATGATGGAGATGATGGAGATGATATAATATGGGCAGAATCAACAATATGAGAATTGTGTCTGGACATGGGGGTATACTAACGGGTATACCCCCGCTCATTCACCTGATTGGGGTGCTCTATTTTCAGTCAAACCTACTATAGCGAAGTAGAACCAAACATCACAATCAGATATAATTTAGATATTATATAGATATATAGATATATATATATATATATAATCAATATACAATTAATTTATAAATACAATATATATAATATGTATATCTAATTAGGATATATATATATATATACATAATCAAATTATATCATATATATTATGTATCATATATATATTATATATATATATTCAGGATAATGATCCCAGGAAATCCAAACAATGCAGCCCTTCATCACCGCGGGCATTGGGGACGATACGTCTGCAGGTCAATCGAGGATGTGACCAGGAGTTGGGCACCTAAAGGAGGAGTCACTTCCAAAACACCCTGAAGATTCTAAGATCCCCAAGCTATCATTATCTCACAATCATGTCATCCATATATCAACTTATATCCTTGTCATCCTCGGGTAATGACGAGACTTGGAACACCCAACCAGGTAGATCATCTCCACCATAAAGGATCACCAAGGCATTGCGTGATCCATCCCAATGATTGTTGGTTAGCCTCACGGGTCAAAATCCATCTGGCCTGGCAATTCCAACCCAACCAAACCTCCTTTCCAAACTGCACCTCAATAGGTGGGAGCTTGTCTTCAGAGTCTCGACCTGGGATACATCATGGAAGCTGGTTGCAGGAAGAACACCGGGAAATTTGGATGGACCAAAAAAAAAAACGGCGTTTCTCACCTGTTGAACCTCCAAAAATCGGCGTTCTCCAATGTTTCGTTGGTATTTTTCGGACCCCATGGATCGATCGCAGCATCACCAAGTTTCCAGGCCCTCTGCTGAGATCAAGAGTTGCAGCCGTTGCTGCAACTGTCTGGCAGACCTTTACAGCTGCAGGCTTTGTCATACGGAGGTGGGTTTGTCGGAAAATTTAGGGGAAAACCTCCAAATTTGATGTTTGATCATTATTGATCATAATTTTTCCCATATAAAATAAAATTGCCATTTGGGGGGTATACGGGTGTACTACGGTACTGTAGTATACCCCATGTGTGGAAAATCCCAGATATATCGACCCACAATGAAAAGGTCGCGGCCATACTTTGGCCACACATTCAACCCATGGATTCGTAGTTGGGTGCAGCACGAGTTGTGAGTGGATATATAACCATAGTGATAACCGTAGTGATAGGGTTCCCATGTCCCAACTTATGGGGATAAAATCCCATGATCATAGCCATTAACAACCCCAACTGCACCCACAAGTAGAGCCATTGAGGACCACACTGCAAGATATCCGCAAGCCTTGCTGCATGGGTTTGTATGACCCACCTCTATGCAAGAAAAATGGATGAGAAAGCGACAAATCCATGCGATAACATCATGAAACTAGTAGAACGCGTTTCAAGGTTTCAATACGGTTTCCAATAGTCCATAATGTCCCTATGTGTTCAAGAGTCATGCTCCCTGAAAACACCATCCAAACGAGCAAATACCCAGACACATATAGTGATTATAGTGGTTGCCGGTGGTTGCTGGTTTCTACCCATCCTGGAAAAACTTGTCAGTTGGATCATCCTCCCACTTAGGATGGAAAGCAAAAAAATATAATATAAACAAATGCTTCCTCTTTGGCATGTTGAAACCACAAGCCAGTAGATGCTTGGAATCTCTAATTTTTGAACATCCTTGCCATCCTTACCTGGTTCGGGTATAGATTGACCACCACCCCAGCGACACAGCTTGATCTTCGCTCCCGACGGTGTGCCGAACTGCTGCTCGCAGCACTCCTTCAAAGTGTGACTGGAAACTTCAGAGTTGGATACCAACATTGGTGGCTTGAAATCTAGTGACTCTGACGCAGAATTACCACAGAAACATGGCAAGTAATAAGATACCCAACTGCCCTTCTGCAAACAACAAGACTTCGATAAAGATTCTGAGTAGTGGAACAACCAGAAACTCATGTTGCAGGCCAAATCGCAGGGATTCTGCACAGAATCTCTTCATTTGTTTGTGCAATGATCGTCCCAAAGTGGCATGGAAGACCCTTGTTGAAACCACCCACGTGTATTTGGCCTTGGTATGGGTATGAACCGATATCTATATACGATATATATATATATATATATACGTATATTATATTATATTGTATTATATTACATTATATTATATTATATTATATATTATATTAAATATTATATATTATATTATATTATATATTATATTATATTATTATATATTATTTTATATTGTATATTATATTATATTATATATTATATTATATATTATATTATATTACATATTATATTATATATTATATTAAATATTATATTAAATATTATATTATATATTATATTATATATTATATTATATTATATAATATTATATTATATTATATATTATATTATATATTATATTATATATTATATTAAATATTATATTAAATATTATATTATATATTATATTATATATTATATTATATTATATATTATATATTATATTATATTATATTATATTATGATAGGAAAAATACATATAATCATATATATATAATTATATATATTAATCAACCAGTATTAAATATGTGTATAACCACCATTATTAACCACTATTGTAATTATTCGCCAGAATCCTTTAGTCCTTTGAGGTTCCCTTGGTCGCAACCAGAGGTGAAGCTGACTCCCTCACCTCTGTGATCTGCCGCACGCAAGCATGGAGTGGGGAGGCCTTGGCATCATGGTGAACACCAAAATAGCTGGGATATGCTGGGATTAATGGAGGTTCATGACCAGCAAATATGAAAGGTTTGATCCATATCCATACAATCTTTCTGTCGGCGAGTACAAGTCACCTATATTTTTGTTTGCTGCCCAAACCACCTTTGGTGCAAGCACGTGGCCGTTGGCCCTAGACCCTGCTGCGTGTATAAGATACATAAAGAAACAAGGGAAGCTATGGGCAGAAGGAAACAAAAAGAGTGCTACCACTGTACAATAAGAACTCTCACTTCGGGTTTAACTTCTGTTATTTCGAATCAATAATCAATAATCCCTTCTCTTTATTGTTACTAACGCCCCCCCGAATAATAAAAACTAAGGTCCATCTCCAACCCTGGGGTGTTCTTTATTAGGGTCCGGTCCGTCCGAAAATTTTGGCTTTTTATATTAGAGTTTTTAATTTAATATTAGGGGGAAGCTTCGAAATCTAATTTTTGGCAATATTTTAATTGGGTTATAAAAGGAAATTTAATTGATTTTGAAATCGAAACAAAATAGTTTTTTTATTAAGGGCTTAAATTTATTATTAGAGTCCGCTTCGAAATCCAATTTTTGGGAATATTTTAATTGCGTTATAAAAGGAAATTTGATTGATTTTGAAATCGAAAAAAAAAAAGAAAAAAGTTTTTTTTTATTAAGGATTTACATTTATTATTGGGGTCCGCTTTGGTTCCCTAATAATAAATACCCCCTAATAATAAAAACTAGCTGAGGTGTTTATTATGGGGGGGTTAGTATTAGGGGGAGAGGATTAGTCAAACCGTCAAGTAGCATTGCAAGAAGGTCTCGCATTCAGAAAAAAATCAACTCACATGGAGAGGTTCACAACGAGATGTTCATACTGAGAGCTAGCATCTATGTAATTGCGATCTACTTTCGTCGATCAAACAGAGTAACCTATATTGACCTTAAGGCAAATGATCACTTTTGCAGTGTAACCCCCTAAATGAGAAGGGGTTGACGCTACAAGAGTAAGTATTCTTGGGATTCCAGTCAATGAGCCGTGACGAAGACCTGAACCATTTCAAGAGAGTTTTCCCCGTTTGTTTGCTCAAAAACTGTCTGGCCCTCGCTACATATGCACACTCCAAATTTTGGGGAACAAATTCTTGGTATCCTTTACTTTCCTTTGTACTGGTAGCATGACACCATCCAGTAAGCCACACCATTCTCTGCACAGACTGCATGGTTTCTGCCATAGCAGATGCTGCTAGGCTCCAGGCGCGCGCCTCCTGAAGTTGAACATCTAAAATCAAGCACTGAAGGATTTCCCATGGATTTCCCAATTTCAATCTCCAGGGAGAAACAAAAGCACTTGCTACTGTTGCTATCTGTTGCTACTGTTTATCAGGATGGGCTGACTGTTCATCCAACCCGCCTTTCCGAGCAAATGACGCTCCAACATGGGCCTCAGCTGTGTTCGGGATCATGGCGTGGAAAAATAAGGAGGCACAGAAATTTGGTCCTTCTCAGCCTCAAAACCATGGATTTTTGGATTTCAACCATTTTGAGCCATTTACAACATCCATTTGCCAGTAATCACCAGCAGTAAGACTAGGAGACAATTTTGGATCCCATTCCCAGCCCAATTTGATCTTAACCATGAGCTGGTATTGGTTTCGAACCCCAGGGGCCCAGGAGTCCATCACATCTTCCAAGCTACGCCAGCTCCAGGAGGGATCGGACCTTACTATCACGATGACTGGAATCCCCTCAGCAGGGATATGCTTTCCAGTTGTTGCACTTCGAAACATCAAGTGGATCTCCAAATCTAAGCATTCGTGGCTTTGGTCTCCGCAGATGATATGAATTGATATGACCGGTCACACAAGCGAGCCAGTTGCGCTCCTTTGGTCTCAAGTGTCCTTTTCGATCCAGGGAGGATTCAGCTAGGTGCACAAAGCTGATCATTTCCCTACATCAACAGTTCAGCAACGGACCCTTGCGATGATTTGGAAGTGACATGGGATGACATGGGTATATTTGCGAACTTCGAACATCTCATGACCCCAACGAAAATATCTAGGATATCTGGGACTTCAATCTCCAAGAAAATCATGAACACCAAGCAGCTCCAATGGATGGTTTCCTCAAAAATCATCAGCCCAGTGAGCTCCAGCGACCTCGAGAGGCGGTTCTGAGTTCCCAAACAGCACGGCATCGGCCAAGGGAAAGCTCTGGCGGACTCCCAAGAGACGTGCTCCAGGACACCTGGGAAGCCAGGTGGGGTATCTTCAGTTGGCTGCCCAGGTTTTGTGAGAAAAACCCATGGAAAAAAAAACATGGGTTTTAGGCACGTGAAAATATGTGACCCAGAAAATTGAGAAAGTTTGCCAAATGTTTTTTTTTGGGAAATCAACCCAGCTGGACTGGCATTTTTTCGTCATCTGGCAGAAGCTGTGTCTCACCGATTTTTTTGGCGAGCTGCATAGGGCGAAGTGCTGGACGAAGTTGCTCCGGGCAAGTCATCCTTTGTCATTCGGTGAGAGAAATGAAGGTTTCCATAAATCGGGGATCCCCAATAGCTGGATGGTTTCAATAAAAAATGGATGATTTGGGGGTAACCCTACTTTAGGAAGCCTCCAAATGATCACATGAACACACATATATATATATGTTGGAAAATTGAACAAAAACGGGAGCACAACATTCATCAAATGGAGAGAGATGATAATAAGTGGAGAGAGATCCAATCGTCCAAAGAGCCAGGTTTCTTTTGCTGCTAGAGGCAACGGTTTCCTGAAAAAGGAAAAAACATTAAAAGAAATACCTTTCAGTATCTCAAACCACAAACCAACAATTTCCTGTCGTTTGCCAAACATTGTCGATGTCTGGTCGGTACAGAGTCTTCCAGGGATTCTATGTCTATCATCAGTGAGCCTATTCTTCTAATAGTGGCCTTAGATCGGCAAAAAACATCACATGACACTCTCATTCCAGGCCTCCAGAGATGCTAAACCTTGGGACATGCATGGTGACTGTGGGTGCATCACAACGCCTCATGGCATTTTTCGGCACTTTCTTTCGCGTCTTCCAAATGATTCTTTCCCCGTTTTCCCCTTGGACCTAGTCTTCAAGGGGTCGTGCACTTTAAGCAGTTGAACAGGAACCTGCATGGCACAACGAGCTCTACCTTCTTTTCCCATGGAAATCCTAAAAGTGGTAGGCTTTTAACTTTCACACGCAGGGAAACTTCAGGGCTGCTCTTACTCTGGCCAGTCCCTCAGCCCAGTTTTACTGGGCCCTGTTTTTTCCAATCATATCGGAGCGGATGCAAAAAGGGGCAACCCCACATCTCAATTGCCTGTAGCAAAGGGTTGACAGAGGCAACAGGGGGTTCACGTCCAATCAACAAAGAGGAACATTAGCAATTTTTGGGGGTGTTTCCAAGAATTGGGGATCCCAAATCCCAACATCAGATCCACTGGGAAAAACCTCCGAGATAGGACTTCTCAGGCAGCTGGTTTGATACTTTGAACACAAATGTTTGCTCTACAAGCAATTCCTTCTCTTCAGTAAACATATATATATATACATGGTTGGTTGCGACAATGACCCTCGAAATTACCCCTCAGGGTTCATCCTCTGTTTCCTGATGGAACTTTAGAATAATCAACCAAACCACCAACCAGATAGGCCCTCCTCCACCCCATCCCTGGTGATTCCGTATCTTGAGATGAGCAGTGGTTGATTAATGGGGGTTCCCAGTTCTTGAGTTCTGATAATCCCCAATAATTGAAGGATCCTGGAATGCCTATACTGTAAGAACCACCCGCTAAGTTTATCAATCATATCCCTTTATCTTTGATACTCAACACCCAATGATGGTGATAAATTCCCATGAACTACCTTATCAACCATGATCTTCCCATGATATCCCCACATCCTATCCCCACCAAAGCTTGCCCCGCTGATGTCATTGTGCCTGCTCCCATAGACTCACCTAACATGGTGCTAGAAACACCACCCAGAGAAATGGGGGAATTTTTGGGGTTGGTTTATGATTTATGATATTTAGATATGTTTAGATATGTTTAGGGTTTACATGGGTTTACAGTACCACATTATAGTGGGATATAGTGGGTATGTCCATCCCATATTCATCGGGGGATGACCAGGATGACCATCCCCATGGCACATGTGTCAACATGTTAAAGATGAATCATGAAATGCGCATGGCCAGAATGACATGTTGGATAAATTCATGAATCTTATTATAAGTCTTAGGTGTTTGTTCATGACAAATGTAAATGGGAAAAATCAATGAAACTCATATATGGACTATCACTAATAATGTTGGGTAAACTGTTTGAATCTTTTTGGCCTATGGTTTGCAGTAACCCTTGCCACCAAATGGTAAAACTTGGTAAATTGTGTTGTGCTTTGTTATTGGGCTTGTTGCATTACATCATATTGATGGTTTCAGACTCATAGACTAGGACTGCTCCTTTGAAGAATCTCGCACAAAAAAAACTCATTGAAGTAATTCTGTTGGAGACTGCGCAATGGACCCCCTGAAGATGGACATCTTTGTGCCGAATCCGTCCAGTTTCCCACCTTGTCTCTCGATGACATATTTTGCATGGCCCTGTCCGGAACAACGAGGTGAACCATGGAGATCGCAGCTACCATAGCTCGAAAGTTGCCAGGCGAGAATTAGAGGACACTCATGTTTACCAATGCTTACCACATGTTTTTCCTATCTCAAAAGGTGGATTTCGCATGGATTGTCCATGAAATCAAGTCTCAAACACCCAGCACCTGATTTGTAGCATAGGAAATGATGTCAGCGATTTGCACGTGCCTTCGCTGGTGGCAGGTCCCGTTGGCGTCTACCATGCAACGCTGCACCAGAAATTCAATGTAGCATGCACAATCTTGTGCTCAAACCCCCACGCAGCAACAGGCTGCAATGCAACCCCCAACAAATCCAGAACGTTCCAGAACAACTGGCCACAAGTCATGAGGAAGTCTTGATACAAATTCATACAAATTCCAGTTTTTCTTCTCGAGCATTGAACCTTTGGATACCTTTGGACTTCTCGAAACTTTCGGATCACACATCCAGGACCTCGGTCGAGTGGTGACATACACAATCTGGTCGGCAATATCCTCAGCCACCAGTGGAATGATGTTCTCGTAGACCTGGTCGGCTGGAAAGTGTCCAGTGATTGGACGATTAAATACACTAAATACACACCTGCAACCTGCTTCGACCATTTATATCCATGGGTTTGGTCAAACAACCATTTTTGCCCAAACAACCATTTCGCAAAATCTCGAAATTTAACCTTCCATGATGCTGTGTTCCAGGCTCAATTTTGTGGAAACCATTCATGTCTTATATAAGATTTATAGCATGTGTGAGATCAACAATAGATTCTTTCATGAGGATAGCTCCCATGTAATCGATTATTATGAATTTAATATGATCGATATAATATTGTTCCCATGTAATCGATTATTGTGAATTTAATATGATCGATATAATATTATAATATATAATCCATGATGTGCTAGCCTTCTATTCACTTTCCTCCCACGACGCCGCCACAATGTGCTGCGTCTTTTTTGGCGCTTCTCCGTCGAGATCTTTGATGGAGTTGCTGCACCGTGCGCCTGTGGGACATGGGGTGTGCAGGTGGTTGATTGGGGATGCAACACTGTAGACATGTCATGCCGGGATGGGTATATTGTTGCTGATTTCACCCACATTCTGCAGCATTCTGGCTGGGGGTATCAGCCAGCATAATGCCGAATCCAAACCCAAAATCTTTTTCATTTGCGCCATGTGTTCCTTTTTGGGAAGACCAACGTGGGCTCTGCAAGCTTGCAGTTCAGCGGAAGCCACTTCTGAAAGAAGTGGATGATAAACCAGTAGTTCACCCTTCGTTGGCTAACATACGAAAAAACTACCTTATCTTGAAGGGGTACACCCAAACAATGAAGGCCAGTGGTGTCATCTTGACCAACCGGATTCCATATATTCTTCCTCCAATCAATAATTTCTATGAGACAATGGATCCCGAGATGGATACTAAGCTTGATGGCCCCAAAACCGTGATCTATGCTACGGCCTCTGCTATCAAAAAATGTTGACGATCATCAAAGCGAAGTGGAGAAAGTGGGAACTGCCCAGGGCTGCTGGGACAAATCACAATATTTTGGCTTTTGTTTGATATGTTTTTTTTCAATGGTATATCAATAATACCTTTTTTTTGGGTCATGTTCAGTCCCCAGATTAGGACAAATACATCCGTGATTTGGTTTATGATGTGGCAGCCGCCTACAGCAAGGCATATGAAGACACTGAGCTGACATATGAAAATTTTCCAACTTGAGACATGTTCAACATGTGGTTTAAATATATGGTATGTTATCACTTGAAATCCCATAGTGTTGTTATGTTCTATTGTCCCCATGGCCAACCATGTAAGGAAGGACGTTGCCCGTTTCTATTTGCTGATGAGAATGATGATGAAAAAGTTGATGCATCTGATGATGACCAACAGGACTCCCCACAGCCGTCCATCTTTGAACTCCGTGAAGCCTTGTCCCGTAGCAATTCAGAGCTCGAGGCACGTGAAGCATTTGATGAGTTGGCTGCCTTAGCTAGGCAGGACTCTGAGGCCATGGATGATGGATCCAAGTCGAGAGGTGCTGCACCGGGGCCATCCAAACCCGCCAGCTCATCCAGGGTTGATCCAGATGCAATCCAGTTGTTGCTACAGATGGTCAAAAAAAAAATGGACTCGAAGAGCCTTTGATGGAACAAATATCCCTTCAAAACTCATTCTTCAGGGTGCGCCTTTTTCTTTTAACTTTGACATGCCCAAGTTTAACGGTCATAATTATAAATTTAAAGTATTATTGTAAATCATCCCCATCAACCCCTGCCTAGGAAGGACGATGGCTATGGTATGGCCCCAGATGGAGATGCACCTTCGGCCCCAAGCAGTACCCCCTCTCTTCCAGCAGTGCCCAAACATTCGCGCCCCACCAGTGGACCTGCAGGTTTCTCAACTGTGTTGTTTTTTTCACGTATATATATATATATATGTGTGTGTATAGCCACATCTTGATTTCAAGGGTTTGCTACATATGATGCTTTTGGTTTTTAAGAAGATTGAACCCGTAGGATCCACCGCCGACACGCAAGAGACACAGCCGCTTGAGAGTGATCTTGGGGTGATCAAGGACAAGTCAAACCCAGAAAAGCAGGACAAACGTTGGGGGGTCAAACAAATTCTATATTTATCTTTATATTTGTTTTGGACATGATTTTGAACGATATTTATAAACTTCATATCTGTTTCAAACATGCTTCTGATGACCCGGGCCTCGACCTTCCCTGCAGGAGCAATCGTATGTGACCCGGGATCAGCAACTCAGGATGGAAAAAAAGAAACCCAAGAACACCGATGAGGAAAACAAAACACGCAAGAAGGAAGATACCAAGGATGATGCAGATGAACCGAAGAAGAAACACAAGACCAGGGAAGTACCTGCTGAACCAGAGAAAGAAACCAAGGAAAAGAAAGGTGAGGTTAAGGCAGAGAGCAAGGCATGCAAAGCTGCAGGCAAGAGCAAGAACAATTCTGAGGATATGGAGGAGGAAGATGAAAAAGGAGAGACAGCCCAAGAAGAGGAGGGCGAGGAGGAAGAGAAAGTTTCTGACTCGGCATCAGATTCATCATCACCTGTCCCCAAGAAGCGCCCTGCTGCAAAAGCAAAGGCCAAGGCCAAGGCCAAGTCTGCAGGAAAAAAAAACAAGAAGGACAAGGAAAAGAAGAACAAGAAAGACAAGAAGGAGAACAAACCGAAGGTAGCCCCCAAGAAAAAGGTGAAGAAGGCCTCCCCCAAGAAAAGGTCAGGAGAAAAAGCAACCTTCGCCAAGCGCTACCGACCAACCTCAAAGCTCAATAGCCAGAAGTTTGACGCCATTCGTGATGTGTACAACACCGACTTGCGGAAGTATTTGACCTCTCATACTTGGAGTGAGGACTGAATTAGGGTTATGTTAATTGAGCACATGGCTTCAGAATGTTTTTAAAATAATGTAAAAAATAATGTATAACGTCCCATGTATCGATCAATTGCATATATAGGAGAATTGGTGGCTATTTTGCGAACATCATTGGGGCGAAGCCGATGAGAGTCTCAGTGTGAAGCAGGTTATCAACCAGGAGTTGGCTATCCAATTCATCCGCCAGGATGCGATGAGCAACTTGTATTCTTCATCAAACGATGTTTCAATCAAGGTTTTCAAGGGTTAAATTATGTATGCCCAGAAAAAATGACATCCATAGCCCCTTGTTCCCATTGGATTTCTCCTGAACTAAGGCGAAGTGCTGAATGCAGACGGGTTGCAGTACATCAAGTCTGTTGAGGGCGCAGCATAGTGAAATGATTGGCAATAGTGCCTGAGCCAATGGCCACGTGGCAATTCTTTGGCTTTGCTTGGTGACTATCATATGGCACCAATTTTTGATTGGGGAGTCAGTGGGCTGCAGTAGGCTGCCTGGGGTGGCATTCCAAAAAAGAAGCTAACAACATGCATCTTTGAAATCGGATGGCTGCAGTCTCATTACATTTGATTATGATAGCAGAACATATGTATATATATATATATACCATGTTTCATATACCATCATCAACCCAGAGCATGTGCAGCTGGCTGCAAGTGTCATTTCGCCGCTAAGACCGTTCGAAGGAGTTTGGACCAAAAAAAAGTGTGGGGCTCATGCACCCTCAGTTGAAACAACCCTGCTAAGACAGATGAAAATCAGGATCCAATGTGGAATATATTTATAATATATAGTATATCATACATGTATACATGTATATAAACATATGTAAAGAATCTGAAACATGCATGCATGTATATGCATATATGTATATTCAACTATTAACATTTTGTATGATAGTGATGTAGGGGGATCCGGAAACAAGCTTCTTATTTCCCCATCCAAGTGGGGCCCAAAGAGACTCGTACTCTTCCCTATCTTGCGTGCCTTCTCCAGGTACATGCCATCGGGCTTCCATTCCTTTGCTGACGCGGAAGAGCTGCTCAGTATGGCTGACATGCTTGTGGGCCCCGGGATGATGTGGGTATAGTTTGGTAATTTGATGCACCTTCGAACCTGCATCAAACTTAAACCATTGTTTTTCAGCAATATCGGGCTCAATTTGACTTCAGCGCTGTCCCTTGTTTGTACTCATGCCGCAACGCCGGGATCCATTCCAAGTAGCGGTCCAACTCATGAAAGCCCATGCACCGAAGGCTGGTTTCTCATATGTATATATATAATAATATATATATATATTATATATGTGTGTTTTATGTTCCAACATGTTCTAAATAAATTATGTTCCTCCATTTTTTTTTGCAGGTGACATGTTTGATGAACAGTTTATTGAACCCATGTTGAATTGCCTGCTGTTTGATCCTTTGTTGAACCCCCTGCAGATTCTGGTGCTTCTCGTCCTACTGACTTTGTGGAATCAGCGACTGGACCTCTCCCAGGATGATAGCATCGATCAGTCATGGATATAATTATAGATTCAACCCTTTACATATCTATGGATATAATTATATATAGATTCAACCCTTTACATATATACATCAGATTGTGATCACTGCTAAAAATATCAATGCCAGCCATTTAGATGCAGCATGTGTTTAAAAAATGAAGGAAATGTGTGATTGAGCGAGCTTTCATAATCTGCATGCAGGACTATTGCTTTGTTGAGCACTATGCTGGCCATGGTCAGTTGACCAATGTGAGGAGAGAGGTGCATGGTACCTCTGCCCGACTGGACCTTGCCTACCACCGGGGTCATGACATCATGACACCAGCTGGGTTTGCGTAGGGGCCTCGATAGATTATCTCATATCATGCGCAAGTTGAATGCAAAAAACAGATAACGTTCCCTGTCTTCCCCAACTTAGGACCCATTTGGTTTCGGTCTTGAGGGGCTTACCTGGTAGCGTGACGTGGATGGGAATTAAGTGCTCGAGCTGGGTGTCTATATCAGCCCCATCGACTGGACGAACCTTCCTGGACCCTATGGGATACCCAGAATCTAAAAGTGTGCAAATATCCAATGCCATGGTGGGAAGGACTGCTTGTTTTATATGTTTTTATTTGATGATACTTCAATGTGTGTGATTGTTTTCACAATGCCCGAATCCAAATGGAGTTGTTAAGTTTCTGTTGCAACAGGAGTGTACTATTGGCATGGTTATGTATCGCCTTGGGCTCCACCATGATAGTTGAGCAGCCTGGAAGCTCGCTTCTTGCACGACATTTTCGGTTTCAGCAACTTTGCGAATTTCAGAAGGTGCCAGCAAAGAGATTCATTTTGGTCCATGTATGATGGAACTGTCCTGTGAAATTGAAATTTACATAAATATATATATATATTATAATATATATATACAATATTATTGTATCCCAAGACATCTTAATCCCAATTGCAATCAAGTATCATCGACCTGACTTGGCGCCGCCCGCTTGCAGATCTGGAGAACCTGGTTCTGGATGGGGCACTACAACCATCCCTCACCGAAAAGGACTTGCCTCTGGTCTAACTCGAAGATCATTGCTTACTTCTGGAAAGGCCGTATGACCAAGAAATTGAGACAGAAACTGAAGTCGAGACAAAAAAAGAATGGGACCCAACCAGTTGTCCAATACAAGGATAGCAAAGGCCGAAAACGGTTCCATGGCACAAAGCATCTAACAGCAACCCAGATTCTAGTCTGCAACTATGATCGATGTCATATACCATTAATTGGTCAGTGTAATGGTCAGTATAATATTAATAGGTATACCTGCCACAGCCATTGAGGACATACACTAGATCCTTTGCCAAAAGAGCCGCCTTTCTCTACCCCAAGATGGTGAAGAAGGTCATCCCACCCCAAGGAGATGTTGCAGAAGAATTTCGTCAGCTTTGGGTGAACCGCATTGACCATGACAACTGGGATGATGCATATATTAAGGAAGTAGCCCGTTACCTTTTGGGAGCCAAAGGCTTGGAAATCCCGTGTGGATGGGAATGGATAGTTCCTGACAATACGGATCACTTGGTGTAAACCACCATTGATTCCCTCAGAACTTGGTGCATCATGCACACCATGGGGAAATTGGTGTGGGCATGTGCCACTTAAATTATGGATCGGTGCGAATGCGCACCAGTTATCGAATGCAAAGAACATGGCAAAAGTATAGATTCATTCATGCATGCAATCCCGAAATGTTCTTTATTGCATATTGTATTAATTGCAATTTGTCGAAATGATCGTGGTCTTATCATGAACTGCAAGATCTTTAGCTCCGCATTGCTGTGTGCACGGCGCCTTTGCCTACTTTCTTGGAGGCCTGGTTTTGGGATGATTCCAAGGGTTGAAAAATAAGTCGTGAAACTACGAAATAAAAGGTCGTACAATCATGAAAGGTGGTGTTTGATCCAATTCCTTGTTTTCGTGCTGATTTTTCGCGAAAAATGATTTCGTGAAACATCCATGTTCATGCATGCAACATCCATGTACATGTATGCAACGTCCGGTTTCATCCATGCGCGAAAAAGTTCGTAAAATTATGGAGTGTTAGAACGTTTATTTTCGCGAAGTGTGCATTTTTTTCGAAAACTTTTGAAAACATACCAGCATGGGACCTGCCACCAATTCTGTTTGCAGGCCAACATGGATTCCCCTGTGCTGCAGCAATCCTGGTCAGCTGCAACACTTTTGTCGGCTATTAAACATATGGACTCTGACGCGCAGCTACCTGTCATGCGGCAGATTGAAGCCCATTTACCAGATGACCCTGAAGAACTCCAAGCGTTTCTTGAGGCTAGGCATACATATATATTATTATTATATATATATTATATATATATTATATATATAATATATATATATAATATATAATATATATATAATATATATATAATATAATATATATATATATTATATGCAATCTATTTATAATCATAATAATATTGTTATATGTATATCAAATTCCAACAGCCCTATATCTGTGTTAGCCTTCAACTGCCCAGGCATTGGAAGCCGTGGCTGCAGGGTCGCCAGTGAGATCCCCACCATTATTGCGCTGTTCATCGACAGCAACTACAATCCCAGCCACTGCCGAGGAGCTTGCTGCCTGGAAGGCGAAGGTATACCCCACTCAGGCCCATCCTCAGTTGTTGAAGGTTGAAGATGAAAGGGATCATATATTATATTATATATATGAAAGAGAAAATATAATCTATTTTGGTTAAAAGGGAATCCCAAGTGATGGTGTTTGTGGGGTTTATCCTCAAAAGCTTTGAACATGTGCTTCTTTTGAACCACTTGGCGTCCATGGGCAACACAAGTCCAACGTATAAGTTCTGCTGGCCCAAAATTACCCCCAAAAGGAATTAAGTGTTTTTGGTCTACTTGGTGGTTCATCATATGGCATTCTTTTCTTGAATTTGGGTTTCAGGAATAAGCAATTTATGTAGAACACCATGCATGCATATAATACTCTATACCAAATAATCTCTCTCTGTGACAGGTCGGTGATGGGCCTACTCCGGACTTGGAAGTTCAGGCTTTGCAGAAGAAGTTACCGGATCCTACTTTACCTTCCCCAGGGAGTGTATATCTGCAGGAGAATGTGAGGCCAGTTGCCAGGCCAGCCACGTCTAGGTCCACAGCAATTCCTACTACCCAGTTGGATTCGCAATCACTAGAAGGTGGGGCCCCGGTCAAACCTACCCGTCCAGACAACACCGGAGAAAAGATTAAACGTTTGACGGCAGCCACGCCATCCAGGGCACCTACCTTGAAACCTGTGAACCGGTCCCTTGATAAGGATCTTGAGACGGTTGCAAGTTCCCCAAATGAAGGATCAAGTTCATTGGTCTTTCCAAATGGTCATGATGAACCCAACCGAAAACCTTTGGTTGAGATGACACCGCCTGTGCCGTCACCGTCCACTCCTCCCACCCGCAAGGAACTGGGTGGAAACAATTTTCATTATATGCATCTTGGGTTTCTGTTTTAAATCCTTTTCAAACGGCATGGGTCCTATATAGCTTTCAATTTCCCATGCCCTGAGGACTCCCCGGATGATTTTGAAGAGCTCTTGGCAAGGGATACCGTCCTAAGACTGCAAATAGTTGTGAACAGATCTAAAGTAATCAAAAAACATATCCAAAACAATCCTGCATGCTTGTTCCTCCTGGCCCTTGACATCCTGGCCGCATTGCTTTGCCAAGGTGCCTGAAGGTCGTCGAGCTTCCATCGGTGAACCTGCCGATGGGAACGATTGGACAGTTCCAATTGTGATGCATCCCGCCAGTATGAGCCGTGCCCAGCGAGAGCAAGTCAGAAGGATTGTCACACCGAAACCAACTACAGGTCGTTTGGAGGTACCACAAGACATCACCAGCATGTGGAACACTGCCAAAGGCAAAGAGAAATTGTTCTCTCTGTGGTGCAAGTCAGGTGGTGTGAAGGCAGGGTTTGGAACAATAGATCCTTTCAAAATAATATCTATATAGGCAGGGTTAATTTATAAGTTGTATTGTACAAAGAAATATGCAGGAGCATGTAGAACAGGTTCAAGAAAGGTCAAGCACAGCTTTGCCAAATCAAGCCCTACCCCTCTTGCCTGCATGCAGGCAGTTTTCATCGAACGAGTGGAGATTCTGAGCATCACCACCAAGACGAAGACCTTGGAAGTGAAAGGGGGATTCTACTCTGTTGATGACATGAAAGATGAGCTGAACTACAACCAGCTCATTGTCTTAAAAAATCAACATTTTTTTGCAGACACCTATATAGCATATATATAATATATATATATATTATAATATATATATTACATAATGTAGATATTATAATATATATATATATTATATATTATTATATTATATATATATGTTAATCTCCTATGCGTGAATACCCTCAATTTCAAACCTCCCAAAACCAAGGGACCGAATTGACAAGATTGTGAAGTGGGCTGTCCACAACAAGCTCACCCGGTTCCATGGCTTGAAACTATCAACATGATCCATTTTTTTGGACATGATGGCAGCATGTGCAACTGAACTTTATTGAAACAGTTTATTTATTGAACTTGGGTTTCTGAAACCTAAGGAAATGTGAGTATGATGATGACACCTACGAGTACTGGGTTAATACACGCACTGAGGGGTCTTTGAAACGGGAGGATGTTGAACGTCTGACCAGAAAGCGTGAGCATGAACAGGAAGTTGAAGCTGGCAAGGATCTATTTCCCACTATGGACTTCAGTTCTGCAGGCTTCCAGGATGACTTGGGGACTGCAGGAGCATTGGAACAGGAGGGTGATGTGCACAAGAGTGTGGCATGCACGCATGCAAGTTAACAAACATTACTCGTGTGGTTTCATATCTTGACCAAGATATTGGGAAGCACCTTTTCATGTTTTACATCTAAGGCACCCAGAAAGCTCTCTGACATGTTGAAAGGGACTTTGCAGGGAATGACCAAGCTGACCAATATGATCGAGAAAATCCAAGACTATGAGGACAAAACATGTCAATCGAATCTGGTCTTAAAATGACTGCACGTATGAACATCCCCCCCGCCACTGCATTCAAAATTCAGTCAAGCTTCCATAGTGTCCATTTTGCTGCAATTGTCCAGCGGGTCCAGCGATTTCCAAGGGCTGTCACCAAGATGGAGACTATCCGCAAGGCCCTGGAAAACGTGTATGAGGCAATGACGGAGATCCAGGCTGAAGGTGAAAGTTCTGAAAAATACACCGCAGAGTGTTTTGATTGCAAACCGTTTGATGCACAAGTTAGTGACATCTTCTGACAATCCTATCATATATATATGGGGATATCTCAAAATAGGGATGCTCGAAACCTATTCTTTTTGGTTAAAAACAAACATTTTCGAGCATCGCTATTTTGAGACATTATAGATTATTATATACAGTTTGTGACTTGTAAAAAGCAAGCGTCAAATTCAAGAAACCCAATAAGGCAATGCAAAGAGCTGGAGGCCCACTACAAGACAGCTCAAAGAGAGAAACTTGGATCAACCTTCCATGTCGGATGCGCATAGTATGAACCAAGTTTCTACGGGGAACCATTCGGCTGCCCATAGCCAAGGATGACAAAGGCCACCAGCGCTGAGAACGCAGCCAAGTGATGTCCTGAGTTTGCTAGATTAAGATGCAGCATATCTTGTCGCAACATTCGCTCAAAATTTGTGGATATAGTGCATGCATATATATATATTATATGTTTTGTTTCTTGAGGATCTTTGTCTCGAAAGCCAAGAAGGCAAAGGTCGTCAAAGAGGAGTGAATCTTTTTCATCGTAGCTCAAGTTTGCACATGATCAAAACATGATCATCAATCTATTGTTCGCAAGTTGCACTGTGGCCTACAGGGTTCAACTTGGGAATGGTGTTCTTTAGACACCTTAGAACCTGAGTTGCTTTAGGGGATTTGGCTACGCTGCTCGCAAAGAGAAAGAAAAACACACTTCGATCGACTTGTCTGCAAAGCTGGCCATCCATGTTAGTTTCAATCAGCCCCATTTCTTGATATGCCGCCCCACCAGAACAGTTGAGAAATTTTGAACATCAATCCTGGCCAGATCCAACCTCATGTTCTTTCTAGTAACTTTAGTCTCCAACCTCCCACTTTAGTCACTTTAGTTGACCCGACCCCACCACAAAAGTTTAGACATCAGCGCATGCACTGTGCCAGGTCAACGTCCTGTGGAGCTGAGCGACTCAGTGAAGCACATCGCAAAAAACTACAGTCGTGGAGCTCCATGCCTGCATTGGCGCTGGGAACAGCTGCAGTTCATTCAAATCACATGGGGTTTTCTCACATTGAACGGGATGGACAAAAAAAAGGATCTAGGCAACACCTCTTTGTTCGCCTACCTTAGGTTGCAGCCGTGGACTGCATAGAGGAGGCTGTAGCGGCTAGCAAGAGAGATAGGTGCCCAGTTCTCAACCACATTGCATCGCTATGTCCACAGGATCCAGATGGGGGCCTATTTAAGGCATTATTGAAATGCGATCAAGCATTGAATGTCCCATTGCACAACCTGAAGCTGGGTAACACTGATCAGGAGTTTAGCTACCCAGTTCTTCGACCGGTGGATATTCTTTCATCAGTAGTGAAAAAAGGTTACATTCAGAAGGTTTTGGGTGTGCCACTCAAGCGGGCCTCTGAGACTTTCAGTGCTTTTTGGGACAAGTACCGAAGGTGCTTTCCAAACCATGAAATATTCCACTCTGGTCTTGCAGCTGAAGAGTTTGCTAGCTTGGTCCCATATTACTTACATGGCGATGGTGGAAGGACCTACAAAAAAGAGAGCATCCTTATATGCAGCATGTACCCAGCTTTGGGCATGGAGACTGCCAAAAGCCCAGTCCCTGATATGCAACCATCGGGTGGTGCGCCTCAAAACAGGAAGAGGCCTCGAGGGATGGAAGCCGCCGCCATGGACGACGATGAGGTTGCCATGGGCATCAATCTCTTAGGCAATTCGCTGGGGAATCGCTTCTTGTTCGTTGCTATTCACAACAACTACATCAAAAATGACGATTCCATTTTCTATGATCTCATGGGCTTCTGGGGAAAAGAAATGGGAACATTGTTCGATGAGGGTTTCCAGATTCATGGCCAAATTTTCAAGATCGCTGTGCTGGGTATGTGTGGGGATGCCCCTTTTATTCGTGATGCTGGTTTGATGACGAGATCATTCAACAACATTCGCAAGTCTGCCACTGCAAATACAATTCTCCCAGGTGTGTGTTACTTGTGTGCTGCTGGAAAAACACATGGGCCTGATTTCGAAAACTTGGATATTTTGACAGCTGAATGGCTTTCCACAACCGGTGTCAACAACTTGTTGCCGTGGAATGAACCCCCACCGATATTGGCTCACATTCCTTGTCAACAGCAAAACCTTGCAAACTTCTTTAAGGGAGATCTATTTCACATTTGGTACAGTGGGCTTGGAAAAGATTTTTGTGGCAGTTCGCTCATCTTCTTGTTGAAAACTGTGATGCACAAAGGGAACAAAGCCAATTCCATGTCCTTCCTCAACGAAGAGCTTCGGCGTTGGCAACGCATTAGCAAATCACCCCCGCATTTTGGGAAATTCACTTGGGACTTGCTTGACTATGATGGACCTCGCAAATATCCCAAAGGAAAGTGGAGCAAAGGGATGGACACAGGAAAGGTCACAAAATTTATAGAATTTCTGTTGTCAGAGATCCTTGTGGAGAATGAGCATGGGCCCATGCTGACTTTGATACAGGAAGGGTGCAAGTCTATTGGTATTTTCCTCCGGACACTTTTCAAAGCAGGTTTTTTCTTGACAGAACAGGAAGCTCACCAAGCAATCAGTGCAGGGTATACTTTTTTACTGACTTATCAGAACCTTGCGAAGACGGCATTTTCTTTGAACAAGGCATTGTATAAACTCAAGCCAAAGGCACATGCCTTTGCGCATTTGGTTCTGGAGATGTTGGTCCAGTACAAGCAAGACCGATCGTCTGTCTGCAATTGTGTGGCTTTTTTCTACTTTTATGTGCGAAGACTTCGTAGGACATATTGCTCGGATATCACGCCGTGTATCAGCCAGAGTACAAGGCACGAAGGTGATTTTCCGATATCTAGTTGCTTTGCGCAGGGCTTTGTTGCAAGAGACTTGAGTTTGGAGCGAGAAAAAAAGGCGAGGAATTCAACACAGGGTCACTTAACATGATATGTTAAAATCCATGGCAGAGTGGCAATTCTCCAGAATTGGGTGTTTCACGAAACGACCATTTCTGAAATAGGAAATGGAATTCGTCCATTTATAAATGGATGTTTTGGGATCCAGGCATCTATAAATGGTCATTCTAAGTTGAGCCATGTTGAGCCTGAGTTACATCACTTGAGGCCCATGGGGGGGGTGCACGAAAGCTAAGGTTCATATGAGTTGGAAGGATGATGGGGCGTTGACATGGTCAGGACAGATTGCCGAGAGCTCAGCACGCCCCTGGCAGGATTTGAGCCTATGGCCATCTGCTTCCAAGACCGCTCCAAAATGCCCCGCGAGCTTGGGGGGAGGGAGGGGGGAGGGGCTGTAACTTTCGTGATTTGGACCCATGTTGAGCCATGTTGAGCCTACATTACACATATCTTGGCCCATTTTCGGACCATGTTGACCTATGTTGGGATTGTATGCAGCTTTGCTGTTTCCTGTGCCTGAATGACTTAATACAATTACTACCCATAGTTTGGACCTACTGGAGGGTCCTTTAGCCTTGGAGAGCAAAACAATCTCGTTGTATTCTTGCCTTTTCGAAAAGGTGCAGCATCTTCCAAATGTGGCACTACTTGAAAACAAACTTCAGATAGCGAAAACTCACCCAACATGGGCTTAATGTGGATATCCCGCAATTCAATGAGTATCTTTTCAGCAATGCAAAACAAATAAAAACACTGCACGCGCAACGGTAGGATTGGAAAGGGTTTTGCATGGGGAAGTTAACATGTGAATATGACAAAAACGTCAATCAAAGACATGCTGTTTTTGTTGCATGTTTTTTTGGGCTTGGTTGATACCTGCACTAAACAATTTCAAGTATGGCAATCTTCTGGTCGCGACAAGCGGCGACAAAAACACCACCGCACTGGTGCGGGCATATCTACATTGCCACGCTTACGAGAGGGTACTGGGGGAACAATCTATTTTTGGGGTACTCAATTTTGACATGTTATCACACGAGTGTCTAAGTCTCTACTGTAAATCTTGGTAGAACAGGACCCTTTTCTAAAACATGTAGAGTATATTGGAGTCCCCGTTTTTTCCCATAATCCTCAGCAACCACCTGTCAGTTCCCGGCAACCAGCCGCCACCTTGGCAGCTTTTGACTCGTCACCGAAGCGCACCTTGGAGAAGTCCGTTTCCTTGGCAGTCGGCCACACGAACCCAGAGACGGAATGACAGAATGGCCATTTCATTCACAGCCATGTAGGATCATGTAAATCCGAACAGGTGGACAAATCTGCACATGTAACAACTCCATTTTCGAACTACATGATTTTCCAGCTATCCGTGCCAAGAAGCTGTGCATGCCTTGAAACAACATAAAACAACACATTGCTGGAGCATGCTTGCAAGGAGCCACCATGCCAGGACTGATTGCTGTGACCCTGGCCGCGAGGATCAATTGATGTCGATCATTTGACTTCGATCGGTCCGAAAGGGCCTCCACCGATTCTCATCATGGATATCTTTTTGTGTAGCCACATGAGATTCTCAACATTCCGGCTCACTGCCCGCTTCCTTCAATTCAAGTGGTATCAACAGCTCATGAAATTGATTTTCTGTTACATACAGTTGATACTTGAAACTTGAAACAACTCGAAATTGTCATGAACTTGTATTCTTCGTTGTGGTTCGCTAATCTTCAGGATCCATCAATATCTACTATCCTCCCTGGTCCTCACCCCTGTCGACACAATGCCTGATGGGAGTTCCGGCCAGGTCATGTCTCGATGCGATGGTGAACCTCGAAAGGACGATGGCCCTCAACATCCCGCGCAGGTTGTCTCAGTGAGTCCTGTTAGGTTTTGTTGGGTGGTATCATTTGAGTAGCCATCACTGGGGCACCCCCAAATATCCCCAAATTTTCATCGACCGGGATTTATGAATCCGGGTTTCACATTACTAGTCATTACTTTTCCCTTAGATAAGTAACCACCCAGTTCGTCCCCAGCCACTCGCGTACTACCAAGCTGCGCATTGACAGCATGCTTGGTGGCACAGTAGGCCGAACCACCCTGGTAGGCCTCGTGTCCTGTCTGATCACATCGTCGCAAAGAAAACTATTGGATGCATAGGAATTTGAAACCTTCGCTTCCTCGGTTGCTCTATGTCTATGTCTCTATATATATATACTATATATATTATATATATATTATCTATATACATATAATAATCACATATATAGATTGCATCCACTTTACGTGAAACACAACGGAGAATCTTTCCAGGCCTGCCACCGATGAGATGTTGACAATGTGCCCTTTGCCACGTTCACGCATCTGTGGCCCAAAAGTTGCCACTAAATGCCTCGAAACAGTGCGTTCATTGTGTATCACTGCGTCAGGCATGCCATCCATTCCGATCCGCACCTTTCGTATGGACTTTCCATGTATGTATGTATGTATGTATGTTTGTATGTACGTGTATGTATATGTATGTATATGTATGTGTATGTGTATGTGTATGTACGTATGTATGTATACAAATATATGTATGTATACATATATATATATACATATGTAAAATATATATTTATATAAATATATGTATATATATATATGTGTAATATGTAAAAAAATAAAATAAAAATATATAATATATTAAATTTAAAAATATCAATATATATATATATATTATACAAATATGTATTATCATAAATACATATGTACTATATATATAAGTATCTACATTACTAAAATTATAATCATATATTCTATGAATAATATACAGAATAAAGAAATATGTATATATATATATATTTATAGTAATACAAATATCTCTATATTGTATATATTCCACAATATCAAAAAAAAATATATTATATTTAAAATAATGCACGCTATATATTAAATATAATATACATTAAATATATTATATATCCAATATATTGTATTAAATATAATATCCAAAAAATATCTATAGAAAAAATGTTGAATAATAATAAAGATATTTAACAAATAAATTTTAGAAAATATATAATATAGAATATATATATATTTATGTAACATAACAAATTATAATATATACGATATGACAAAAAAAAAACATCACATAATGAATAAAATTATCTAGATTAACATATATATAAATATTAAGATGTTAACTCTGAATTTGTAAAATGTATAATATGTTAAAATATATTAAAAACATTGTATTTTATATAATATATAAATATAAATAGTAAAAAAAACATATGTATATGACCAAATCGTAATGGAATATATATATATATGATTTTAAATATGAATGTAAAACATTTAATGTATATATGGTACATTAAAAATATTTCACATATTAATGTACATAATGTATATTAATGCAAATATATTTTAATGTATATATTAATGTAAATATAGATTATTATATATATAATATAAAAATCTAAATATATTATATTGCACATATAACATACAGTTAAGTATATATATATTTACATATTATTAAGAAAGCTTACATATATAATATTTACTGAAATATATATATATGTATATATATTAGTTTTTTTAAGACTATATCATTTATTCTATTTCATATATTAATGTGTATATATATATATATATTATTATGCTATATATGTTATATATTAATGAAATTGTTTTATATTATGCATCCTGTATATATACTAATGAAAATATATTATATTATCTATATTATAGATTTTTTGTAGATAGATATATGTTTAATTACATATTTAACATATTCATGTATTTTATGTTAAATTAAATATTGAATATGTTTTATATTATATGTTCATGTATATACATATAAATATATATTCATTATTATTTCTATATATATATATTTATTATTATTTATATATATATATTATATTAATGTAAATATATTATTTTATAGTGTAAATTTATATATATATTTTTTTAGTGTATATATATATATTTTATTAAGTATATTATATACTAATGTACATATGTATATATAAAGGATACCCCAAACCATTTCTCCATTAAGAATAACCGATTTTGGATAATCTGGGATGAAAAAACAGGTCCAGGTTCCCTGGGTTCACCAAGGTCACCATTGACCGAGGCACATCACTGCAGTGACGTTCGTTGCAAGCATCGTTTGGATGTTGCTCAGTTCGTTCCTGCCAAATTTGGCTTCTCTCCGCTACCGGTAGTTGAAAACACACTTTGCTATGGAAAATGAATGAAAATGACCATTTACAGTTCGATGATTTACCTGTTTCTAATGGTGATTGGTAATTTCCCCTTTTGCTATGGAAGCTATGGCCCTATGTCAAATCGATGATTTGGCTAAAACTTTCATGGTGATGTTCCATAGCTAATTATACGCATAAATCAGAAGAGGGTAACCAGCAGAACAAATCCATCAGTGATTCCCATTTCGCGGCTGTCTTGCAATGTAGTGCGATGTAAAGGAGTGCAATTTATCTATCTGTGGCACTGCGATTCTACTTCGTAATAGCTCAGAAAGAAGTTTCATCCCAAGCGTATGGTTCCGTCCATTCTTTCAACTGCACCGTTAATATACCCAGAAAAGTTGCACCTCCAAATCTTTGCATTTTTACGAAACATCTTCTGATCTGTATGTCTATTTTGTGGGTCAAGGTACCTGCCATCCAGCCCAATGGCGAGTGGCTCAATGGCGCTGGCGACCCCAAGGGCCAACCCAGCATTGTTGATCAAAATATCCACAGCCGCCATGCCAGCAGCCTGGAACATGGTCGATATGGCCCGAGGCACCAATCCACCAACTCATATTTTCGGGTTTTCAATGGGTTTTTTACTTACCATTGGGTCTTAATGGATTTTACGTACCAACATTTACCCATACAACAAAGCATGTTTTTATATATCTATCCTCCGTAACGAACCTGGCTGGGAATCCCGATCTTCAATAGGAGAATCATGAATCGGAGGAATCATCCAATGATTTGGTTCACCACAGCAGACCATCCAGTGGTTGAATGAGGTCTCCAGTTTTGTGAAATGATTGGCAGACTACAACAGAGCTGCTCCACCCCAAATACAAGGGGGAGAACTGGGTAAATCAAGGTTGGCAAACTGACATAATCATAAACTAATGCCCCTTGTGGCTACCTTTCATAAAAAGTTGGAGCAAACCCGTTACAGTGTCGGCATGGCAGAGCGAATCCACTGATGGACCGAAAGGTGGTTGGAGTTGTGTTTTTTGGAATGGGTGCAATGGTTGCGGTGGTCACCTCTCCCACAATTGCTGGACGTAGTGTGGTGTAGCGCAGTTGTAGTTGTAGTTGTAGTGCAGTGGAGTTGTAGTTGTAGTGTGTAGTGTCATTAGTGTAGTGTAGTTGTAGCTGAAAAGTAGTGTAGTGTAATGTAGTGTAATGTAGTGTAATGTAGTGTAGGGTACTGTAGTGTAGTGTACTCTCGTGTTGTGTACTCTTAGTGTCGTATAGTGTAGTCTAGTGTAGTGTGTGTGAAGTAGCGTAGTTGTAGTTGTAGTGTAGCGTGGTCTAGTTGTAGCGTAGCTGTAGTGTAGTGTAGTGTAACTAGTGTAGTGCAGTGTGTAGTTGCAGTTGCAGTGACAGTTGCAGTTTCAGTAGTAGTAGTAGTAGTAGTAGTTGTTGTTGTTGTTGTTGTAGTGGTAGTTGTAGTTGTAGTTGTAGTTGTTGTTGTTGTTGTTGTCGTTGTTGTTGTTGTTGTCGTTGCTGTTGTAGTTGTAGTGTACTGGCAGTGGTAGTCGTAGTTGTATTTTTCTCTCTATCTATCTACCTACATATCTATCTGTCTATCTATCTACCTATCTATCCATCTATCGATCTATCTATCGATCTATCTATCGATCTATCTATCGATCTATCTATCGATCTATCTATCGATCTATCTATCGATCTATCTATCTATCTATCTCTTTCCTATCTATCTCTTTCCTATCTATCTCTTTCCTATCTATCTCTTTCCTATCTATCTCTTTCCTATCTATCTCTTTCCTATCTATCTCTTTCCTATCTATCTATCTGTCTGTCTGTCTGTCTGTCTGTCTGTCTGTCTATCTGCAACTTTGAAAACGAAGCTATTCTGCGAGGCTTCCTCATTTCTTGAACTTGACAACATCAAAAGCGAAAAAAATCAGCGAGACTACCTCAATTTTCGAAGTTGACAGCAATTCTGCGAGACTTCCTTCAAAAATGGAATGTTGAGTGCAGAGCACAGAGCTGACGGCCTCGTGCCAATCGTTTTACGATTTTTCCACTCCACCTGGCTAAAGTACTGCGCCTGCCACGAAAAAGTGATGCCAGGTCACACGAAGCGCTGCACCTGCCACGCAAAATCATCTTGGCAAACCTGATGATCTGAGGCTCCAAAATGCAACCCTCTCAGGAAATCAGCGCCCGGACCTCCTAACAGCTCTGATGAACATGTCTCTTGTATTGCGCCTGCCATGGAAAATGCATCGTTGCAGATCCTCTTCAAATGTCCCACGCCTGCTATCGTTTTTGGAAATGCTACAAAACCCTCACGTTTTGCTCACTTTTGACAAGGTGCGAATCCCTTGCGCATGCCACGCAAAACGACATCTCAACTTCCAAAAGTTGTCCGAACATGTGGGTGCTTTTAACATGTTGACTTCGAAATGTGCTTCACGCCACAAAGGCGTGCACTTTTTCGACATGTCAACTTCCAAAAGTGGTCCGGAGCTGGTGTGCTTTGTACATTCTGACTTCCACATGTGCTTCGCGCCAAATCGGCTCATCTCAACTTCCAAAAGGGGTCCGAGAATGGTGTGCTTTGTACATTTTGACTTCCAAACGTGCTTCGCGCCATAACGGCGTGCACTTTTTCGACATCTCAACTTCAAAAGTCGTCCGAACATGAGGTGCTTTGCGCACTTTGACTTCCGAATGTGCTTCGCGCGATTTTTCATCTCTCATCTGGCCAGATGGCTCTGCACCCGCCACTTTAGCGAGCCTACTTTTCGACCCTCCGGAGCCACAAATCATGTGTTTCGCGACTTTCCTACCTTTTCGCGCACCTGCATCTTCTTTCTTCTCTGACTCTTTCTCTTCTCTGATCTTCTCTCGTCTTCTCTTCTCTTCTCTGACTCTTCCCACCTCTGCTTTTCCATCTGTCCATATTGTGGGAAGTTTGACTTCTAAACTTCCTTCGAAAAACATAGGAACCTGTATGGACAGTTTGTTCTGCCCGTTCTGGGTTTTACCCATAACAAACATTTACGTTTGTTCAAATGCGTATTTGGGTTTTGGATTGTGAGGGGCTGTTCAAATGCTTTGCCAGCCCTAGATTCCAAAATCCGCCAGCGTCCAACGGGGTACAGTACCCAAATCTGGCCCTAAATACTGTCATATTTGCCACTAAATCTCAGTGTACTACTGCCTCTACATGAGACACGTATACTGTTGGAACCGGTCTGACAAATCCAAGATTTCAGGAAAGCCATTGACATATCAGTAAATGGATTGCAGCCGGACATGGCCATATTTGGAAACACACGTAACAAACAGAAAAATGGCCACACCCGTAAAGCCGAAATCCGCCAGCCTGCCGGCGTGTCTGATTGGAAGGTGTTGTTCTTGTTTCTGTTCTTGGCTTGTACTTGTTCCTTTGTTCTCTTGCTGCGCGTGTTTTGCTTCGTCTGAATCAAGGTCACCCCCCCTTCCCCCTAGTACTAGTACTGCTACTGCTACTGCTACTGCTACAGCTACTGCTACTACTGCGACTACTACTACTACTACTACTACTACTACTACTACTACTAAGTACTACTACTACTACTAAGTACTACTACTACTACTAAGTACTACTACTACTACTACTACTACTACTACTACTACTAACTACTACTAACTACTACTAACTACTACTAACTACTACTAACTACTACTAACTACTACTAACTACTACTAACTACTACTAACTACTACTACTAACACTACTAACTACTACTACTACTACTACTACTACTAACACTACTACTAACTACTACTACTAACTACTACTACTAACTACTACTACTAACTACTACTACTAACTACTACTACTACTAACTACTACTAACTACTAACACTACTAACACTACTAACTACTACACTAAACACTACTAACGCTACTAACACTACTACACTACTAACACTACTAACACTACTAACTACTAACTACTAAACTACTACTACTACTACTACTACTACTACTACTACTACTACTACTACTACTACTACTACTACTACTAACTACTACTACTAAGTACTACTACTACTACTACTAAGTACTACTACTACTACTACTAAGTACTACTACTACTACTAGTACTACTACTACTACTAAGTACTACTACTACTACTAAGTACTACTACTACTACTACTACTAAGTACTACTACTACTACTACTAGTACTACTACTACTAAGTACTACTACTACTAAGTACTACTACTACTAAGTACTACTACTACTAAGTACTACTACTACTAAGTACGACTACTACTAAGTACGACTACTACTAAGTACGACTACTACTAAGTACGACTACTACTAAGTACGACTACTAAGTACGACTACTACTACGACTACTACTACTACTACTACTGTTGTACTGCTGCTGCTACTACTACTTCCTGCTCCTACTCCTACTCCTACTCCACCGCCTACTCCGACGCCTACTCCGACTCCTCTACTCCTCTCCTCTACTCCTTCCTCCCTTCTTCCCAAGTACTACACCGGTAGTGCCTGTAGCTAATGACACTGCCTACAGCATTACTACCGTTGTCTACAGGTGCTCGTCACCGGACGCACACGATACTGATCGACCAGTGCTGCTACTCAAGCTGCTTCTGATCTACGGCTCCGTCTTCGTCTCTTCTTCTCTCAGGCTTCCACCTAGCGTGCACATCAACCTCCCTTGTGGCAATCTCTTTCCGCTTCCACCCTGTCTCCTTCCATGCAGCGGTCTGCTGTCAAGCCAGAGGCTCATACATAGTACCTGGCGCTACTTTGCTGGGGGCGGTACTAATTTGGTATACGGTCAATAGGTTGTTACAGGAAGCCTTGCTACACAAGCCGCTTCCGTTTTACGGCTTTGTCTTCGTCTTCCTTTCTAATTTGTTCTTCTTCTTCTTCTTCCTCTTCTTCTTCTTCTTCTCCTTTTCTCTTTCGCTCTCTCGCGGGTTTCCACCTAGAATGCACATCAAACTCCCTTCGGGCGACCTCTCTATGGCCGGCGGGCTTGCCGAAGGCAATTAAATAAATTGTCTTTATGGTTTCTCGGGTAGATATTGTTCAAGTTACACGGGATTATATTATGGATTAATCGGGTTACCGGGTATGGTCATGTTCTGGGATTCCTCAACTCATGGGCATATGGAGGTTTCCGAAGTCATTGGGGTACCCCCAAAGCATCCAAGTTATGGATGACCATGACGTATTGAAACCTATGGTAACTTGGGGACCATGACTTAAGAAACCCCATATCTTCTCATATTGGTTTATTATGGTACCTCTAAATCCATTGGTGAATCATCATTTTCCCTATATATTTAAATGGCCACATATGTAGAAGGTATATTCAAATATTCCATGACTTAAGAACCCCCTTAATATTGACCACTATTAACCCCTCTGAAATGGGATGACCATGCTAGCCACCTTCAGCTGCTCAGGAAGCTTGGCAATTTTCTCCGTGTCCTGAACCTCAGAGACTGGTGAGAAGACTTCACCCGTATCACTGGCCTTATAAGCCTTATCATTTGGATCACCTAGATTAGTATAGGGTTGTATCCCATACATACCTTGGATATTACAGTAGTTATATTACAGTATATTACAGTAATCCGGGTTGACCATGGTTAAAGTTACATACAACCCTTGATTCACTGCACCTATCAGATACGTCCACTCCCTCACTGGGCCAGTGTCCACCGCATCTCGCCCAGCCACATCTAGCGTCACAGCGATTGGCTCAGGAAGGTCCGGAAAACGCTCGCACAGTGCCTTCTTCAGCGCCTGCGAATTGAGGGTGACAGCGCTTTTAATTATCCGGTTGAAATAGGAGAGTGATTATTCAGGGCCGTGTCAATCTTGTTTTGCCTGGGACTTGTGGTAATTCTGTTGACCCTCGTATTTCGGTGATGGAAAAAACATTTGAAAACGAACAACCAGCACAAGTTTCAAGTGCTTGTATCCCACTTTTTGCTGCTGATAGTCCCATGTTTTGTTCGTCAAATCTACATGTCGGTTGAGACAACATTGGAAAACACCAAGCAGTCATATCATCGCTTTCAATTGGTTACGTCATGTTGTATTCCCGTTTTTCTGCGGTCAACCACGGTTAAGCCCACATTTTTCGACAACCAGCTGTTGGAACCCCCACCGCCTCCCACCACAGAGCGCCTCCAATCTCTCGGTACGACGACCACAGAGCGCCTCATATTGTCTGCAAAAAACACCTGCATTAACAACTATATAATGGATTCCCTTCTAAAAATATTAAACATAGAAATTGAAAAAATATTCCCTCCTATCTAGTTGTCAGTGATTTACGTTTCTATCCTGTTGATTCTTGTGGTTTCCCACTTGTGGCCCTCACCAAATGGCAACGGAGCTCGGCAAAACGCCAGGCAGTGGCTTCTCCGATACCTTCCATGGACGATCAAACTCGGGGAGTTGGAGTGTTGTTATGCCTGTTTGAAGCATTGAAACGGCGGATTAACATGTTTTGTTTACATATTTTTACCATGAAAATTAGTTGAAGATCACTTGTAAGCATTGGCAGCATTGTATTCACTTCGCTGGTTAAAGGGAAACTTTACAGTGAAAGCGTCAAGATAAGGGAATTGAATGGAATTGACACATAAACATTGTGTTCACTTGGCTTTTTGAAGGGAAAATCTACTGGAAGTATCGGAGTGTCCGATAGTTGCTCCCTGAAACCAAGTTTGCGATTCTCAGACATCAAACATGTAGCACTGAAGCCCAAAATCGGCGTGTGTTATTGAACCTGTAAATTTCCTCCAGGACCCTATTGACGAAATGAACACGAATTAACTTCAACACAAGAAATGTCCACAAGAGTTAAACATGACTCATCTTACTTTGAACAATGCAGGTGCTGAAGGTACCAGCTGAAGCATCACTTCACACGTAGCTGAGGTATGCTGAGGTATGCTGAGGTACTCCAAGTACTGCCCTTCACGGGATGTTTCGTGACAGTTGGCTATGTCAAGTTGCACCTCCAGCTCCTTCGTATTGTGCGTATACACTCGTGCGTACTTGTGCTTGTACCCTCATTGGATCTCATTGGGCAAGATTCTATGCTCCCTCTAGATGGGTCCCTAAAATTGGGGCACCATTTACCATTGGTTTCCCATGGTTTCCCTCTAATCAGACATGGCGGCTGGAAATCCCTAGTTTTCTTTCATGGTTTGATGAGCAGAAAATCAACAGAGTCCACCTGCAGTAGCGCCCGTCAGCAGCACAGCGCTACCCTTCAAGTCCAACGGCTGGTACAAAGAGCTTGGCAAACAGGACATGGCGAATAAAGGGCAGCGGTTGTGTCAGATTTGTAGCAGACATGTATTTTCTTACGAACCTTATAACTATTCCACAATATGGTTATAGGTTTTATTGTTTCATTACAAACAATCCCAACCCCTGCATTGTCCTCCGTGGAAGCTGACTCACCAGAACCAAAATAGGCCAAATGACTCCATCCGTTGGATGAGCTCCGTTGCTCACTGTCGCTCACTGTTGGTCAAGGTCGCGTGGCAACACCCTTGACTTTGGTTCTTGTTTCACTGGCATCCCTATGATCTTCCACAGCTACGGCGACGGACCATCTATATTGGAAAATGGGGATCTCTTGTGCCAACGACACGCTTCGCAAACGAAGGTCCACTATGGTCCACTATCCATTCAGCAGCTATGCAAGTCATTCACATAGTTCGATGACTCGAAGCGTACATGTGTTCCATGGTGTTCCTGCGCCATTTCCAAAACTTGATCCAATCTTTGTGACTCAGCTTGGAACTGGCCAGCAGCTCAGCACTTTGCAGTGCAGCATGACCTGAAAGCTACTGGAACAGGAAACGAAATCACTGGCAAATCGGGCAGAAACTGACTTGACAAATGATTAGTTGGGAAAAGAAACCTGCCAAATCATTGATTCATACGGATTCGGAAGATCAACTTTACCAATGAAAATGACGGTGGAACAAATTGCTCAATCATTGGTGAGCAAACACCTTGTTCAGTGATTCTGTACATTCTATTCACCAACTCGCACAGCGAAAAGTGGCAAAGGAATTCGTTTTTGTGTTGCGGGTGATGGTGCGACTTCATCTTCCAGGAATGATGCCACCGGCATAGACCCGGAACCTTGGAAATTCTTGGATATACCGTCAATCCCAGGTTATACCCATGATCAATGATCAGTTTGATGGCCTCCATACTAAACTTACAAGCGTTTGTCAACACAGGTTCTACTTGGGATCATCCAAGAAAGCTAGGTTATTTTAAATGTTCCCAAATAATGTCAGAATGTTTTATTCTTATCGTTTTCTGTGGCTGTAGTGATCTCGTACTGTGAAGGGTCAAACCTTTCTAAAGTAAATGAGCAGATTTGTACATACTACACACTATGTATGTACATATATAAACACTATATTACACATATATTTAAATATACGTAGATACGATTATGCATAAATATACATATATCATCATATATCATATATATATATATACATACAATAATACATATTATAATACATATTATAATATATATATATATATAATTAATTAATATATGTGTGTGAAATTTATATATCATGAAATTATATTCTATTACATTACATTACATCACATTTGTATGTTATAGTAAAATATATTATATACATTACACTGTATTGTATGCTATTATACTATATTAAAATTCAATATTTTAATATGTTGTGTTATGGTTGAATGATGTTGAATGGATTCTGTATGTGTTATATTATGCTATACATGCTATACTATATCTATTATATACTATTATATACTATTATATACTATTATATACTATTATATACTATTATATACTATTATATACTATTATATACTATTATATACTATTATATACTATTATATACTATTATATACTATTATATACTATTATATACTATTATATACTATTATATACTATTATATACTATTATATACTATTATATACTATTATATACTATTATATACTATTATATACTATTATATACTATTATATACTATTATATACTATTATATACTATTATATGCTATTATATACTATTATATACTATTATATACTATTATATACTATTATATACTATTATATATATATTACTATATTGTATTACTATAATATATCATATTACGATATTGATACATATTAATACTGCCCCTGGGAGCTGCGACGAAGGTCCTGCAGGCTGCAGCTGGCCAAGTCCTGCCGAGTGACGAGTGTCCCCCAGCTGATCCAAAAATATAGTCCAAATATGTCCAAATGTTGGAAAACCCATCCTAAACAGGGGAAAATCATTGGAACATAATTGAAACAGATTGAAAATAAGTGAAAATAATTGGGATTATGGTCCTTTTTCCAAAAGTTTCCAGAACATAAATAAATATAATTGGAACAACAATCCTACGTTCCATCGATGTTGGAAATCTGAAGTTTAAGCCTTTACAACTCTGAAAATTCCAAGAAAGTCCAAACCAATTCTTGGTGGTTGCTTTGAGGAGAATTTTTGCGAAGATTCGATCATTGGAATCATGGAAATGATGTGAAACCACTGAGAACTGGTTGACCTGCCGATACTCGGCTCTGGGTTTCTCGAGAAGTTTCTCCCAAATTCTGTGGCTCACTGGTTTGCTGATTTTTTTAGGTGCAGGTATCGACTTGGATGACATCAAGATTTCATAGTTCTTTTTGGGTGCTCCAAGAATGGGCTTCAACCCAGCAATGGTATTCCCTCTCCCTGAAAAGCCTCCCTGAAGTCTACAGCCCTTTCGCTTTCCCGCTTCTCCATCACCAAGTGCCTGAGCAGAAATTCCCAGGCGAATCTGTAGATCTTCGATCCCTCTGTTGGCATCCTGGCAGCCACAACTTTTTCCTGCAACCATCTCCAAACATGTGTGAAATTGGGAAGAAATGAAGCCATCCTTCACTGAGTAGTTACTGGGGAGGAAATTGCATCATGGTTGAACCGCTACCCCTGTCAGATACTTTACTACACAAACATATCATAATCTTAAGCTGGGAAGAAGAATCCATCAAATATTCCTCTTTTCATCGCTCAAATCTTGAACCAACTCACCTGGATATTGTATGGCTCAAACTCAGTGACCCACCGAAAGTGAAGGGGTAAATGTCAAAAGATGCAAAAATACGTATCCTGTTTGGATCTTAAACCCCAGTTGAGACCATCATGTTCCCTTGTTTCTTTGGCTATATCTTGGTTGATGAATAAACACATGTAAAAGCCCTCTTTAGATATCTTTTGATGAAATTTGTTGATGATCCTAAAATGGCATTATCTCTTTTCGTTGAATATGTAAAATGGCTCATCCTTAAATACTTTTTTTGCGGGTTGAATGCCAAATTGTAATCCTCAAGTACCATTTTTGTTGTTGGTTAACTACCAATTTCTGATCCTCAAATACCAATTGATGTTGGCTAAATACGGCTAAATAGCACCTGTTAATGAAAAACATCAAGACTTTGTTGGTTCAATCCCCATTTTTGATGGTCAAATTGGTGGTTTGATGCCCCATCTCTCCGAGAAGCCTCCAGGGCCAAAGGTCTCGCTCCCACACGCAGCAAATCAGCAAGGCTGGCAGAGTGCCGTTCTCGTTGACCCACCTGAAAAACATCTATAACAATGAGCATCAGTAAGCAAAATTATCTATATATAATGAATACCAATCAATACTGGATAATGACGGCAAATATATGCAAATATAAACTACTGTATGAGAAAGACATTATTTAGCCAGGCGATTATCAAGATTCCCACCTAGGCTAAACGGCTAAATAATATCTACAGCCTCGGGTAATTTGTTGCAGTTTGCTATGGAAGCTATGGCCCTACACTAAATCAATGATTTACCTATTGCGTAGTACTGACTTTCCATAGCTACGTTAAATTACCAGAGGGAAGTGTGGTTGGACAACTCTTTAATAGGGAACATCGATACCCCTCCTTAGCTCCCTTCTAGTCACTGGATAGTAATACTTAGCTAGTGCAAGATATCATTGTCATTGGCAAGGTATCTCAACCATGTGCTGCAATATTTAGTTCATCACAGCCAGACATCTTGACTAATGTGGTGGTAAACCTCCAATTGGGGATGGCTATTTACCACCTATTTCTGGTGGAATTGGGAATGGTTTTCTATTGGCTATGCCACATTATCCACACCAGTCCATAGCTATCCTAAAATGTGAATTTAAATTTTGATGAGTTATGAGAAAACCAAGATAAGAAAGCAAGTATCCAAAAATTGGCTTTTGAGAGGGTTGAATGGTTTGAACGAATCTACATCAGCGATTTAGAACAACAGCCGGAGGATTGCTTGCAAGTTGATTGGGACCAAAGAAGATGATCTATCTGCACCTTCAAGTGACCTATTGAACACAGTCCTCATGTCGAATGTTCCACTGCCCGAATATCTTTGAATGGTACTGTTCTACATGACTCTTAGATATCCCAGGAAGTCGCAAATCCCTAGCAATTCCCCAACAACTCTTCCTTGACTTGACTCCCAGGCAAACCTCCAAATACCTGCTGCACAAGACAAATTCCTGGGCAAAGGCTGACAGGCCCTCCTCGCTGTGAAGTCTGGAAGATAGAAGCCTCAGCTGTGAACAGCTTTCAATCATGGAAAATGTAGATGGATGGATGTTCTTCCACCCAAGTATGTCTCAGTATGTTTCTGGCTCAATTTGGGGTACTATTGCCATTTTGGGGATCAAACCATCCAATTTTCGGGGCTCAATAAGTTTAAGTCACGGCCATGTAGACCCCCGAAAGTAGATCCTAATGGATCGCGAAGCTAGACTGGAGCGTTGACTGGCCTGACACAGAAAGCTTATGCTGAAAGTGTAAGACACCAGCAACCGTGGTATTCGCAAAGGACCCACGGATGCCTCTGCTTGTTGAAGTTTCTGAAACTCCAAGAGCAACTGCCGCTCATCACGCGAAGCTTTCAGAACCAATCCTCAGAGTCAGGTTGGAACGAACTTATGCTTGTAGCACTGATACTCTGACGAACCAAATCAACAAAGTCCCTTCAACTTCAACAGATCGTAGTCCAAACATGTCCAAAGCATCACAAGAAGGTTCACAGTCTTTAACATCCAAGTGTCTGTGCGGCTCAAAAGGTACAATCTCATCTCCTTCTCTCCCGCATAGCGGGTTGGAAGAGCTGCCAATGAGAAAAGTTCCAGCACCATGAGCCCCGCTGGCGGCCGCTCGCAAGGCACTCATATACCAGATGTCTATATCATCAGGCACCCTTGAAGTGAGATGATTCAGGATTTGCTTCACCAAAGGTTGGGTGGACGGATGGATGATCTTAGACTTCAGATCCTCTTCCAAGTTCCGCAAGGCGCTTTGGCCTCGAGGTTCCGTGGCCAAGTGCCGTTGCCACGGGCATTGCTGGGACATCACCGGCTTTCGTCGCTGCCAGTCCTCCTGTAACTTCTGGTTGGACTCCACCAGCCGCGCATCGGAGGGTGCAGTGAAGTCTTTGGTCACCAACTTGGTGTGGGCCAGAACCCAGACTTCTGCTGAAGGCTGCCAGGCTCGCATGGGGCCAATGGGGTGAGTGGGTTGATGTGTGCTGACTGGACCATCTGGCCAATGTTGTTTGGAAATATCAGAAGTATCATTGATTCGTATCTTTTCTTGACATTGACTTCTCTTAGGCTAAGACAAACTTGACAACTGAGCCAAGAAGAGATGCAGCATGTTGTTTGGATGTGCCCAGACTTCAACAGGTTTGCCCATACCTTGAGGTGGGCAAACGCAAGCAGTCTAGCCTTTTGGACTTCCCGGTGACAAGCCATAGCCAAGTTTCAAGAAAACCTCTTGGCCAGAATGAAACCTTGAGGTTCCTCTGTTCCTCACTGATTCATCAACATCAAATTCTGCATCCAAAGCCAAAGAATCTGCGTTTTTGTTCATCATGAATTCTGCCAGGAAGGAGTTTAGCTTCCATGGGGCGAGCTGCAGTCTTTGCAGCTTTGGAAAAGTCGCGCAGTTCTGACTCTGGCAACAAAGCAACGGCTTTGCAGCAAGTCGTTCTGGCAGAGACACGAGTGAGTCAGCCTCTGGGTGAGGCTCTGGTCATACAACATCGACTAAGATAGAGTTCTGGGTCATTATGGGCTGGGTCAAATCCTTAAGTACCCAAAGTTGGATTCCATTCCAAATGTCCAGTCTGTGGGTATCTCGAATTCTGGCCGCTTTAAGACTTACAATCCGTGACGCGTGACTGGTGTGATCTAGTTCCGCTTCAGAAATCTCCATCTGGGCAGTGATGCAGGACACACAACACCACTTCCCAAATGAGACGAGCAACAAGTGCCATGCCAATTATACCAGGTAGTTGTCATTCAAAAAAACCTACTGTAGAGTCTATTCCATCCATTCCTCAAATCTTGCAATGGAACTTAATGGAATGCAATGAGTACCTGTTCTGTTCTACAGTACCTGTTCATCAATCCCACAATCTGAAACCCGTACCGGTTTTGCCACTTGCCCAAACCGCAACTGTCTCAGCAGTCTTTGCACGACCAGAAAATCTGAGGAATCAAGCAAAAGATGTTCCACCGTTTCATCAAGACTCCCTTCAAAAAAGTCGTGAGTTGTTGATATTTGATAACTCATGGAGATCAGCCAACCAAAAAATTGCCACCAATTGCACCTTCGCCATCTTCCGGCTTCTTGCCATTGCCTGGTGGAATTCCCAAAAAGGGAAGACGTATCCGAAGTGGCCATGCAAAACATTTGTAAAACGCATCTGAATCACATGTGAACTGCACACCAAATGCAAATACATTGCGGATCAAACATACACATTTAATCACATTTATGTGTGTGTGAAACATATGTGCAGCGTGTGTGAAAACCTATGTCAACTGTATGTGAAACATATTCGAGACATATGTGAAACATACAGTATGTGAAGCATTAAACTGTTTTGCGACGAAATTGCGTTCACAGCAGTGTGCATGTTTGCGAGCTCATGTCAGTTTTAGTGCCAGGAGGAAGATCAGATCTTATTTCATGCACTGTAAGTCACTTCTGGATTTTGCATAAAGAAACACATAAACAGAAACAGACAAAAAATAACGCAAACACATTTCCTCATGTTAATGTTTGTACTTGTGGATGTGTTTGCAAATTTGCATCATTTCGTCGGGAGAAAATATGTTGGACCTTACATTGAATAGATAGATTATAGATAGGTTAGATGGCAAATGCAACCGATAAACGCAATTTCATGCAATGTCCAGATATGTGAGGAATATGCGTTCTGTTTGCGTATTTGATGCCGTTTGTGTATGCAAATGCGCGGGCCAGTCCAAAACGGGCTCTATTGTGGAAGCCTTTCAAACTCTGCTAAGCCATATCCCCAAGTTTCCAAGTGACACAGCATGATTGCAAGGTGTGGCAATGAGGAGCAGGCGTCTCTTTGGCAGCCCAAACTTGAACTTAGAGCCTGAAAAGGCATCGTGCAGATCAGGCTTCTCGTATGGCACACATCGCACTTCATGTCAGGTCTGTCTCTAGCCACAACCATCTACCACCATCCACTTAGAGTAACATCCACAGACCCAGCCGCTCCTGTGGGCTCAGGAATGCTCAAGCAAACCGCTGTGGGCATTCCTACCTGCACAAAAAACAAAGATTCCAGTCCATCAAGGATGCAAGGACAAACACTTTAACTTTGCATTGGCTGGTTCAAGCCAGCATCAAACGTGCCTCATTCTGAATGGAGTGATAGAGTGATCACCCCGAAAGTGTCACCTGGTTTTGTGACCACCTTGTGGTTGTGGTCTTGCCGGCACCGAGCCTGTACCATCCTCTCCCACAGCCACTGTGTCTCCTCCAAGTCACGGATCTTGAGGACGCAAAAAAGGAAAGGGTCAAGTTGTTGAGGTCCTTTTGTGTATGATTCAACCATTAAACATCATTAAACCATATGAAAATATATTAAACCATCCCATTTTAAGGTATCCTATCATTTTAGGCCATCAGTAAAATGGGATTGCTGTTTGCCATCGCAGGAGAAAAGCGGACTCTGCAGGAAAAGTTGAAACGAGGCTGCGCTCTCGTTGATGGTCTCACCCCATCCTTCAAATATCAAGTAATTCTGATTACTATTCCAGGTAGGATGAAAAATATGGAAAACACCCTCGGGTAATCAAACGTAGCAATGGACAATTCACCATTTATAGACTATAGATGATTTCCCCGTTAAACCCTCCATTTATATTTGGGATTTCCCATGGCCACATCGCTACCAACCTACGACCAGCTTGGTTTGCAAGCCTCAAAGAACCAACTGTTGATCACTGGCGGCAGCCGAGCGTATCTGTCGAGCAAATCGGCCTGTCACTGCCAAGCCCTGGAACCCAGGAAGTGGATGGAATTCCAGTGCACATCACCGTAAAGCTAGGATGACCCATTGAAAGCCAGAGCAAATCTAAATATACATCATTGATAGTTGGTTGTATATTCCACGACATCATACGATATCCCCATTAATATTCTGGTAGGTGGTTTCAACCCCTCTGAAAAAAAAAATCAGTCAGTTGGGAGGATTATTCCCAAATATTCCCAATATATGGAAAAATAAAAAATGTTCCAAACCACCAACCAGATATTCCATTAAATGCCAATTTTTCATAGTTAAATCAGTTATATAAATCCATCTTTTGACGGCACTAGTATCATCTCCACATCCCTAAGATTCCCTAAGCTTGGGACGCACTATGACCCTCTGCCAGCCCTGCCAGCCATCAGATCCAGGGCCTGTGTGAGCCATTGCAACTTCCGCAGGCAAATGCAGCAGAGTGAGAAAGGGACATGAGCGATGGCCTCGTGACGGCAACGCGATTCATTGAGGGTATTTTTTTTTTTGAGTTTAATGGGGAAAGAATGGGGAAAGAATGGAGATGAATGTGAATGATTAATGGAGATTCATAATATTCAGAGAGATTTCTTTAGTGATGGCCAAGAAACATCATGAAACATCCAGGGTTTTTCGGAGCTTTGCAAACACTTCGTGCTACTTTTCGTTGGTCCGGTGAACAACCTGTGCATCCCATGTTCCTAAGCTCTCCGCTAAACGTCCATTGTCCGTTGCAAACATTGCAGATTTCCCTCTTGTAATCCAACATGGCAATGGAAAACCCAACATGTGTGGACTGTGTGGATGATGTGTAGATGATTTGTATTGACTCATTCCGTTGCCATGTTGGATTGCCAAGGGTCCTCCAAGTCCTCCAGTTGCTTTTCCATGCTTTTCCAGCATCGCAGGGACTTCCAATTCCGTGAGACATTCTGCGCGACCGCAGGTCGGCAGGATCGAAGGAACACACGTGGCGACAAAGCGTAGCTTCCGCGGATACGCCGCAGTTACGCAGCACCACATGTGCGAACTGCATCAGAAAGAGCTCCAGACATAAAACCAAGTGATGAGACAATGTTAAATCCAGCAGTGACGCACAGATTCACCGCTGGGCTCTCAGGATCTTCTGGGCATTCGGTGGCCAGGATTCCCATGAAGCCTGCAATGGTGGTCAGCGCAGCAATGGTTGCAGAGATATCCAAGCTGCATCCCATCTTAAGTCCTTGGGCTTGTGCGCTATCACCTATGGCCACAGGGCATTCCAGGGTTCCAGCGGTGATAAAAACACCAACGGCAGCGGCAAATCCCACAACACCTGCCGCGTCAAAGCCACATTTCACCAGTTTATCAGTGCGTCCCTGATTCTTTCGCTTTTCGCGCCTTCGCTTGAAAAAGGCTCTGTTGTTCAAAATTGTCTTCGCAATTGGTCCCAAGGCCGGCAATCTTTTGATCAAAACTTCTTTCACATCATCCACTTTGGCCGCCAGAAGGGGATTGCGCTCCCGGTCACGAATGCCAAGGCGCCTAGAGAGTCCACGCACAATATCAAGGGCTTCTGCATCTATATCAAAGTCAAAGCCCTTGGATCTTCTAGGATACGGTGGACACACAGCCTGGGCTGTCGCTTGCCCCGCAGTCAAATAAGAAATGCCTGCACTGACGAGAGACACGTCGCCAGCACAACTTGCTCCTGGATTTGGACTGAGTTGAATAGCTGTGGCACAGTCGCTTACTGCGCGCGCCAGAAAGCCAGCAATGAAAAGAACGATGGAAACAGCAGTTTCAATACCGATGCGGCATCCTTGATCAAGCAAATCTCGCACCAAAAATTTTTCGCGAGGGGAAATAAGGGCATCAACATTTGGAAGAAGGTCTTTGAAAATGCTGATCTTGAAGACCGTCCTTGTCTTGTCTGCAGTCTTGCAGCCTTTGTTAGCACCATTGATAATGTTGCCAAGAATGCCTATGAAGGAAGCAACCAAGTATGTATCCACAGTGCAGGATGCAATTGGCAAAGCCAGGGGGTTTTGTGTCATGTCCTGTAACTGCCTTTTCACATTCCGAACGGTGGAAATCATGCTGGAGTTCACGGAGCCATGTTGGAAGGTGCTTTGACCATCCTCCACTCCATCAAGGAACAAATCCAAGAACTCCATCACACCCATATCTTTTGCCACTTCAAGTGGTGGCTTCCATGGTTTCTGCACTGGCTCAACTGGACTCGGGTCAATCGGACTGGTCGTCCAAAGGCTCAAGGACAAGAGGAGCAAGCACACGCCAGCCCCACCAAGACCAGCTGCATATTTCCAGCGGGATGTCTTGCCCAGTTCCTTGTGAACCAGCTCCACCTCTTCGATTTCAACTTGCAAATAGTTTGACATTCAGTCTCGAGATGTCTAGAGTACCTAAAACATGCAAATGATCTGAGCCATTCTGAGCCCAAAGCACATGCAACGGCTATGCAATTCCTGAACGTTTGTACACGGTAGAGTGGTTTGCACAGCACTGCCAAGCTACAAGGTGAACATTACAAAGTCTGTCCGCTCAAAGTCTGAGACTGCTGAGACTGTAGCGACATGTATCGTCAATGGCAAACAATGGCGAGGGTTCAAGATCCTTCAAGATCCTATGCACTTCAATTTCCCTTCAGCAAGCTCTGCCACCCCGCCTCTGGCAGGACTTGTCCATCTGTCTCGGGGAGAGGATTCATGAGGCAATGCCTGAAAAAATGGCTGGGAAACTCTTTTTCACGAACTCTTATCTTTTGCCAACTGGGCAGTCAGTGCTTGACCTCAGAGGATATTGAGTGGCCGGGATTTCTGAACCGAAACATGCCTGGTTCCAGACATGGCCCGTCTCGTGGCATACAATCTGCCAGGGCTGGGGTCCCCGACAGCAAATGGCACTCTTTGGCCCCACAGAGTTTCAAGCTCTCTCGGCACAATAGCTTCGCCTGTTGATCCGCATACCCAAAGTAGAACCGCCACTCTGCTTTGTTCATACAAAGGGAAGGAACCTCCGGCCAACATGCAAATGAAACATGATGAAACATGATGAAATCTAGGCAGTTGCCCAATTCTCAACGCAGCTTGGGCACGAAGATCTTGGAGAGTTCCAGCCGTCGACTTCGTACCGACTTGGTAGGCACAAGCGTTTGTGGCGACAGGTGTGTTGAATCAAAGGCGCTGGGATGGAACACGTGGTCCGTTCTCTTGGAATATCAAAGTCATTTCTCAGCCTTTGCAATGATGTTTAGATCTAAATGATCTAATTTAGATCCCACTCTCGGTGATTCATCGTCATACAGTCATACACAACTGATGCATGTGGCATTTGGGTCTGGATGCGATCCGCTGTTCGCCAAAAGAACCAGGGCCACAACCGGTGTTTGAGGAAAACCCGCACCAAGTCCTGAAAGCATTGCATACAGCTGTGAAACGCGCATGGACAGTGCTTTCCCAATCTTCTTGGGATATTCTAACCATTTCTAACATATTCAAACCCTATGTACATGAAAGCCTGAGATTCTGAATTTGTGAAGATATTCTTTGATTTCAAAATCCATGGGTTTTCCTACCAAAATGCACCGTCAAATGCCAGATTTAAGGGGGTTCCGACGATTTCCTGCATTGGGACACACCACTGAGGTTTCGGAACCTAACTCTCGAGAGTCTCCATCGATGTCCACGACACTGCTACGATGAGCTTCCTGCCAGAAGAATATCCGTCTTTGATGCATTTGAAAAGGCAATGGAATACAACATAATACAACTAAAGGCATTGAAATCAAAGCGGAATGCTGGGCCCAAACTGTTTGCCATGGCGGTTCATGTTCAGATGTTGCGGAGTAGTTTGCCCCCATTCTGAGGTCCTCATGTTGATGAAAATACCTGGCAGCAACTCAGAAACAAAGCGCTCATTGGTCTGTGTCTATGTTTCGAAAACGTCCACTCTCGATCAAGGGTTTAAACTTTACTAAGTATTACTAAGCCACTATTTAAGATACTCATACTCTATAAGATACTCTATAAGATACTATGACCCCAGATTTGGACCTTTCATTTTCATATCTTAGCTGCTCCAAAATGATTTCAACCCACCTGGCGCTGGAGAAGAGTCCAAGTCGATCTCCCGGGTCCATCCTGGAACCGGCTTGGGAAACTAAGAACATCAATGGCTGGTCAGTGGTTTCAACATGTTTCAACCCATCCCAGGATATGCTTGTTGTTAAGGATCATCGTTCCAATTCTGCTTGAGAATATATTTGAAACCGCAGACCAGATTTGGTTTAGCTCGATCATCTGGAATTTCAAGCAGTTTGGATGTGTTCAAATGTGTTGCTTCAGGCAGTTGGGATGATCACTTCCACGATTTCGAAGATTCGTTTGACACCACTCAGATCACTCCCAACCCTGTGCAAAGCGATTTAACATCTTAAAATCTGCAAGCTATCCAAGAGTGCACCAACCCATTGGCCCTAGCAAATGTCATGCCAGTGACGAAGTCGTACTGCTCCGGGGGGTACAAATCCACCGGAGTCACTGCCAAAGTACAAGCCCTTGGCATCAGAAACGGTCAGCACCATGGTATACCCAGCCGATTCCTGCGATTGTGCACCAGTCATCAAACAAGTTGCACCACCACTATGGTATACACTGGCGGCAAATAAATCACTAAAAACATCTGCATTCATATACGTGCGGTCTAGAGTCTATGGGGTATGGCCATCCACCCCATAATTGGAATCCAAACATAATGAGTATATACAGGTATACAAATCCCTATTAATGGATTGATGACCCTCCAATATGGGCAGTTTACCCAAGTTTTTACCAGGGCATATACTCTAATGACTCATTCAGATGTATATGTATATGTATATGTATATGTATATGTATATGTATATGTATATGTATATGTATATGTATATGTATATGTATATGTATGTATATACTGTATACTGTATACTGTATACTGTATACTGTGTACTGTATAATAGTGTATAATATATATATATATAGATATACTCAGAGTAGAGTTTCAAATGTTGGGCACTTATATAGCTTCAGTATGGCTCTTCAGCCTTTCCACCTCTCCATCCCCTTCCAGCCCTGAGTCATGGACGCCCGCGGATCCAGAAAACCTGGAGCTGTTCAGTACACTGAAGGATCCAGAATAGTCCCCATCCATTTATATATATGTATATATATATATAAATATGTCGTAACATTTCTGCCTTGCCTAGTGGCTATCATGCGTCCAAGAGAAACATCCACAGTGCAAAATGTGCCATTGAAACATCACTCAATAGTACTTGGATCCAATGTGCAGTGAACAAGGAAAAAACCTTCTTAGAATGTGAAGAAACCTTGCCCACACTTTGCCAAACCAACCAACACGTTCATCAACATGCGACAGCCTTGGAGGAAGGCCAAGACATAGTGCCCACCAATTTGCGGCAGGCCGTCCATCGAAGTGCGTTGCCCCGCAGCGCTCAGCCGCATCCGGGGCATGGGATGGTCAATGCCTCCTGTGGCTGGGTTCAAGCACAAACAATTTATTGCAAAGATCCATCAATTGAATGAACTGCGTGATTTTTCTCTGTTTTTGCAACAGTTCCAGAAAATGTGTCGTGCAAAAACATGCGACAGTGGCCTCGTTGCACTACCTTGAAGCCAGTAAAAACCTCCAAGTGAAGGACCCACAGGTGTTGAGGTCACTTGGTATAGATCACTTGGGCTATAGGCAGATTCAGCCTGACTACCCAATGCCAACTGACACAAATTTGAATTGTGGTCAAAGATTCAACAAGTGTCAAGAAGGCACGTCTCAGTTTCACCCAAACAATTGGGACATGAGGTTGTGTTGACAAAACAACTAAATTGATCGTTGTTCATGTGGTTTGGGGCCATCGACATACTCACTCGGATGTGTACTGTGCCCAAAATGACCAATCCATGTGTGGTTTCATTGTCGCCTTAAATTCACTGCCGCATACCCGATTGATTTTTCTATTTTGTCGATGGTTGAGCAAACATGCTTACAATGGTTAAAGACCCCACTGCTGCGTTGGTTCTGGCCAAATCTTTGATCATCAACTACTAATCTCCGGGTTTTGAATGTTTAAATTCAAAATGCGTCAAAATCTCCCCCCAATGTCTTATTCAGCTTGTTAAACTCTTGAACTGATTAAAAAATCCGTGACATGTCCGGCAAATAGGCTAAATGGCTTTACATGTTCTCCAGTTCTTGGTACAATCCACAACTCTTGGACCTCCACATGCTTCAAGACCTGGTCGAAGTTCATCTGGCGAGCGATCAGTTCCTCATCCCCAACCACCGCCACCTGGCGCGGCTGTCGATGTATCGATTTCAAGGCTCTGCTTTGCAGCTTGGGATAGCTTGGGATGGACCATGCTTATGTCGGGACATCATGAGGATAGGATGTCGGATACCAGTAGTGCCGCACAAGGCGGTGGCGGAAGCTTCAAAAATAGGAACCTATAGGCCTATAGGAGAGGTTGGTTGTTGCGAATCACGGATGGCAGAGCGAATCCACTGATGGACCGAAAGGTGGTTGGAGTTGTGTTTTCTGGAGTGGTTGCAATGGTTGCAGCGGTCACCTGATGTAGTGTGGTTTAGCGCAGTAGTAGTTGTAGTTGTAGTGTGGTGTAGTGGAGTTGTGGTTGTAATGTGTAACAAGTGTATAGTTGCAGTTGCAGTTGTAGTTGTAGCTGCAGTTGAAGATCGGATGCTCCAAAATGCAGCCCCTCTCAGGAAATCAGCACCCTGACCTCCTAACATCTCTGATGAACATGTCTCTTGTACTGCGCCTGCCACGCGAAATGCATCTTTCCAGGTCCTCTTCAAAAGTCACACGCCTGCCAACGGTTTTGAAACTGCTACAAAACCCTCACGTTTTGGTCACTTTTGACAACGTGCACAATCCCTTGCGCCTGCCACGCAAAACGACATCTGAACGTCCAAAAGTGGTCCGAACATGTGGTGTCTTGCACATTTTGACTTGGAAATGTGCTTCGCGTCACAACGGCGTGCACTTTTTCGACATCTCAACTTCCAAAAGTGGTCCGACGCTGATGTGTTTTGTACCTTTTGACTTGGAAATGTGCTTCGTGCACTTTTTCAACATCTCAACTTCCAAAAGTGGTCCGAGAATGGTGTGCTTTGTGCGTTTTGACTTGGAAATGTGCTTCGCGCCACAACGGCGTGCACTTTTTCGACATCTCAACTTCCAAAAGTGGTCCGACACTGGTGTGCTTTGTACATTTTGACTTGGAAATGTGTTTGGCACCACACCAGTGTGCAATTTTTCATCTCTCATCTGGCCACATGGCTCCGCACCCGCCACTTTAGCGAGCCTACTTTTCGACCCTCCAGAGCCACAGCACATTGAAAAAACGCAGTGAATCGCGACTTTTCTACCTTTTCGCGCACCTGCATCTTCTTTCTTCTGACTCTTTCTCTTCTCTGATCTTCTCTCTTCTTCTCTTCTCTTCTCCTCTCTTCTCTGACTCTTCCCACTTCCCATTCCATCTGTCCATATTGTCAGAAGTTTGACTTCTAAACTTCCTTCGATGATACAACTATCCAACCACTAACCAACTTTTTTTGTGATTTGGATGTGTCTGAAAATGGGATGCCCACATTTCATGGCAGGACAATGAAAGGACCATGATGCTGGTTAACCAGTCTGTTGAGGGGTGTCCTATTTTCAAACACACCCATATGTAGCCATGCATCCCCAGTCTTGATAAATCTAATTCATGATCCACTCCGTCAACTCAGTGTGTTTTGTATGTGTTTTGTGCCCAATTTGCCAGGTCTGCTGGTTGAATCCCCATGTTTGCTTTTGAGATACCGTGAACTGATCATGCTGTATCAAACACATTCTGTAATCTAGTGAACATGTTGATTGCTCGTTCCACCAGAGAAATCCGAAATCTGCTCGTTTCTCCCAAATGGTCATCAAATTAGGCTTTGGGGCATTCTTCAAATACCGTAGTTAATATCCACCGTTTTGGGGGACCTGAATTTCCAGATCCTTTCGCCCCCGGTCCCTCAGCCAAGGCGGGCCTGAATGCACGACACGGTGTTGGGTCTGAATGGCACGGCCCGCTTGAATTGATCAAAGGTCTGCGTCTGCTCGTACTCCTATCACGGTGGAACCCCCCACCACTAGCACTGAAGAGGTCCTGCGAGCTTCTTTGGAACTTCTTTGGTTCTTCCCCAAAGGGATGTCTCAATAAAAAATAAGCGATAGAATCTATATCTATTATATCATATAAATTCATAAATGTATATATACATATATATTATATATAATTACACATCTACAAATGGAATTCTATTATTGATGTCTTCCTCAAATTCAATGCTATTTCTTCAACTTTGGCAAGATAAAGCCTTCCTGTTCCCCAGATTTGAAATTCAGAAAGGGACGTTGTGGAGGGCTGATGTTTAGGGTGTTTTGAACAAGTCACTAAAAACATCTTTGGTCACTATATCAAAGGCTTATATATTGTCTGAAATTTCTTTGTGATACTTTTAACTATTTGGCTTAGGTCATTAAGATCAATCAAAAAATGTTGTTTCATTTTATATTTGTGTGTGCTAATATATGCTAATATATGCCAATATATGCTAGTATATGCTAATATACAAACTTAGAATATCAAAGTCAATTATAGTTACACTGTCTAATAAATCTTAACTATCGGCCATATCAGCTTAATCCATAAAGAGGAATAGAAGGATATGGTCAAAATTTGGATCTAGATTGTTACCTAGCTTTTAGTATAGATATCGTTCTTCCGTTTCTCTCTTCCTCCTCGAGACCTCTGGAAACCCTAAAGCTTTGTTTTTTTGCCTTCTAGACCTCTCTGAGGGGGGGTCCCCCCAAAAAAATGTGGTAAACCCAATTGCAACATAAGTTTAACTTGTCCGCTGGTGCAATTATTGGAAATGTGTAAAATCAGTTTTCCTTGTGAGCTGTATGTATCCAGCTCAACCACTTAGAATACACAGCTCTTTTCACAACAGACCTAGTTTACGCTGATATTTCAAGGAAGACATGCTTTGGAAGAGGGAGATATATTTGCTTCAAGGTATTGTCAAATTATTCTACATAAATGATGTTCGCAAAATGTTTGTTCATACTTTTCAAAAAGTGAAGAGAATATAAGATTAAGCGATGCACCTTATTTTCACCTTAACTATAGGGACAATCGATTCAATAAGTGGTGTTATATTATTGTGAAAGAAACACGGGAAATGCATATAAACATTTTTTTTTTAAAAAAAAAAAACATGATAAAAATCAGCCCTCCACAGCGTCCCACTCTCTTGAAAATTATTTCATTCTATTTCCCCAAGTTCAGTTTTATAAAATAATGTGGTAAACCCAATAATCAACCACCCCCAATTAGACCAGAAACAGGTGGTATAGAACTATCCCCAATAGAGGTTTATTATTGGGTTTACGACATGATGGTCAAATCACCATTTTTTTCTGGACAATACCCATTCTGATTATATATATATATACCCTCGGGGCCCCAGGTTTCCGCAATGGGTGGGGTGGGGTGGGGCATGTTAACGTCATGTTCATGTTACGTTGATGGGGTGGGGTGGGGTGGGGCATGTTAACGTCATGTTCATGGTTTGATGCTACGTTGATGGGAGGGTGGGGGTGGGTGGGGGCATGTTAACGTCATGTTCATGGTACGTTGATGCTACGTTGATGGGAGGGGTGGGGTGGGGTGGTGCATGTTAACGTCATGTTCATGTTACGTTGACGCTACGTTGATGGGAGGGGTGGGTTGCGGTGGGGCATGTTAACGTCATGTTCATGGTACGTTGATGCTACGTTGATGGGAGGGGTGGGGTGGGGTGGGGCATGTTAATGTCATGTTCATGGTACGTTGATGCTACGTTGATGGGAGGGGTGGGGGTGGGGTGGGGCATGTTAACGTCATGTTCATGTACGTTGATGCTACGTTGATGGGAGGGGGGGTTGGGGGGGCATGTTACGTCATGTTCATGTACGTTGATGCTACGTTGATGGGGGTGGGGTGGGCATGTTAACGTCATGTTCATGTACGTTGATGCTACTGATGGGAGGGGTGGGGGGTGGGGCATGTTAACGTCATGTTCATGTTACGTTGATGCTACGTTGATGGGAGGGGTGGGGTGGGGTGGGCATGTTAACGTCATGTTCATGTTACGTTGATGCTACGTTGATGGGAGGGGTGGGGTGGGGTGGGGCATGTTAACGTCATGTTCATGGTACATGTTCATGGTACATGTTGATGGTACGTTGATGGGAGGGGTGGGGTGGGGCATGTTAACGTCATGTTCATGGTACGTTGATGCTACGTTGATGGGTGGGGTGGGGTGGGGTGGGGCATGTTAACGTCATGTTCATGGTACGTTGATGCTACGTTGATGGGAGGGGTGGGTTGGGGTGGGCATGTTAACGTCATGTTTGATTTCGGTCACAAATGATTCCATTGAACATAGGAACTTGCTGGCACACAGTGTTGACAGCCTTGACAAAAATTCAGGGAACTGTCTATGTCAAGCTTGCAGCCCGCCAGCAAAGTTTGGGATCGAGCGCCGTGGACACTTTGAAAAAGAACATGTTGCAGCATGTGCAAGAGAATGTTGACGTTGAAACTACAACATGTGCCGTTTCATGCTAATATACAAAAGATTGCAAATACCTATTTTTTTTTAAAAAAAAACTCCCTTCATATTACACCACGATCCGCAGTAAAAATTGACAATTTCTGATTAAAAAACATAAACGACTTTCATGACATGTGCTATTTTGTGTGGGAAAACAAGAAAAAAATTGAAAAAGAACATGTTGCAGCAGGCTGTTGAAGTTGAAGCAACAAGAAGCCAAAAAAAGGCTGACTATCAACATTTGCCGTTTCATGCGAACGTTAAAATTCACTGCAAATACCAATACAAAAAAGCCACCTGTTCATATTACCCCACGTGCCGCAGTAAAAATTAACACTGCTGTATTAAAAAAAAAAGAAATTCATAAAAAGTGGTATTTCGTGTGGGAAAACAGTAAAATTTCAATTGATATGTACTGTGGATAACATGTTAGAGCATGCAACTTGCGCGGGCCTAAAAATTTAGGTCCGTCAAAATGCCCTTAAAGAATGAAAAAGAAGAATGTGCAAAATCCACCTTTCGCTATGGTGAAACAGTGATTTTTGACATATGGATGAATGAAAACCAAGATACTCTGCGGAAACCTAGGGCCCCGAGCGTATATATATATATACCATAGTGCTGTTATGGTAAATTCTGATCATTATTATAAACCTATCCCGATACCAAAAAAAAAAAGCCGTCCTGCCACCAGCTGCCGCTGGGCGCGCTAGGCGGACGGAGTTTCCAGGCCTTGGGCATCTCGCGGAAGGCCTGGATTCCAGTGGAATTTAAGGATATGATATTGCTATATATTGCTATCTATATCATGTGATGTGTATTTTTTTTAGATGTGTTGCGTATTGTTATGCATTCTCGATCTGATGAATATGTGTATATGTATAATATACATACATATATATATATATATCAATATTAATATTAATATTAATATTAATATATTTACACGTATATTATGTAATCATATCCAAATATGATTACGTGTGCATAGATATACATGTACATAATCCTACGCGATGGGCAACGAACTTGTTCATGAGAAGATTGGTAGTTTTGCCTTATATATGCATGAAAAATATTGAAGATATTGGTTAGTTGGGAGGGGCAACCACTTTATGGTTGGTGGGTTCAACCCATCACGAAAGATGAGACTTCTCTGCTCTGACTCTTCCCACCTCTGCTGCTTAATCTGTTCATGTTGTCGGAAGTTTGACTTCCAAGCTTCCTTCGATCATGATTTTCCCCATCAAATGGCCATGACTTGGTGCCCATCCCCCATTTTCTAGACGGACCCAAATGGATAGTTGCTGAAGAAAAACAAGTTTTACTAGTTCAACCACCAAATTCCCAAGTGTCAACCTCTAAGTCTAAAATCATCACATTTGTTGCTGGCTATTGCTGGCTCAATTCCCACCCCAATCCCTCCGTTTGTTCCCCATCCCCCCGCATGGCCTGTTTCACCCTCCAGGACTCTTCTGCCAGAGAGCCCAGGCCTAGTCGTACCAAGCTCCAGGGGTCCTCCATGGCTGACATCTCAATTGGCCAACGGCATCACCTGATTTTCATGGAAATATCATGGGAATATATGGGGATATATGGGGATATATAAATCACCTGATTTTCATGGATATCACCATGAAAAATGTGAATATATATATATATATACATATTATGTTGTGAAAAAATGGGGGATAGAATGGGGATATTACAGGATATATGTTCTGATTACTTGGGAGTGCAGTTGGGGTGATTTGTATGGGGTGATTTGTATGGGTATAAGCATAGTGATAACCTCTGTAATTTGGGATATTTTGGGATGTAACCCCTAAAACTAGTCATGTTATTTTATGGTGAAATCCTGTGGACATAATTGTGGATGAGTGACTTAAATGGAATTTAACCTGATTTTATACTGGTTCTGAAAAAGTAACCATCAAAGGTATGGGGATTCAATTGACAAATCAATTTTGGTTGATGATTGCTCATCACATCCCCCTATTGCCAAAATATCCTGCCACTATGGGTACCAAAATGGGGGTTGGGGCACATTTCATATTCGGTTGCTCCCTTTCATTCACTTTCTGATGGCTCATGCTGCAGCGAGAAACAGGTCTTACGTGAAGCTAAAACAAGATCCAAAAGGGATGCTGTGATGTGTGATGTATGATGGTTCCTTTGTCTGTGTTGTATAATCAAACAATATGGTCTTTATGAATGCGTGAAATATTGCGAAACTACCCATAACAAGGACACGCAACAGAATGCATTGCTTTCGGTGCTACTGAGTTGTTCCTTTCGGCGAGACCACACAGGTACGCGGGGAACAGGCGCAGAGCAGAAAGGATTACAGTTCTACTCTCACCGAGTTTCTGTACAAATGAAACAAGCACAGCTTTCCTTGCAACAAAGCTAGCTCATTGAAAACTGGTCAGAAAATTGTGATTCGCAGACTGTGAGGAGTTCCTCACAAACAGCGCCTAAGGTGACCTACAGCGCTTGTGCCAAGGGCCAAGGATCATGCCCCCCAGGCTCTCATGTACTCATCCAGTACCTTCTGGCCAGACGATGCACAGTCATGACCATAGTCCTGACCACAGTCGACACTGGAAATACACAAACGCAGTTGTCTTTAACATAAACTATCAAACGTGCAGAAAAGCGCGTGGAACAGTTTGAAGTCTTGAATTCCATGCCACCCGTCCGCTGCATGTTCAATCTCTGATGCTTGCCTCCACAGTGAACTTTGCAACTTGCCAGGCCTGGTCAATTCTTTCTCGGTCCCAATTTTGACGCCCTTTGCCCCGACCTTTGCTCCGGCTTTTGCCTTTGCCCTTGCCATCATCAGTGTGACCCCTCCTGAGCAATTCAAAATTGCAACTCAAACGTCAACAGGCAAAATGTGTAGTTAGTTTGGCCAACAGTTAATATTGAAGCTGCATAAGAAATATTATTTACATATGTAAACGATGCAAGAACGATCCCTGGAGCCAACACTCTTCAACAAATGTTCAACACAAATATGGGGAAACTCTTCCCAGCATGAAGACTAACATTAGGAAACACTGGGCGAATTTCTCATCGTCACAATCAAAAAACATCCACCGCAGGGGACCATGTGGAGATGCAGCATCGTCACATCGAGCCAAAACCACTGGCTCCCATCGCTCTTTTTGAATTGTGCAGTTTAAATCAAATCTCAAACCTGATTTTGAGGCCATGTTTCGGCATGTTTGATCAAAGTGTTACCTCCAACAATCTCATCTGGCGGTGAACCCGGCAGATGGAAGAAGTTTCTGAAGCATCTTCACATTCACTGGGATTTCCCAGCCTAGTTCTGTCTATGATTACCGGAGGGTATAAACGGCACTTTGCTGCTTTCCAAGATTCGAGCCTGAGTTCCGATACTCAGGTTTGGTAAAGACCCGGAACTTCTGCCCATCATGGGCTACAGATGCCCCACGTGGGATGACAATCAAGTCGTAACCCTGGTCGTTGATCCAGTCCTAACCAGGCATGCCATGCTCAGACGTGTAGAAACCATCACAAGTTGTGTCCTATATTGAAGGTCTATGGATTCAAAGTCAGTCTGTGTCTGTATTATAAGGTTCCCAGAAAACATAGAATATAAAATTGATGATTTGGCCCCAAACAAACATCTTCCAGGGAAAAAAATACATGAAACATAAAACACCGAACCGAAAACATATGGGGCTGTCTAAAAACCCCGATATCAATCAAATGGTGTTTCCACGCGTTATCGTTTTTTTTTCCTCTTGTCGTTTTTCCAAGTGCTGGCTTCACACCCTCATGAAACAATTCATATTGTGTTTTCTTTGTGGGATATCACCTTACAACCACCAGCTTCACATCTGTTTTTCGGGGAAAAACTTGCATCTGCAAAGCTTGCTGCTTCGAACATGTCCCATAAACAATATATAATGTATATGTATGAACATCGTTATCGTTTTTTTTTCCTCTTATCGTTTTCTCGAGTGAGAACTACATATAGCTAATGGGGGATCATGGCATACTAAACGAATAGGTGCCGGGTTATTATACTCTCCCATATGGAATATGCATTGTCCATTCTGGAATATGTTTGTTTCCAGGATTCTTGCACTTTAACGACGTGCGCGGGAAACGCAAATAGTCTCTCGCAATATCCCGCATGCCACCCTTCAACGTGAGGTTTTCTGACATCCACCATCATAATCATCATAATCATAATCTACCATCATAGTCATCATAGACCATCCCTTGCCTCAGCATTGCGACAAGGGACCCTGCTACGCTTGCGCTGCTCACGGATGGCTTCGGCGCTCTTCCATGCAGCGGTGGACAAGTCCACCAGGATGCGATGCGGGTAGGTGCCCTGGCGATTTCTGTCGACGATGCAGGATGAAAATATGTTTCTTGCATCTACATTTTGTGAAACAATATGTAGACAGTACATAAGTAGCCATGTGATCTTAGATGTCTACAGATAGATAGATAGATAGATAGATAGATATATGTTTATTTATTTATTTACGTATATATGTATATATTATATTGTATGTTGCGATTTCTGATAGCCAATTGTTCAATGATCCATCAGCATAAGTCAATGGTGTAACAAATGACCCAGCTCGCCTTTGGCCCCAACGAGACGCCAGCTTCCTTCAAGACCTGTTCGGGCGCCTTGGCAGGACTCAAAAATGATGGCTCTGAAAATGCTGGGGAGAACCCAACTCCCCATGGTTTATCAATGTTTATTTGGGAAAATCTATAGTGTATAATATGTATAATATATATAATACGTATAATATGTATAATATGTATAATACGTATAATATGTATAATATGTATAATACGTATAATATGTATAATATGTATAATATGTATAGTGAATAGTATAATAGTATAATTGTATAATTGCCCGTAATTTGATTTTATTTGATTTTGTCATGTACCATGTGTTTATAATATTGTAATGGTGTCATTATGGTTCCAGATGGAAAATATGACACATTGGGGTTATCCCCCTAACTGTGGATCCAAACATTGAGGACCCGCAAATCCAGCATTTCTCTCTCTGTAGGGCAACCAATGGGTATGAGGAATCGCTTATCATCCGACCCACAACTTGCACAGCCCAAGGATCTTCCCAGGGTGCGTGGGCATATTGCGCCGGAAGCTTTGAAAGCTCCGGGCACCAGCGCCGGATGTAATGCCCTGGGGCTGGGAAGCTGCTTATTTTGGTCAAACTTTAGACTGCGGTTCCACCTATGGACCTATGTTTGGCCTGTTGTTGCAGTTGATGTTTTCAACCCATCCCCAAAATCAAAAGGTGGACCTGGTGTCGTGTTCCCCCAAGCAGATTTGCAGATTTGGTCCCTACCATGATTGGCGTTCATCAACGGAGGGTTTGAGAGGGTCGATTGATGCACATCATCCCATACTTGCAACCTACCATGCAAGGAATCATGTCTTCCCATTGTTCATGGCTTTACTCATACCATGGGTCATTGCAGAAGCTACAGACACAATGCCAAAATCAGCAAGTTTTGCAGTGGACTCGCAGCATCAGACTCGCTACGTCTGAAACACTTCTTTTGTCTCCACGTGTTAGCACAAACGAACAATCAAACATGCAAGGAAGCAAGCTATATACTAGTTTAAAAAAAACAACAGTTAACGATCCAACTACTCAACGAATCAGTCGTCTCGCTCCATCAGAACCGGGCCTTTGGGATCCTGAGTTTTCCCTGCAGAAGCAGCGTTCATGGTGAAATTCCATTGGTCCAGGCCGCTCTTTCCAGCATTTTGCCACATCATCGAATTGATGGCTTGATCCGCATCCACCAAGGTGTGATGAAACCACTTCTCACCTGGCGCATAAAAACGGAGAAACCCTTCCAGATCTTCCAGAAAGGGAACCGTTCCCGTAATTCCCCTGCGCCTCCGGACTTGGATGAAAACATGGCTGACATGTTTGACCCAACTGGAATCCAACTGGAGGATATTATTCATATTATTCCAGGATATTTATAGCCGCCGGCAATCTACTAAGGTCCGCTAAGTCTGACTACGGCTATTATTTTCTGATTCCAGACACTAAAAAGAGCGCAAGATATCAGATTGTCCGGCTTGGTAAACTTGGAGCCGCCAGATTCCATTCGAGGCACCCTCAATCCAATGAATGTTCAGATGTTCGCAAAGAAGAATTGCAGCTGCCATCCTCACATTTTGTGCCATCCATCCAGTAGTCCAAAGCTCTCGCATCCCAGCATCCACCAAAGGAAAGCCGGTTTGTCCAGTCTGCCAGCGTCGTAGAGCCACGGGGTCAGCATTCCAGGACTGGCCTTCATAGTGGGCCCGGATGGGCTTGTCCCTCATCTGTGGAAACATGCTGCGCTGCCAATAGGCCAAATCGCGCCAAACCAAGCCTAGGAATGGTCGAAGCACACCAACTGTTTTGGAAGATGCTCGAGCTTCCAATCAGACCCAGACGCTTTTCAGAGGGTAATCCCTGATAACATGATAATTCCAAATATGTTGGATAGTAACACAACATATATCAACATATTATAATCATAAATTGTAACGTAGTATAATCACCTACAATCATCAACCAGAAGAGTTTGCTTGCATGTTCCGAGCCATCCGTGCCGGTGGTGATCTTTGTTTTGGGTGGCGAGCCACGTCTCCAATAGACGATGGACTGCTCTTTGGCTCCAGCTGCTTTCATCTCATAGAACATGAAACGGGAGCTGAGCATGCCAAAACCTCAGCCAGTTGGGATTGTCTGATACATTTGGGCTACCCCAAAATTGTTTCATCATTATTTTCCCTACTTAGATAATTAGATACATCAAAAGTGCCATAAATTGGATTGGATCGTCATTTTTCAAACACATGCAGTTGGGCAAATGTTCTCGAGATTGCGGTGATGCTTCAAGATATTCACGATGCCTGCGATCCACCTGATCACTCCTGATCTGTGCCCAGTGTTTCAAGAGATTGGATGAGATCACCCCCGGCCCCCCCTGCCCCTATTTCAAGCAACGCAGGTAGGGTGAGATCCGTGTCACCGCGGAGGCATCTGCAAGTTGTCGCCCTTGCTCATAGCGCTGTAGGCCACCACCAGGTGACAGAAACCTCCTGGGGGGTTCTTAAAATGGTGGATCCCCACAACCATGGGTTTCACTATTCAATACTAAAATGGTCTAATTTTGGATGATCTGGGGTAACCACCCCTTTTGAGGAAAGCTCCATGTATATATATATATGTATATATATATATGTATATATATATATATTGTGATTTTTCCAACATGGTTGTCTTGCATTTATCTTTGACCTGACATGTCCACAGGGTTTCCATGTTCCAGTTTGGCCATTGACATGACTGTCGCCGGCCGCCGCATATCCGTCCGCAGACGGGCGGGAGGGAGGTTGTCACTTGGCAAGCGAAAACAGTGTTTCGCAATCTCAGAGGTTCAGGGAAACCCCAAATTGGATATCTAATCGGGGATTAGATTCACATTGGTAGCGGAGCACTGGGCTGCCGCTGTAGGAGTGCTCATTAGTACTAGGAAGGTCCTAGGAGGTTGAGGCAGGGTCTCACTAGAAAAGTAGGTCTAGCAAGCACTAGACTGCACACCGGGTCCAGTAGGTGTGAGCCATGTCAGAGACAGCGGAAGCAGCGACCGATCCTACTTCGGCTTCGAGTTTCCCACCAAGTTCACTGCCATGGGGGCAGATTCCAAAGTTCGACCCTGCTCATACTGATCTTCGAGTTTACAGTCAAAAGATGCAGTTCCTCAGGCAGATTTGGCCCCAGGAACACTTGGAGCATCTGGCTCCTCGAGCTGCCCTATTGATTGAAGGGGCAGCTTTCCAGAAGATTGCCCGGGTCGATCCGTCCAAGCTTCGGTCCGTGGATGGTGTCAAACACCTCATTGAGGCACTGGGTGGACAATGGGGGAGGACAGACACCGAGGATCGATACGATCTGTTTGAGAGGGCATTGTACATGGTGGCCCAGAAGCAAGATGAAACAAATGATTCCTACCTTGCTCGCCATGACATTGCCTTCGAGGACCTCTTGGCGAAGTCGATCTCAATCAATGATGTGAGGGCCTATGTGCTGATCAGACAGTCTGCACTGAGCTCGGAGGATCGGAAAAAGATCATCATGGACAATGGAGGCCAGTTGACATATGACTCAGCTCGGAAGAGCCTTCGTCTCCTTGGGTCACGGTTCTTTCAGGACTTGCAGGGCAATCGCAATGCTCAGGGGAAGAAGACCCATGATGCTTATGCTGCCGAAGATGAGGAACACGTGCACTTCTCTGCTCCCGATGGAGAGGCCATGGACATCGACGAGGAGGGGATCTTTCAGCTGATGGCCGAACAAGGGGATGAGGACGCCGTTTTCATGGGCGATTTCGAAGATCAAGTGGTGGAAGCAGTTCAGGACAGTCCAGAACTAGCAGCCATCTTCGTATCATACCAAGAGGCACGAGCAAGAGTCCGTGAACGAGCTCGAGCCAGGGGCTTCTGGCCGGTGAAAGGCCGTGGAAAGAAGGGGTCCAAGAAGGGCAAGGGCACTGGTGGTGGAGTCAACACCTTCTCCTTTGCCGGCAAGAGAAGGTCGTTGGCTGACAGGATAGCAAATTCAACGTGCAGGATTTGCGGCCAACCTGGCCACTGGAAGCGAGAGTGCCCTCAGAGAGTCGAAGGTCGCAAGCCCGAGACGATCAACATGATGGTCGAGCAGGAGCACATGGAAGAGTCGAACATGGTCGAGGTCGTCGATCATCTCCCCGAGAATGCGACGTCTTGGCAGGAGAATGGGGTTCAAAAAGGACATGGGAAACAAACAAGTCATGGTAGGGTGTTTGATTGTTTTGGTTGTTTTCGGGAGTGTGACATGGGCACCAAGGGTTTTTCTGGATTGCTCCAAAACAAACTCATGTCCTGTTGTGGGAAGCATGGAATACATGTGGTGGCCCCTTGCACTAGTGAGTCTCAGCGATGCGATGAGTCGTTCAATTCATGGCACACCGATGTCACTGGTGAGCCGGATCCGCCCGACGGTGAAAAAGTCACCGAAGTTTTCCAAATTGAAGAGGAGTGCCATGAGGCCATTTTGGACACTGGAGCCAGCCGTGCTGTCATCGGGTCTCAGCGCCTGGATGGTTTGATCAAGTCTTGTGGTATTGAAGGGGAAATCAAAAGGGCTCCATCCAGTGTCACATTTCGTTTTGGCAACTCCGGAACGTTGCAAAGTACCTTTGCAGTGTTTTTCCCACGGAAAACTGGAGGTTGGATCAGAATTGAAGTTGTGCCGGGTCGAACACCGTTTCTTTTGTCCAATTCAGTACTTAGGTCACTGAGGGCTGTCATTGATACGGATGAGAAGCATGTTTGGTTCAAGGGGTTTCGAGGAAGCATTCCCTTAGGCACATGTCGTAAGAATTTGATGTGTGTTGACTTTTCAAAATTGTTGAACTTGGAATTTGAAGATGAAAACGAAACCAATGTACCACATGAAATCCATCATATCCAACATGATTTGAGTGTGACTTGCACAGACTGGACAGGACTGAGAGGGGATACACAAAAAGGGGAAAGCGGAGAAGTAAGGGAACCCACTAATGATGCCAGTGTTCAAGAGGGAATGTTTGGGGACCCACAAAAGAATCATGATCAGAAACCAAACGACCTGCTGCCTTGTGATGACATGAACCATGTACAGGAAAATGTTGATAGTGGGAACGTCCAAAGTTTGCAAGTTCAAGGGAATTGCAATGATGTTGCCATTAACCCTCAAGCCCCCGAATTTTCAGGAAAAGAAAATTTGGGCACTAGCCATGAGTCACAGCCAGGGTTACCTCGACGAGGCCTTGACGGTCGAGGTAGATCCGAACCTAAGGGGAAGTCACCAGTTCCCAGAGTCAGTTCCGGCGACGCTCACGCGACCGCCGGACATCACCTCACTACGCCAGTGGGGTCAGTTGAAGATCCCATCCGGAAAGCATGCAGGGAAGACATTTTCGGAGGCCCATCAAGATTTGGGTTACCGTCACCAGGTGTGGAATCGTCGTGCAGTCGCAAGCTGGCTGCGCAGTTTTCAGATGTACCGCAGAATGGTTCAACACATGATGCCCGACGAGACTGCCATGTCGTCCACGCAGGTGATCACCGAGCCCATGATGAATCAGGCTCCCCAACCAAAAAAGGCGGCCAAGCCCATCGCCAAGGTCAAGGAGACCATGAACAAAACCCATCCACCGACGACGATGGTCGAGTGGGTCGAAGTCGAGAAATCCAATCAGGTGGCACCCAGTCAGGGCCGAGTGAACAAGCGGGGAAGCAACACAGCTTCATCGACCCGTATGAGCACCGAGGCCGACCCAGAGAAGATTCAGAAGCTGCGGACCCAGATTGCCATTCTCGAAAGAGAGCTGGCAAACGAGCTCCAGATCCCCGACGACAGCAGCGACGAGAAGACACAGAAATGATTGAGGCCACTGTTCAATTCATTCAGAGTGACGAACCAATCTTATCGATGTCGGTTGACCAGGAAGGAGAAATTCACCAAGCTATTCAAGAACATATCATGGAAGTAGAAGGCGGTTTGTCTAAGCTTCCCACTCAATTTGTTGCGAATGGTTTAAGGGGATATTCTTCCAATATGGCCACGCAGTCCAAATCCAATTCACAGCCAAGTCGGCCACTGGATATCCTTGAAGTGTACTGTGAAGAGGACTCCCAAATCACCCAACAAGTGCGTAGGCATGGGGGAAGGGCCATGCGTTTTACCCGAAGTGATGGGGACCTTAACACAGAAGAGGGCATCCAGAAACTTTGGCTGTGGATATACATGTATGAACCAAGACATGTGTGGTTGGCCCCCGAGTGCAGGTTGTATGGGAAATTTGCAAATTTGAATATGTCTAAGGGGATGAAGGCTTTTGAAAAGATTACCCAAGAACGCCGTGACAATCGTGGTCAATTGTGGTTATGCAATGAAATCTACCGTCATCAAGTTTCCCACAAAAGACATGCACACTTGGAACAACCTGCAGAATCATGTATGACCCAACAAGTGGAGATGCAAGAACTGGTGTCAGGCACATACGAGGCATGTTTCGATATGTGTAGGCTGGGCAAGCTTAGACTCCCCCATCAAGAACGATTCCTAAGAAAACGAACAAAGGTCCGAACAACAAGTGGTTGTGTCTATCATCATTTGCATGACAAACGATGTGAGGGCAACCATGTTCATGCGACAATACAGGGATCCATGAATTATCAGGGGAAGAGGACAAATGTTTCAGCATATGCCGCAGCATATACACCAATTTTTGGATCACGAATAGCTAAACTTCTCTTGGAGGAATGCCAAATCCGAGAAAACCCAGTTATGTCAGAAATTTTTGCTTTGTCTGAAGAACATGATCGACCAGAAATGGCACCAGACGACTCAGCAAGTCCAAAGCGACAACGCTATGGAATTAAGAGGCCACCACGATCAATTGATTTGAAGCATGAATTTCAGTTGTATGGTCGGAGTCCCACCTGGTCAAAAATAATCCAACGGTGCAACTCCGACATTCCTCGGGTTGGCAACCTCGCCATGAGACCAGGGGATCAAATGTTCCCTCAATTTCAAATGATGGTTCCGGAGATGGACATCAGACTGATTCTGATCTGTCGTGGAACCGAACGATTTCGAGTGCCAGGAGCCTATGCTAGGGGGGAAGAAATGCCATGGAGAAAGACTATCTTGGTAGATCGGGGTAGTGGGGAGATCATAGATAAGGGCCCCCCTGAGAATTGGAAGAGCCTCCCAAAACTTCAACAAACCCGCAAAGCTGGCTCAGCACGAATGTCAATTTCACTGTTTGGAGTAATATCCGACTCAAATCAAAGGGGAATACCATCAGAACCTCCACAACCCCCGAAAGATGATGTAGGTGGGGACCCCCAAATTCGAGGGAGTGGTAGTGGTGATTTTGTAGGGGATGAGCTGATGAACCCAGAAGGGGATGGGGAAGGGGGTTCTGATCTTTTTCCTCCGGAGGGATGTGATGATAGCGCAGCTGCTTGGCCACCAAGAATTATCCCCCGAAGTGGACCCGCTTTTGAAGCCTTGGAGAATTCACAGAAGGCCGACCTTCGGAGGATTCATTCAAACTTAGGACATCCATCACCCGAAAAATTGAGTCGAATGTTGCGTGAACAGGGTGCAAGTGAAGCTGTCGTAAAGGCAGCACGCGATTATCAGTGCGATTCCTGCATTGAATCCCAGGCAAAGCCCCGGCTTCCGAATCCATCAACCATTCATGTTGCCAGGGATTTTAATGATGTTGTTGGTGCTGACGGGGCATACTGGACAAACAAGCAGGGTCGCAAGTTCCATTTTATGCATTTCATTGATGAAGCAACGATGTATCATTTGGGAAGACCTAGTGGCCGTACGGTTGGGGAGCAGATTGAGACTTTTGAGGGTACATGGTTACACTGGGCAGGTCCATGTAAACTGTTGTACTTAGATCCTGCTGGAGAGTATGTCAATGATGGTTGGCATGAATTCCTTCAAAAGGAGGGAATCAAGTTGTCTGTCACAGCTGGTGAAAGCCACTGGCAATTGGGCCGAGCAGAGGCACACGGCAGAGTGGTAAAGCAAATGCTAACATCAATGGACATAGAAGAGCCAATCTGTACGCCCGATGATTTCCAACGATGCCTCCGTCAGGTGTTTGCTGCGAAAAATTCTTTGAGCAGTGTAGGAGGGTTTACACCCGAACAGGCAGTAATGGGGAAGTCACGTTCTATTCCTGCATCGCTGGTTTCTGATCATGACGCAGCAACTCACAGTCTGGCCGAATCAGCATCACCTGAAGGCATTGAGTTTCAAAACAGTCTCAGACGCAGAGAGATGGCCAGAAAGGCTTTCTTGACAGCCGATAATAATAGTGCTCTGAGGCGTGCCTTATTAAGAAGAACCCGAAAGGACCCAAATTGGTTTGACAAAGGGGACTGGGTGTTATACTGGAGACAGAATAAGGGGAACCAAAAGGGGAACGTGGAAGATGGCACGGCCCAGGACAAATCATCACCATTGAAAATTCAAAGGTAGTCTGGATCAGCCACGGTGGGTATTTAATTCGTGCAAGCCCGCAGCAGCTGCGTCCAGCGTCAATGCGAGAGCACTTGGCCCTGCGTCGTGATTCTGGCGGCAGGATTGTGAATGAGGTCATCCGTAACTGCAAGAACTATATTCCACTGGAGGGCATTCCGGAGGATGAGCCATGCGATGAGATGCCTGAGCCAAGTCAACCGCAGATTAGTGCCAGTCTGAGTGAATTGCACAGCCAACCGGAGGGCGAGAATTTTCCGTCCGACCATCAATCTTCCATTTCTCCAGTTCCGTCCATACTAGATGATTCCGAAAATCCCATGATCCCCGAAGGACCCCAAAACATTGATTTTGAGTTACCTGTGGAGGTTCCTGTCCCAGATGATAATGATGGGGAACTACTGTTTGGGGATGATCTTCCAGTAATGGGTGGGGATAGTGGGGTATGGGAAATAAATTTTGAGAATGGACCGGAACATGAGTGTGAAAACATCTGTTTGTGTGAGAGCCCTGAGATTTTGGAGTGGGCCAATTTGGCCACCGGGGCTCGCAAGCAGAGAGTAGAAATTCAATGGAAGAATTTAAATGAGAAAGAGAGGGACCTGTTTCAAAAGGCTAAGGCCAAGGAGATAGGTGCATGGGTTGATCGTGGTACTGTGAAAAGGGTATCTCGGGGAACTCTCCGTGATGATCAAATCATGAGATGCCGATGGATCCTCTCTTGGAAACCTCCGATGCCAGGCTGTACAGAGAAACGTGCAAAAGCACGACTGGCAGTTCTTGGATTTGAGGATCCACAGCTGGCCACAATCTCAGCGGATGCCCCAACCCTCAGTAAAGATGGGAAACAGTTGGTATTGCAGCAGGTAGCAAGTCGGGGTTGGAAGTTGATTAACTTCGATATAGCAACAGCTTTTCTCAAGGGCGAAGGAGATGGCAGGAAGCTTGGATTGCATGCACCTCCGGAATTGCAAAAGGCCATTGGCATGAGGCCAGGGGACCAATGCAGTCTTGTTGGAGGGGCATACGGCAGAGCTGATGCTCCAATTTTGTGGTATCGGACCCTTAAGCAAACTTTGGAGTCCTTAGGCTTTGTGGTATGTCCTTTTGACGGATGTGTTTTCAGTTTGGTGACACACGATCGTCAAGGCAGACCAAAAGTTCGGGGTTGCCTAGGTCTTCACGTCGATGATGGGATTGGCGGGGGTGATTCTTACTTTAGGGAGATCATTGGGAAACTTCAGGGCATTTACAGTTTTGGAGCATACAATGAAGGGGAGTTTGAGTTTTGTGGTGTTCGCTATTTCCAATGGGACGATGGGTCCATTGAGATGGAACAGAACTCTTACATACAAAAGATATCACCCGTAGAGATCCCACGAAGTCGCCGAATGGAGCCAAAAGCGCCCCTATCTGCCACGGAGACACAGATGCTCCGGCAAATTTGCGGTAGTATCCAGTACGCCTCTGTACATACCAGACCTGATCTTTCAGCTAAGGTTGGTGAGCTTCAAGCCGCCATACCACATGGCAGGATAGAACATTTAATTCAAGCCAACCGTGTGTTATACGAGGCGAAGACCAAACCAGTTTCCATCATGATTGTACCAATTCATGAATCTGAGGTGACATTTTGTGCATTCTCTGATGCATCTTTTGACTCTGGAAAAGGGAACTCCTCCAGGCAGGGGACACTTGTGTTTGCAACTGATGGGAAACTGGTGAAGAACCACCGCACCGTCATCTGTCCGATGGCATGGTCATCAAGAAAGATCCCAAGGGTCGTGCGAAGCACGCTCAGTGCTGAGGCTGTGGCATTGGGTGCAGCACTTGACCGTTTGAGTTGGCTGCGTATATTTTGGGAATGGATGAAAAACCCAGGGGTGGACTGGTCCAATCCAAATCAGGTCCTAGCAGAGGCCCCTCAGGCTGTGGTAGCGACTGACTGTAAGTCAGTATATGACCTGTCAACAAAGACTTCAACACCAGCATGTTCAGAATACAGGACAACCCTGGAGTGCTTACTCATCCGTGAACGCCTCGAGGAGAATTGCAGACTCCGTTGGATTAATAGCAAGGCCATGCTGGCCGACTGTCTTACTAAGAGCATGGGTGGAGAAGTTCTCCGACGGGCACTGCAACTTGGGCGATACGCCTTGTTCGACGAAAATAAAGTCTTACAAGAGAGAGCTGACAAAAGGTCGAGGCTTAAATGGGTCTCTGAAGGGAGCCCGTCAGTGCAGAACACTGACAATGTGGACTCTTAAGGAAAACAACTGAACTCAGATCACATGTTTCAGATGTCAGTTGTTGATCTCTTTTTGAAGTTTTGCTGTTGTTTTGTTGTTTTGTTTGATTTTTGATGAGTGTGATTTTTCCAACATGGTTGTCTTGCATTTATCTTTGACCTGACATGTCCACAGGGTTTCCATGTTCCAGTTTGGCCATTGACATGACTGTCGCCGGCCGCCGCATATCCGTCCGCAGACGGGCGGGAGGGAGGTTGTCACTTGGCAAGCGAAAACAGTGTTTCGCAATCTCAGAGGTTCAGGGAAACCCCAAATTGGATATCTAATCGGGGATTAGATTCACAATATATATATACACTATTATATACTGCAATAGAAATATTCTTATTATACATGTTACACTCACAGACCTCACAGGGCTGATTTAAGGGGACACTTGCAGGAAACCATGGTTTGAGCATCCAAACATGCGGTTTCCCACTTTTCCCACAATACATGGTCCCTTCAATCAGTTCTGTAATAGCCAGAGTCATACAGCGGTGGTTAAAGCCCATGGCCCAATTGCGCCTTAAGATCTCCAGAGCCGCTGTTTCAGAGATGTTCCAATGCTCCAAAATGGATGCTCCCCAGTTCCTTGGCATACCCAGACACTTGTTAAGAGATGTCAAGAGGGAGTCATGCTGCTGCCCTTTCTTCACTACTTCAATCAAACAGAATGAAACCCTCAAAGAATTCACATTCCACTCTGCAACATAGACGACTGCAGCCCAAGCTCAAGACAGTCCCATTAGCCCTGACTGGCATAGATGTGAATCCAAGGGAAGTCAATCCGTCATCTCTCAGCGACTCAGGTGCTGGTAGCACAGGTGGTTCAGGCAAAGGTTTCTCGACGCGCTGAGCCATGCAGGCATGATGAAAAGGTGTTAAGGTTCCAAAATGTCCGCGGTAAGTGCCAAGATCAATGCGAATCTGCTTGATGTCGTACAACAGGAAAGAATTGAAGAGCCTGGCGCAGAAATGTCGTACATAGTCTTAATCAACATGACAATACGGGTTTTGCCTGATCCCAGCCCTCACTGGTCCAAATGCAAACATGACGGCCGCGAACAGGTTGCAAGTGAAATCCCTGAATATGTTACAGCTACTCCACATCCCTGTTTCTGGAACCCACAAACGTTTGTTCACCAGGGCTCAGAGATGGCTTTGAAAGCAAAAAAAAACAGAAAATATTTGTGGGAACAAATGAACAAAGGTGGGCAACTCGTCAAACATGCGCGCAACTCAATTCATTTTGCGGGTCCTGCCTCAATTTGATTCCAACATCTTGCAGTGCGCCTTGAACTGATTGATCCACTGAATGCCCAGCCATCCCTGAGGGTTCACAGCTATGACTACTAAAGACCTCCTCCACCCCAGCATCTAAAGCAGCCTAGCGGGCAGGCTGACCCTCTCTGGCCTAGCTTCTTTTTTCATTTTTTTCGGTTGCCATCCAAAACACCGGAGTTATCTGAGTCGGTTCATGTAACTATGACTAGTCACTAGTCGCTCGATTCATTCACTCGCTGAGGGGAATGGTGAAATGTTATCCTGGCAAAATTGAGAGGTCGTTTTGGCAGACCATGTACCAACTAGAATCTACATCATCATTTACCATAACAAATCGAATTTGACCCTGGTTTGTTCCTTGGGGTTACCCCTCTTTTTCAACCGCGTTTATTCAACCAGCAGCAACCGCCTGCAGCACTGCTTGGGCTGCACTGGAACCCTTGCGGACCACGATGGAGTTTCCAAACCTTGACCACTGCATGAAGAATGTGCCCCAAAGTTGTGCGATTTATTCAATGGAAACATGTGGAAATATACGGAAACAAAAAGATGATCATCCTTAGGAATGATTTTCCAATGGGTACCCCATTTTTCAGAGAAAGCCTATGGAAAATGCAACTGCCACATGAAGCAAGTGGGACTTTCCATCGATCCTATGGCCCAATATGGCTGTGCCTGAAAGTGGAACAAGCCCGAATTCACCATTTGTACATGTGTCAAAAACGATCATTATCTAATATATTTATCATGATTTCCTGGTGATTTGGGTGTTGCCCCATTTGTAGAAATAAAATCAAATAAATATCTCCCAATGTAGTTTCCAGGCTAAGTCACCTCTGCTGAATAGAGGCATCCAAGGATGCAATGGCATGGTGCAAAAAGAAGGCCGCCGCAGTGCCTGCTATCTGCCATCCCCCCTCAGCTTCATCCTCCTCATCGGACCAAGCAAATACCAAGTGCACCTGGGTTCAGCTCTTGTCAAAAGTCATTGGTGGTCAATTGGTGGTCCATTGGGAACAAGAACTCACGAGGTTTCAATGTGTTTCATCATCTTACACTCACCCGCAGCTTGGAACCCAGCACCAACCTATGGAGTCAGGTCTGGGAAAGCCTAGGGCACCGCTTTTCGAGTCTGGGCTGCATGGAACAAGGCCGGCTGGTCGTGCAAGCGCAAATCGAAGGGTCTCAACCAGACCATCCTCAAATTTGGGTGGTGTGGCATCAGTTCTGAGTCTGCAAACCCTTCCTGTCCAAACCTCATACATGGAAGATGATAAAAGATCAAATTGGACTGCATTGCACTGCATTTACCTATTACTACTGCAAAAAACTACTTTTTGAGTCATGCAAATATATATTATATAAAAATACGTGGTACATTTCTAAACCTGAGATGCCCGAGTTCATATCTTGGGTCTACAAAACTTTTGATTCCAAGATTGGTCTCAACAGGGCAAAAGCTATGGTGAATGGTGCCACTTGGACTTAGCACCATACAGTCACCACTTAACCACAGTCCATAGTTTAAGTCTATGATCATGGTAGACTTGTACGCAACTGATATAGAGGTACCAATATGTATAACTGGCCAAACCCCAGACCCTCCGCCAAGGGTGGTGGGAAACTCATAATGTGAAGATCACCCATCTATTAGGGATATCATCTTCACCCACGATTTACTCAGCTAGTGGTTGAAATCCACAAAATTGGAAATTTGCCAAAACCTCACCTACTTTCGACTTTCAACTTCAACCATTCAAAACCTAATCTTTGAAGCTTCTACGAGTACCGACCAACTTAAACTTGGTTCAAACCACCATTGTTCCCTTGTCAAATGCTGTTCTTGGCTTCTTGGTTGGTGAAACTATGAAATCCCAATGCCCGTAAACATAGTTGGTTAAATCAAATCACCCAAAATATACCCAAATATCCCAAATCCTATCAAAATTATCAGTTATATATATATATATAAAAATCAAATCATCCAAAATATACCATAATATACCCAAATCCTATCAAAATCCATTTAAATCCCAATGCTCTTCCAATTTGTGTTGGCTCACCCGGCTCCACAATGTGCTGACCACTCTTGGCTCAAGTGACACGGAAGCTCCTCCCTGCACTTTCCGCTGCACACGGACATCCGGCGCCAGGTAGGCCTTGCACTGTTTCGCGCGGAGCTTGGAATGGAAACCTGGGAGCATCCGGGCGAATGAGGTCGGAAGGGGGGTCCACGGTTTCCCGCCACTTTCTGGCAAAAATTGGTGATGTTGCTGGACAACTAAAGATGATGATATGCGAAAAAGTGGTGAGACAATGATTTGTACAAAGTTGAGAAGGTATCGCATAGTCTCAAAAACGGCTCGCTTTCAAAATATGAAGGGATAGGTAGAGTAAGGAATGTCATTCCCCCAAGTTGCCTTGAAACATTCAGAGCATATCCTAATCCAAGGAGGGAATTCAAAAGTAAAGCAATCGACAGCTGAATTTAGTTTGGCACAACCAAGTAACCCAAAGAAACGGAAGGATTTATCGGCACAGTGCACACGCACTTTGGATCCGTGACTCGGCTGCTTTCACTTCCGCGTCCTAGCAATCAAGACATTACATTGAAGAGTTCTCTTGCATGGCAGGGCATTGAAGCTGTGCAAGCTTTCAAATTCGAAAACGGCAATTTCAATCGGTGCGTCTCGTGATGCTGCTGTCCTTGTGTTGGCTCAGCTTCGACCTGCTTTTGGCCTCACTGACAAGATCTGACCATAATGGTACCAAAATGGGACCTACTTATTATGCAGCCGATATCTCCACCCAAGAAAGAGATAAGATTGACCACCAATCTACAATAATCCGCGCGCATGAAATACCAGAGTCCCAGATATTCTGGAGGCCTTCAACGGCTGGAAGTTGCGAGCTCACTTCAATAGATCCTGTCATCAAATGGATTTGGCCAACTTCAAAGCTGGCCGTGTCTAGCCAAAGGCATCCAAAGTAATGAGTCATGAGTATACTGATCTTTTCATAAAATCTTCACAGGGACCGGAAGTCCCCCCCAAGCTTGGATCCCAGATTTTCCGATCGCTACTTTTCAACTTGGCACCAAAACCCGGTCATGAAAAATCCCAACCAAATCCCAACCCAGGCCTGTCAGATCAATGGTGGCCTCCACTTTGGCCAGGTTTCGGCCCCATCGGCGCATTTCTGAAGGACTTGCTTAGACTTGCTTAGACTTGCGTGTTTGGTTTCAGATGGTTTCGGTCAACATGCATTGCCATCAAGAGCCATGGCATCACGCAAGCTGAATCTTAATCACTATGTGATATGCTATCTATGAACATTAAAAAACCCTGATAACCAACCAACCACCATGCTTATGATTTGCTCCAGTGCTTGCTTTGTCAGCTCGATATGTTTGCTCCTTTCCCTCGGAAACCTGGATGACGTACGACGTATAATCGGGTGCTTTGTTGCCGGTGAACTATGGACTGCAAAATCATGAGCAATGATGATCTTTCATCTCTCATGACACGATATCGACCCCAGTCACGTGGCATCCGTTGAGTACCTTGAGAAGCTGTTCCGAATGCATCAAGTAATTTATCAGGTGGAAAGTGCGAAACAGCAGAATGCACAGGACATGCGCAGGAACCCCTGCTTAACGAATCCCCGTGTTTGAACTTCCTCAAGGCTTGGCTTCCAACTACCCTTTTATAACGCGTCGGGCTGGTAGAAGCTCGCGCGTTTTTTTGGGGTTGCATGATCAAATATCCAGCGTTTTACAGGGCTTTTGTTTTGTGAGAGTTCAGAAGAGCAAAACGGAACCAACTTTTTGATGGCACAAATCATGCGTCGTCTTGCAGTGACATGGCTCGAAGAAGAAAATGTGTTGGTTGTGGCCAACATGGCCATCGGATCGAGACCAGTAAAAGCCGCGCAGGACAAGAGATCCGAAAGTTGCGTGTTAGTTCGCACATGTTCGCACCCAAGCAGCTGTGACCAAAGCAGGATACGATGTGCGTCAGCGAAAAGCACGTCGAGTTTTGAAACCGGCCATAAAGGCATACACAAAGAAGAGATCCAGACTCCAGACCATGCGCTGAGACCAGCGTTGTCAACTGGCTATGCAGCCACATGTCTATAAAACAGGTCCTAAGGCAGGACAGCTCAAGATGTTGTGCAGTGCGTTCTGGCGATTCAACAGAAAAACAACATCGGTGTTTTTATGATCGTGATTTAACATAACAAGGTACGAAAAAATCTATGTGCCAGATCATTTTAAGGGGCAAATCAAAGAAATTGAATGAAATTGCTGCAGCGTTCGCACGCGGCAAGAAGTGACAAGAGGCAGACAGAAGGTGAAGGACGGAAACAAAAAAGGCGGGGCTATGAACAGCCGACACGGAGAGATGGATTCTGAGGTTGCGTCATCCATCAACACTTTAGGATCATCCATTCCATCCATTCTATGGGGGACCATCGGTTGTATTTAGAACCCTGGAAGTAAAGTTCTCAAGAAAGTGGGTATAATGTCGGTAAACCCCAAAAGCATAAATAAGTCTTGCATTCTGGTGATGGTGTCGGTAAACCTCAAAAGACAGAAATATGTTTTGCATGATGGGGATGGTGTCGGTAAACCCCAAAAGACGTAAATATGTATAGCCTGTATAGCATGACATGGACGCAACAGGTTGGGACGTTATTACCCCCCACCCCTCCCAAAACCACTAAAAATGCATTTCGTATTGCGGTGTTCTACCAGCCCAACACCTTTTATAAAGTGGTGAAAAGAACCAGACAAACCTTCCTCCTGCGTCCGCGGTCTTTCCAATCGAGGAGCACCCTGTAGCTATTCTGGTCAACGCGCCAGACAATCAAGATGGCTGACAACGAGCTCAACAGCACAACTGCCATCCGCATCACGGGTGAGTCTTGGGGCGATGGGTCAGCTTCCGACATTCTAGACATGAAGGTAAGCAAAGCAGAGGGGGATCGCCACCTTGTATTTCACTCAAGCAAATATTCCATATCACCGGAACTGCTTGAACCAGATCTCGCATGCACAGACTTTCTCCAAAAATGACTTAGTGGATTAAACATGATTAAACGTGGATTACGTGGATTTCGTAGTGGCCCCTGGATGAATGAAGGTCACACCATGGCTGAAACATGCTGAAACGCATGAAACCTATTCGCTGCCATGAGCTCGGCCGCCGCTATTCCTGCGCTCGACCATACCCAAAAAGCCGTGCATTGATGAGACCCATCGGCTTGTCATCGACTTGTCATCGGCTTGTCATCGTTTTTCATTGCTTTTGTGCAAATCTAATCCAATGCATCGGCCTCTAATCTGTCTTGGGTGTGTTTTTGCTGGGGAATGACCAAAGTGTATGAGCTTGAATGGGTGACTGGATGAAGGTCACACGATGCCAAACCGAAAGGTAAGAAGCACAGCTCGCTTTGGATCACTTTGGGCCATCTCTAGGTCTTTCCTAGACTTTTTTGAGTGCTTCTCAAACTGATGGATCCCGATTCCATCAAAGATATTAATGTAGTACAGTAATATAGTATATAATAATGATCAAAACAACCACATGTACCATTGCATGTACTGTAATCAGATGGAAGAGTTCATGACTATTTAAATTTGTTTGCGAACCACTCGTGGTGGCCATTGGCCAATGAAATCATTTGCATCGTTCATCTGGTCGGCATTCCTCAATCGGCTCTGGTTGGGCGATTGCGGCTAACCTGAAATATCTAAAGGGAGCGTATATGAGGGGTTCCATAAACGGGGGTACCCCAAAATGGACGGTTTATAAAGGAAAATACTATTAAAATGGATGATTTTGAGGTAGGAAACACCCATGTGTGTGTGTGTCTATGTATATATATATATGTATATACATACTCTGTGTATGTATATATATATATATACATACTGTATGTATGTATGTATGTATGTATGTATGTAGGTAGGTAGGTAGGTAGGTAGGTAGGTATATATATATATATCGTGCAAAACATATATAAAGAATTATAAAGATATTTAAAGATATCTATAGCCTTTTTCACGTTCAAAGTTCGGTCCATTTGGCCGCTCGAGTTTGTATTGCGCTGTGCCCCAAGTCGCACTTTTGGTCCTGTGGATTAGAGTCAGTGGATGAGTTACAGTCAGTTGGTCACCCTGAGTTTCATTCCCAACATCCAGGTCGATTTGAGCGCCGCAAGAGTGAAACAGAATAGCTGGTATTGGGCTTGGACGTGAAGAAATCTTCGCACTGCTCAAGTCTGGAATCACTAGGGCATACCCAAAGTATCACAGTGTATCAGAAGGTCAGATTTTCGGGCAGCTGCTCTTCTGGTCGCTTCCATTCCCAGCTGATGCTCTTACCACAGCTCCACCGAGCAAACCACCCCACAGCGGATCTGCGACTGCCACTACACCCACTCCAGCACCTCCAGCTGACCTTTATGACACTATGATGATACAGGGACGCACTATCCCTAAACCTTGACGATTCACCTGTCGTGAAAACCCAGTGGCATTCCATTCTTCTGATTTACACAAAATCCAAAATTCTCAGGACGGATGATGATAGCCCCTTGTCAAGCCAGTGAATAGAATCAACCATCCTTTCTTGATGATATCCACCATCTTTGGTCGTTATAGTCCCAGTATAACCAGTGAGTATAACGGTATAACCCCAAACAAGACATGTGCCAAAAGATGGTACAGTATATGGGTTATGGTCATCCCACCGTTCTTGGGAATCCTTACTAGTTGGCCATTAGAAAAAATCAAAAACATCAATGGCTATGACCATCCTCCAATGGCTGTATGCTACTGTATGCTACTGTACCGTATGCGATCCAGCTCTTGACATCTCTTGACCATGATACACATCTTCAAGAATTGATACATGTTTCATGTTACATGTGGTCGCCACGAGTTCCGCTTCACGGCGCGGCTCAAACCGTGACCTTGGGAGAGGCGAGAGATGGGAATCGAACGCGGTTGGCAATGGAAAATGGCCGTTCTCCCATATCAGCATGGGGGTGAGCATTGCCAGGATTTTTGGAGGATTGATCCCTGAAGTGACTTGAAGTTGAGACTCAAAAGATTCAACCTGTGGTCCCTCATTCTAAAACAGGTGATCACAGCAGGGGTCCAACAGACTTCAGATGGTGAGGCCCTAGTGGCACAGATCTTAGCCTTAGCCAAAAAAAAGAAATCCGAGGGCGTGGCCGGTGATGCACTGTATAGCAGACCTGTTGAGTCGATGTTTCTCGCCTGCGAGTGGCTACCAATTTGTGTGGCAACCGGCTGGACGGATCGTAAAAGTACCAAGCGCAAGCAGACGACTGAAGAACTAGCCTATGCCAGAAAGACATCGCAGCTACAGTACCAGCTGAACGTTCAACATCTAGTACTGATCTTAGCAGAAAGTGGCTAGCTCTTCAAGCTATTAGTCCTTGGAAGCGTCTCCGTACCAGGATATCCGCGGTGCCTTGTAGGCAGAAAGGCATCGGCTCATTTCCGGCTTGTTCTCCTGGCAGTTCTCCAGGCGCCGAGGGTCACTGTCCAAACCTAGGAATTAAAACAATCAAAACCTGTTGCGAAATGAGCCCAGGTGTGAAATTGTGATGTTCAAAGGAACCATCACTTTTTACACGATCTCTCACTAGGATACGATGCGATATAGCATTGAGGCCCATATCCACACATGCTCTTGCAGCTTCCCAACCCCAAGTTTCGGCCTAAAACCCGCCACAAATCTTGGGGCATTGCTCGCCCAATGCCACAACTGTCCTTAATATACGCCACCATCTCTTGGAAACGCTTGTCGGCCTCAACACAGTGAAGTCTCAGCAGAAACTAAGTATCTGAAATTCATGATCATGAATTGGTATACTGAGTACTGAGATCCGCCATGTTTTTCCCCTTGATTTTGCATCTTCACATCAAGGTCATTGTTGATACGACTTGATGCATGCGGGTATGTGTCGCAGTCTGGTGCCCAATACATTGATCAAGTGCTTAAAATCAGCAAGCCATCCTGCTGGTCTTGGGGTCTCCAATCTTTACCCATCCTGCATGTCCCCATGTCTTGATCATCAAACACCCATTCTTAGATCCTTTCTGGCCGAACCCCCATTTCCTGATGTAAAACCACGATTTGTTCATGTCTGAACCAGGTTTGAAGCCCAATGT